GCAAAAGTCAGAGAGCACATGAGAAACAGATCACATGGCCAGCATGGTGACAGCTCATGTCACCATTATTACCTGTATGACAACCTGCTACCCCCAGAACACTGGGTATCAAGTTAAGGGAAAGGGGATAAAGGAGTCACTGGGAAAAAATGGGGCCCTTCAAGTGACCCCAGAACAACCCTGACCTACCCCAAGCAGCATCCCTGGCCTGAGGGAGGAGAGCAAGTGGTTGAGCATCAGATAGTGTGTGGCCTCCAGCAAGGGACCCCCCCTAACAACTCTGTCAAGATTTAACAGGGGGTTGCCAGTGAGTTCCTGGAATGTCCAAGAAAAACAAACTGGTTATTCTGAGTGAAATTGCAGCCTGGCTAAGGCGGACTGGGTCTGCTTTAAATTAAACACAGCATTTCTCAGATTCTTTTCATCTCCTTGCCACTGTGGGTTAGCTGAGACATTACCTCATCTCACCTTCCTGCTCCGAGGTGGGGAAGCTGACAGGGTGTGGATCTAGGGATGGGACCATCTCGGGGGATCTGAGAGCGCCACCCCAGGCTCCTGGGCTGGGAAGCAGATCCTCCTCCAACCACTCAGCCTCCCACAGGGGCTGGAGACTCTAGACACTCAGGATGTGGGGGTGTCCTGTCAGCAGTCAAGCTAGCCCGCGGTATTTAGCAGAGGAGTCACAGCATTTGCAAATACATTGCTTTCCTAGGAGGACTTTAAAAAACTTGGCTGCAGTTTTACAAGTGCAAGGTTGGTCCTTTGCTGGTTCCTGTCAAACATTTAGGCCTGGGTGGCCATGCCTGCCAGCTCCTCCGCAGAGCTCCATTGTGCTTTAGTGGGGAAAACGGGGCTGGAGAGGCCAGTTCTGAGGGTGCCTTGGTCAAGGGTGGAGTTCCCTTCTGGTTTCGGAATTCCTTTCGGCCAGCTTAGCCAGCTTGTGGAATCCAAGAAAATTCTGGAGCCATGGAGTCAAGCAGACGTGAGCGTGAGCCCTGAATCCCTTGATGAGATTTACCTGATCTTACTTACACCTTGAATAGCCTCATCTTTAAAATGGAAGAAAGGATCCCTATCTTTCCATGTTCTGTGGATTAGCAAGTGTTCTCAAACTTGTGTTAAAAGAAATGTACCCAAATTCTGCCTTATGTAAAGGGACATTTCTCGTATAAAATCAAGGGGAATTTTGTGAAAATAGGTCACTGGGAGCAGAAACCTGAAAAGGGATTTGCCCTGGGCTCTTTCTGCTCTGTCGCCTCATCTGGCCAGCCTGCTCTCTTGGGCCTCCACGCCAGTGTTCTCTCGGCAGCTTTCTCTTTCCCACTTACTCCAAGTCCAGCTGTTGCTGATCCTCAAGGGTCCTTGTCCGACTTTCCTCAATTAATTCCATAAAAATTTTGGAAGAGCCAATAACTGATTTCAATCATGGAATGTTTATTAAAGCTCCCACAATAGTTGAGGGCTGGGAGCGGCAGAAATCCCCGTTTTATGGGGTTGATCAACAGTAGGGAAGCGGGGTATTGGCTGGCCAGCGTTTTACCATATTAACTCAATAAGCAAACAAGGACCCAGTTAACTCCATAATAACAAACAAGGACCAGGAAATAAACAAGGGCCAGGTTAAATAAACAGGGACCAATTTCTGCAACACAGCCTTGGCTTAACAGCATTTCCTCAGGCAAGGTCCATAGCTAGTGCTCAGGAAATGACAGTCAGCTTCTGTTGTGTGACTTGGGTTGTCTGTCAATATTAGCAGCAGAATATTTCCGCTCGTTCCTCCAGACCCACTTCTCTCTTCTCCATCTGGTTTGGTCCCTGGGGGCTGCTGACTTGTGTGAACTGTGTCAATTTGAGCTCCCTCACCTGCTGAGTTTCAGGTGAGTCCAGCTCATAGTGGACACCAGCAGGAAACAGGAGGCAGGAAAGAAGCACCACCGGATACTATTGTTCCAATTCCTGGCCTGGAGTGGTCGGGGTGGGGGTGGGGGTGGGGGGCGGTGGGGCCGAGTGGGCAGTCCTGTGGTCGGTTCCTGTGCTGAAGGCACAGCAACTTTCCAGCAGCCCCTCCCTCAGCTTAGCCCTCCCTGGGTTCTTTAATTCTTTCTCTCCTTGTCCCTTCAGGTTCACAGTGGTGATGGCTCCCCAACTGTCCTGGAGGTGCTGTACTAGTCCTTGCTGGTTTCTACTCATCTTGCTCCCATATTTATAAATAGTTCATTATATTCTCTGGTAGCTGAGTTGTAACTCTGAGCTGCCATCTCTCTCCTCCTGAGTCTCTGATGACACCATAGGTGGAGGGAGACAGTTTTGTCTCCTTGCCTGCCTCACTCCGGCTCCTGTAGGAAGTGGAGAAAGAGCTAGGAGCTCTTTGAGATAAACACAGTAAATTAGATATCCAGTTCTGGTAGCAGTGAAAAAAACTACACGGACACTGGGAGGAGTGACTTCTTTTGTAATAAGCTCTCCATTTTCCTTGGAGAATGTGGCTCACAAAAAAAGAATTAGAAATATACTACCAATCCAGTTAGAACCCTCTTTCTTTCTTAGGACACAGCTGCTCCAAAGTGAGCACCACACAGGTTGTGAACAGAAGGTGTTTCTCTGTGTTTGTCACTCCCAAATCCATGGGATTGATCAACTGAATCCATTTTGTCCATCTTGGCTCATGCCTGCCTAGCTTTGGGCTTTGGCTATAACAAGAGCCTATGACAGATCTCCATGCCTCTAGTCTTTCTTTTCTTTTCTTTTTTTTTTTTTTTTGTGGGAACCTCGCTGGCGGCCAGGGAACAAACCAGTGCTGGAGGCTGTGGGCAGCCTCGCAGCCCACCGGTCAACCGCAGCGCCACCAGGGGAGGCCCGCCTCTGGTCTTTCTTATCCAGTCTGTTCCACAGCTGTCACATCTGCCTTGGCTTGATGCAACCTTACTGATATCACGTCCCAGATTAACAGTATTCCCTGGCTTCCTGTTCTCACATTCAAGAATGACAAATCAGAGTACTCACCAGCCTGCTAATCCTTGCTCCCCACCCTCTTCATCTATTTCTCAATTCACAGCCTATATCCTGCCTCCCAGCTAAGCCCTTCCTGCCAACTCAGCCAGGGTGACTTCTCCCACTGATTCCTACTGTTGGAGAAACGGCCTCCAAGCTGGTTCAACAGGGGCCACAGCAGCTTCTGCCCCTTACAGCAACCACCCTACTTTGGGGCTTCAGGCTCCTGTTGATAGCTGACAGCTCCTTTGACTATGTGGGGTTGTGCTGCAGCTGCTGCAAACCAGCCTGCTGCCAGTTGCCTGCAAATGCATCTGCAAGACCGATGGCTTTGGCCTGGGTATGCTCCTGCTCAGGTGCAGTGTATTCCTCCACAGCATGACCACCCAGGTCTGCTTGGCATGCTCAGGGTGCTCTAGGGGACCATGCATGCAACCATGGTATATGAACTATTACCTGTTTTGCATATAAGGATGACAGATCATGACCCTGGCTGGTGCAGGAGTGGGGTAGGGGGGCAGAGCCAGCATGGTTGGGATGCTTAGTTTGGCAGGTGCTTTCCAGGTCATGAGTCCAACCCCTTTGGGTCCTAGACTTGCTCAAAGGCCATCACCTGGGCAGCTCTGGTGACCCTTGAGCCCTGTCAAGATGAGGTGCTATGCCCTGTTCTCTCTAACCAGGTTCTGGGCCTTTCCTCAGCCTAGGAATAAACTAGTACTGTAGGGAGTTGTCATCTGAATAGAGCTCCCAACTACCACGCATGGGGGAGGGAGATGCTGCTCAAAGAACTAGAGGCACAATGCTTATTAAGAAATTTTTCAATCTCTCACATAGCTGCTTCTAAGAAATACTGGCTAGTCAGGTATCCTCCTGCCCCTGCAGGTGTCCTGCTGGCAAGACTTTGAACAAGGAATGTCCTTAATGTGCTTGGCAGGGAGGTGAGTGCTTGCCTCCTGCTTTCTGGCTGGAAGCATCACACCTCTTTACTAACCCCCCAGTATCTTGTAGACATCGACCATGGTAATCAGGCAAGCTTTACTTCATACACACTGCTTTTTGAGGGCAGAAATCAGACTTAAGATCTTTGTGGGGAAGCCTGGCACCTTGAGAAGACAGCGCACTACTAGGTGACAGAAGCTATCAACACATTTAGGGTCTTTTAGTCAGTGGTTCTTGATTCTGCTGCACATTAGACTCTCCTGGGATCTAATGCACAGGCTACACCCAGGCTCATTACATCAAAATCTCTGGGCAAGGAGCCCTGGAATCACAATCTTGTAATAAGTTCCCAGGTGCTTTTAGCATGCAGAGTTGGGAACCTATGTTTTAAGTGAATATTGCTGAAAAGGGGTGCTTGATAGTATAAGAATTTTGAAGCTTTTGACTGTAGTTATTTGGGTGGTTGTGACTGAAGAGTCCTATGTGAGGCCAGAGGGTAAAACTGCACTAGGCTGGCAAGCCACATGGCAAGCACAGCAAGCACATGACCTCTGGTCCAGCCACTGCCCTCCCCACCGCCCCTAGCAGCCCACTATTTAAAGAATATTATTTAGACTCCTCCAGACCCTAATTCACGTGTAAGAGAAAAAAATGTATTGGGCAAGCAAGAGACACTTAAGTGATTCCTAACTGTCCACAGGTAGAAACCCCCTAAGGGCTCCAACATCTGACTAAAAACACCCAAATCAAAGCTGAGATACCACCTCTACTCATCAGGATGGCTGCTGTATATTTCCATATATATATATATGGAAACTAACAAGTATTGGCAAAGTATGCAAACATGAGAACACTTGTATGCTGATGGTTCAGATTCTATAAATGGTATGGCAGGTCCTCCAAAATTTAAAAATAAAATTGACATATGATTCAGCAATTTCCACTTCAGAGTCTAAACCCAAAAGAACAGGAAGCAGGGACTTTAAAAGATGCTTGTAAATACATCCATGTTCACATCAGCATTATTCACAAGAGCTAAAAGGTGGACACAACGTAAGTGACCACCAATAGATGAATGGATAGATAAAATATGATGTGTACATACAGCAGAATGTTATTTAAGTCTTAAGAAGAAAGGGCATGTGGACATACACTACAGCATGGATGAAACTTGAAGATACGACATTAAGCAAAACAAGCCAATCACAGAAGGAAAATACTATGATTCCATTTATAGGAGGCACCTCAGATAGTTAATTGGGAAAGTTAGAATGGTGGCTGCCAGGGGCTGGGGGGCAGGGAGGGGAATGGTGTTTAACGAGTATGAAGTTTCAGTATTACAAGATGAGTTCTGTGGATGGGGAAGGGAGGAGGTGTGGTTTATATAATAACGTGGCTACTTAAGGCTACTGATCTTAACTCATTAAGATGGTAAATTTTCTTAAGTGTACTTTACCAAAATTAAGAAAAACCCAAATCCACAACCCTGTCTGGGATGGAAACACAGAAAGGAGTTGACACTTTCGGAGGAAATGGTTCATTAGTATAAAGGACTGGAAGCCCAGAAAGGACCACAGAAGCCAGGGAGGAATCTATGTATTTTGTAATGTATTTGCGGACCGGGGACAGTGAAGAGAAAGTTTGAGTTCCAAACAGGGAATGGACAAAGTACTTCATTCATTCCTCAGTTTTCTTCCTGATTCAGATAGGAGGTACCTCAAAGATACACAGGGCTAGCTGTGGGAATGTTGGTAGTGTGCTGGTAAAACCCAGGAAGGGGAGACTTCAAAAACATTAACGTGTTAACAAGAGGTAAGGGCCTCCCTGGTTGTGCAGGCCGTTGAGCGCAGCGCTGTGTGGCTGCCCGCAGCCTCTGCAGTACCGGTTAGATCCCCGCCAGTCTCGGAGCAACCCACATGGCGGGCAGATCTCTCCTGTCTTGCCCGCTGCTCCCCTCGGCAGTATATTTCTTCAGTCTGCCTGTTCTGTCCCCAGCTCTGTCTCTGGTGAGTCCTCTCACCTTCCCGCGCATCTGGCCTGTACCCTGGTTCTTGTATAAATAAAATAAATCTTTAAAAAAAAAACCAAAACCAAGAGGTGAGATATTGCCACACGTGGGGTAAGGCACCAAGGACAGCCACCAAGACTGTGGCTGCTGTGGTGTCTCAGGGATCTGAGAGACTCATAGGCCATGACACTTGTCAACCACTCTTCCTCCATTCTATTTGTTTAAAAATGATGATGCACCTTGATACATGCCGGACCTACTTGTGGCTCTTTCCAAAAACCAAATGTGCCCTCTGATAAAGTGTTTACAATAGTGAGAATATTCCATAGACTCTGCCATCTAAAATGACCAAGGAGGCCACTCTTAGGCTTCTGACCAGAGCCACTGGGATGAGCACGTCATCCTGCAAGGGGGGACAGTGACAGATGCCAGCTCATTAAGATGTGCAAGCCCTGAAACGTCGCTTACACACCCTAGGAAGGAAGTGCAAAATCGCCGCTCAGGAAACATGTGGCCTGACCAGGTAGCAAGGGCAGGGGCTGTCCCCTCACCTCCCAATAGAGCTCAGGGGTCTGACTCCCAAGTGCATGAGTGACACCCTGCCTTTATTCCAGGCTTGCTCCTTCACTTTGAACCCTCAAGCCTGGGTGGGGCTGAGCAATGGAACTTCTGTGCTTTAGCAGAGCCTTAGCCCACACAACCAGTCCACCAGGTTACCTTATGATCCCCTTGGAGGACTCTCTCCACAATTCCTATCTGAGTGAAAATCAAGCAGTGAACTGGCTCTTTAATTTCAAGACACACATCTTAATCTGTGGTACAGGGTCCCACAGTGGCCTTTCTCCCTCACCCCTGTGATGCTGTTCATATACTTCTGCACATAAGCCCGGGGGACCTTCTTCTCCCAGTCAGGGCAGAGGTGGCAGAGGCTGAGGTGATGTGCCTGGAGGGAGCATCATGGCTACTGTTCCAGGCCAGTTCTCCCTTTCACCCCCAGGCCCACTCCTGAGATCTCGTCGGCAGCCTTCCCACTGTGGACACACACAGCAACTTCCACTAGCTTCTACTCTCCTGGCCATTGAGCAGAAGCTGTTTCTGGGAGAGGAGTATGCAGGGGTGGCTGCAGGAGCTGAGCTCTCAGCCTCTCACAAGATTAGGAAGAAACCAAAATTTGACTTCTAAGAAATCCCAGGGCCTCCCTGGTGGTGCAGGGGGTTGAGCACAGTGCTGTGAGGCTGTCCACAGCCTTTGCAGTGTGAGTTGGGGGGCAACCCACATGGCACAGCAGACCTCTCCTGTCTCACCCGCTACTTTCCTCAGCAGTGGTGTACATCTGCCTGTTCTGCTCCCCACTCTCTCTGGTGAATCTTCTTAGCCCCCGTGACTCTGGCCTGTACCCCATTTCTTAAAAAAAAAAAAAAAAAAAAAAAAAAAATCCCAATCTTGAGATCTCAAATCACAAATGCAGAACCACAAACCAAGGGGAAAAACAAAAAACCCCAAGTCCTTTTACTTTTCTTTCTCCTGATAGCTAGTTCCAGTGATGTTTATTACTCGGCTTGAGGAGGAATAACAGTAGACAAAAATAGAAACGGACTCTGCTTTTACAAAGTCTTTGTACAAGTCCTCTGACTTTTCTGTTCATGCCAGGGCCCCTGCTGCTAGTGCCAGAGGTCAAGGTAGGCTGGATGGCCACAGACAGAGCAGGCTGCAGAGAGGGACACCGGCCTCAAGGTTGGACGAAAGCAGAGCCAGGAAAAGATAACAACTTGTTCAAACAGTGCACTGAGCTGCGTTTCTGTATGTGGGAGAGCTTCAGGAACCTGGAGAGAAACGGCAGAAAGACACAACCACAGGGCAGCAGAGCCAGCCCCTTCCCTAGGCACAGAAATTGGTAGTTAGAGGTCCATACCACCCTGTGCTTGGCAGGGGAAGAGCCTTAGGTGGAGACTCCTTGGGAACTCTGTCCGCAGGAGCTGGCGCAGCTGGGAGGAGCTAGCTATGGGGCTGCAGGGTCCATGTTCCTGCTCCTGAGAGTGCCCAGGAACCTTGCCTGCAGTCACTGGCTGTTCACAGCAGTGGGATCTTGCCTCCCTATCCTAGCGGTGACAGAGTTTACATTAGGGATTTCGCCTCCAAGGCCTCCTGCAGGATGGAAGGCCCAACATCTCTAAGGACTTGGAACTTGGTGGGCCTTGTTCCTCTGTTCACATCCAGAGAGAGGAATAAGCAAGGATGAGCAAGGGGCCCAGAGGCCAGCTGCTTTGTGGAACTGAAAGTCACTGCCGTGCTCTGCACTGTCACCATGAACTGCCCAGGATTCTGTGATGGGCAGCCCAGGCTCCCATCTGGGTCTGCTGCACCATCTTCTAGGAAGGGTAGACAGGGCCTCGGTGCTATCTTAGGGGCTGCTTGAGCTCAAACAGGCCTGTCCCACCCTTGACGACCTTTCCAACCACGAGGCAGGCTGAAGGGGACCTGAGCTCATCATGAGATCCTGGAAGAGACACAGAGTACTTGTTAGGTGGTTGAAGAAGATGTTGGGCGTGATGTAAAGGGACCAGGGGACTCCATACTGGGGGCAGGGGATGGGACATCTTGGAGGCCATGAGGAGTGTCCAGAGTACCCAAGACTGATGAGATTATATAAGGCAGCATTGCTTCTGCCTTGGAAAGGCACATGCCTTTCCTGTGTGCTGCCCCCACCTCCCTAATGCCTCCTGCTCTCAGATTCCAAGCTCCTGTGTGCATGGAAGGCACATGGGAGGCTTGTGTGCCCAAGGGATAAGCTCATTAGCCCAGAATTGATTCTGGAGAGGTCTGGAAAGCCAAAGGCCCCTGCCCACACATACTGACCCATCATGGTGGCCTGCTTCAGAAACTGGAAGCTGGTTTCAAACGTCATCTGTTGTAGCGGGGAGGAGTTTGACCGGATCCCAAAGCGATTCAATGGCTTGTAAACACCCTCAAAGCACATGTAGTCAGCAACCAGGGAGAGGTGGCGGGGATCGACCTCAATGCCTGTCAGGGGCAGCACATCAAGCATTAAGCAGTGAGAGGACAGTGGGGGCAGAATCACCTGGCATGAAACAGTGCAGGAACTCTGGTGTCAGCTCGCAGGGCACCACTCCAGCTCTGCCAGCTAAGCACTCAGATCAGTCCCTAACCTCCTCTGGGCGGTCACCCCTGGTGGCTATCACCACACCCTCCTCTCTGCTTCCACCCCCAACAAAGGACAGAGTGTTACAGATTTGCAGAACAAGAGAATCTAACAGCATTACTTTCACTTGGGAACTGAAACCCTGAAAGCAAGGATGGGCCAAGTTATCAGACAGAAGCTTACCCAGAGAGCAAATGAGAAACCAGCCAGATAGCTTGGTGACAGGCCTCCCCAACAAGATTAAATGACCAGTCACCCTCTCCCCACAGTCACTCAGGACCTCCTACAAGCTCCACCTCACCACCCTGTATTCAGTCACCCTACACACAGTCTTAACACAGCCAAGTCCATCAAAACTCCTCTTACCATAGACAGCAAACACGTCCCTGATCTCCTTCTCAATCACCCGCAGCGCAGCCTCAATGCCGTATGTGCTGGCCATGGCGTGGATGTCGTTGGAATAGAGGCGGCGTAAATCCAGAACCTGGGGAAGGAAGGAGGGGTTGGTCTGGAGGGCCTAGCTCAGTTCCACCTTAGCTGCCAAGCACAGCTAAGGACAAAGTGGTCATGAGGTAACCCAGGATGAGTGAAAGGAGACAGTGTAGGCAGAGCTGCTGACGAGGCACTGCCTGTGCCCCAAGGTCTGTATCCTTGTCATTACCAGAGCAAGAGATTACTGGCACCGGCTTAAGAGTCAATGGGAACCGAAGTTATTTTTTCATTTAATACAGATTGAAGTTTTCCTTGGTAGGGGAGGGAAAGCTCCCCAGCAAAGACCCGTCAACAGTTTCCCGGGGTATGTGGAGCAGGGATGGGTCAGCTGGGCCTCGTCAAGGGCCTGTGGTGACTCCAAGCTGTGGCAGGTCACCACCCCAGGAGAAGTGGAGACCCTGGTTGCCTGCTTGGTCTTATTTAAACAAACCTTATAAGCATGACCTGGAGGGACTCAGGTAGTGGCTGTCTCTCAGGAGGTACTAACCCTTCCCCCACTGTCTTCGCTCTGTCCTCTGGAAAAGCGCTAGGTAAAAGGATCCAGGGAGAAGGGGCCTTTGTGTGGCAGCTAACGTGGGGAAGAAGTGTGTGCAGCAGGAGAGCTTTGGTGCAGATTAGGGGAGAGTTGGTTAGAAGAGTACCAGTTCCTCAGTATTTGATAGGAAAACAATTACGCCCAGGTGCTGAGAGCATCTCAGAAGGATCTGGGAGACTCACTGAAGCGGATGGAGGGGGACTAGGACAGATGGCTCAGAGGAAAGGATGACATGCCGGTGGAGCAGGTGGGATAGGAGCACAGGTCTCCGTCAACATGAGGGGGCTGGGTCTTGGCTACCCGTGCTCCCAAGTCAGTACCTGAGCAAACTATTTCTTATGAACTCTACCTTGCAGAGGTTTTTATTTCAAGGAAAAACAATCATACTCAAATTAGTTTGAGAAACTCTGGGTTAAAGTTAAGTAGGTTTGTGTATTGCAAGCCTTAGCTAAGCTAACACACACTGTGGCTCTCCAGGCCACATTGTGCTCTCCCACATTGTGGGTCAGGACAAGTAAATCTGGTTTGGGAACACTGGGCTAGATGTGCAGTCAGCTCAGGAAAATCAGCTGGACCCTCGCCTCCTGGGGGCTAGAGCCTGAGACAGAGTGAGGACCCTGTCCAGGCCAGCAGAGAACCCGGACAGGGCAAGCATACCTCAGCATACTTGAACAGCTCTGGGAGGTTGATTCCTTCTGTGTTTAAGACGAGCTCCTTCTCATTCTTACTGTTGGTGGTTTCATTCAGAAGGCACCTCGTGATGCCCCTGGTTGCATAGACAACAGCGCCATGAGCCAAGGACACTACCAGGGAGCTCATGTCAAAATTAATCTTCATTAGTGGGAATTTCAATGTCACCTGCAAGAGAAGAGAGAGTTGGATCAGAGGAGAAGGCGTGGTACAGAGGGCAGGGAGCAGAGGCTCTGGAGATTCCTTCAAATTCCTCTCAGTAAACGCTTCAGCTGGGAGTGGGTGCTTTACTGGGTGAGCTGGCAGGTGGACATGGGGTGGCTTAACTGACCACCCAGAGCACCCACCTCCAGTCACCCAGACTGAGGTGAAATGGTGGAGCAACACTTTCACAGACGTCAGCGAGAAGGGTAAACATCATGTCCACTCAAAATTGGCTTCAATATCCTTTCAGTTACCACAAAGCATAATACACACTGTTCTGTGTATGATGCTGATCAATGGTTTTTATCCATACCACCATCTGTGAGCCAGTGGAATGACTCTAAGGGAAGGACAAAAAAGGAAGCATGTGGGTAGATGTCTAAGCCTCCAAACCACCAGTCTTCAAGGGGACTTTGCAGTTCCAAGGTGATTACCAGGGGCTATGTGTGTAAGGATAGTGTTCCTGCTTGCCTCTGTACCAACTTTGATAGATGTTAACATACTTGTACTGAGAATTATGAGGTGTTATTTAAAAGTACCTACGCGGTCTGGCAGACCAGACTCACATATACACTGTTCTTGAAAATTCAGAGGGAAGTGGCCCAATAGAGGTTTGAAAGTCAAAGGTGTGGGGCTGTGTTTTGGGGTAGAAGGTCCACGGCTGTCACCAGATTCTTTAAAGAACTTGGGATTAGGGCCTCCCACGTGGTGCAGTGGGTTGAGTGCCGCGCGGTGAAGCTGCCTGCAGCCTCTGCATCGCGGGTTCAATTCCTGGCTGGCCAGGGAGATTCCCACACGGTGTGGCAGACCTCTCCTGCCTCGCCCGCTGCTTCCCTCAGCAGTGTCTGTCTGCCTGTTCTGCTCCCCGCTCTGTCTCTGGTGAATTTTCTCACCCTCCCACACCACTGGTCTGTACCCCAATTCTTGTATAAATAAATAAACCTTTAAAAAAAAATAACTTGGGATTAAACACAGTAACCAAGTCTCACAGGCCCTAAACGACAGGAGCTCAACAGCATGCCCTCACTGACACCTGGCCCTGGGCCATACTTGAACTTACCTGGCACCACAGGCTCCCCTCCGTGTCGTACTGGTAGTCCTCTATGAATGGGTGGGACTCTCGCACGGCCTGCACCCGGCGCGCCTCATCTCCCTGGGGTTCCTGACTTCGGGTAGGTTTCGGGGGCTGTGTCAGAGATGCAGCAGGGAGCGAGTCCTCTTCAGGCTCTAAGTCTGCCTCTTCATCTTGCTCCTGGGCCTTGTAGGTGAGATGCCCACCCTCGTACCCTTGCTCCTGCCCATCGTCATTGTCATCGTCCTCCTCGTCCTCATCCTTCTCCTCTTCACTCTCATAATCCACCTAACAGGAGTCAGAGTACGTGCTGAGCCACTTGGGTCCCCACCATCTTTTTGGAACAAACACCCCTGCAAAGCCTTATCTGATGGGCCCATCCAGACCCCACCTGTTCCACAGTCCTGGCTTCTCTGCTCTAGCCTCTCCTGGTGGCCCTTCCCCCTGGGAATACCAGTCCCTCAGCCCCAACCCCCCACCTCAGAGCTTACCCCTCAGCTTATGCTCTCTAACCTGTCAATTCCTTCCGCACCTCTATTCTGCCCTTTGACCTTTCATAATCATGATTGTAGAGGACCAATTTGGAGGAGGAGGAATGATATTTTCACTAAAAGAATAGGAGGCAATCTCACTTTTCTATTTGTCAAAAGCCTCTGGGTCCTTGAATTTGATTCAAATCCAGGCACAGCCAGACCCAAAGATGGCCCCTGCCAGTTCTACCCTGTGAACACCATCTTTTCAACCTAGAGGTATGCTGGGCAGGCTGACTCTTCAAGGTTCCTGATGGCTTCCAGTATGATACCGAGTGGCCTTATATGACAAGGAATGAATGAATGGTCAGGTGCAAAGAGGAGGGACATGACCAGTGGCAGGTGAACATTGGGTGGCTTAACTGACCACCCAGAGCACCAGACCTCCAGTCACCCAGACTCTTCACCCCACAGTTCCCTCACCTCCTCCTCTTGCTTCTCCTTGCGCTTGGCATCAGAGGCATCAGCATCGCCCTCCTCAGCTTCAGCATCCACAATGTGCCCCTCTTCTTCCTCATCTCCATCCTGCTCTCCCTGTAGGTTGGGGACAGGAAGAAAGAGATTAGCTCTAACACTCACTGCTTGGTGAACCTAGCTCTCCACCCACCAACCTATTCACCCATCCCTCTACCTACTGTCCTGCTCTCTCATCCATCTATCCACCCAGCTGCCTATCTACCATCCATTCAGCACACATCCACCTTCCACGCACCCTGCATCTACCCACCCAACCACCTCCGTGCATCCAGAATCTACTCTGTGCTAGTCCTGGATTCCATCCCTCTTGTCTTCAGCCTTTATCTTGACAAGTACCACTCACAAAATCCTGCATTAAAGTAAGTAACTTTTAAAGTACCAGGGTTTTCCAAGTCATTAAAAGATTGCAAAATAATATTCCAAATATTTTTGTTGCAGGTGGGGATGAAAAGACTGTATTAGTGAGTATTGAAAAAACAAAACAAGGGCCTCCCTGGTGGCGCAGCGGTTGAGCACTGGGCTGCGAAGCTGCCTGCAGCCTCTGCAGCACCGGTTTGATCCCCGGCCGCTGGGCGAGGGTCCCACATGGTGCGCAGACCTCTCCTGCCACGCCCACTGCTCCCCTCAGTAGTGTACTTCGTCGGTCTGCCTGTTCTGTTCCCTTCTCTGGCTCTGGTGAATTCTCTCACCCTCCCGCGCTTCTGACTGTACCCAGTACTTGTATAAATAAATAAATCTTAAAAAACAAAACAAAACAAAACAAAACAAATATTTATACCTTTCTCTTCTGACCCAGTTCTTTATAGTCTCCTTCTAGGTGATTTAAGAATTAAGACCAGCAGTTTTTCAAAGACAGTTCATGCCACTGGTGCCTGAGTTACCCCCATAGCAGAAGACTTAGCACTGTCGCTACTCTAAGCTAGTCCCTCATTTTAGGGGTGAAGAGACAGGTCTGGAAAGAGGAGGTAACACAGCTGACAGCAGTCTGGCAGCATCAGTCCACTCTTTATTTCTACTCCCACCCAAGCGGGCCTGCTACAGAGACATGGCCCACTGCTGCACTTCCCTAGAACAGCCGGCTCAGATGACTCAAGAACCTGCTACCGTGCTGCCCTGCTCTCCTGGCACATGTGAGATCATCATTCCCAGACTAGTTTGTCTCCAAGGGCTTTCCCCTGGTTGCTTCCCTTTTTTGTCACTACAATCCCATTTTCCTGCTTCAAAATGCCTCTCCTGACCCTTGCCAGTACCCTGTGGGCCTCAGTTCATCTGAGCAAAATGAAACCAAAGAAAGAACTTAAAAGCCCAATGCATACATTACTTTGTGTCTACCCTCAGGATGAAAATCACTTACAGAGGGGTCCTTAAAAGTAGACAGATGGATGACTTGGGGCCTGTAGGGTAAAGAAAATATCAGGCTTTTCTGCCCTTCCGCCATCAGGATAGATGATGGATCCTTGTCCTGAATGCATGCCTGATGGCGGGCACCTGGAATAGGGTGTGGGCATAGGTAGATGGGATTCAGCTGAGCTAAGACTGTGCTTTTAAGGGCGGCGTCACGGGGGGACGCCAGCAGCTCCAGCCAGCAGCAGCAGAACCTGAAGAAGAAGCCGACGCAGAAGCAGAGAACGCCAGAGAGCCTAGATAGAGTAAAGACTTGCTGGGGGCTGGGAGGCTGGCAGGCCTCCCCAGCCAGCACCCCTGCCTGCCATATGCCTGGTGAACCCCAATAAAAGACCTGCAAAACCACTGAGGACTCTGACTCCTCCTTTACCCGGTCTGCATGGGATCAGAAAACCTGCACTGTGGTCCAGTTCCTGCCCCTTACAATTGGCGTAAGTCGGCAGGATCCATGCAGACGGGTATTGGAGTCTTCCAAAGACCTGGAGGGACTAAGGAGAACAGACTGCCTGTGATGACGCTGGAGGTGCCATGCCGGCACAAAAGATGGATACGTCCACAAGCTACAGGATGAGACCTGGCGTGAAGAAGACGCCCGAAAGGACCAGCCAACGACACCGGAAAGGACCAGCCAATGACACCTGATAGGACCAGCCAACGACACCGGAAAGGACCAGCCAATGACCCCTGAGGCAGCAGGCCGTTGCTGACGCAGGGAGAGGCCAATGGACTTGAACTGATGGACTGACATTCCCGCCAGAAGGCGGAGGACCTTGCAGGTTGATATGTTTTGGGACCCTGGGGGTGGAACAGTTTTGTTTGTAAACCCCAGGAGATGGGAATCTGGGGGTGGCCAGTGGGCCTAGATGGCCAAAAGCAGCCTGTTATGCCCAGCAGCCAGGTGGAGGAGAAAAGCCAACTAAGAAAGCAAAAGCTGGTACTGATGCTAAGTTGAGAAGCCCTGAGTGGCTGTTAAGCAGCCTGGGTATGCTGAAGACCTGTGAGTCTCGTAAAATCCCCTGTGGGTGATGCCCTGCTCATTCTTGAGTGAGGGTGAGGAGCTGAGGAACCTGTCCTTGGGGGACGGGTGGGGAATGTGGCTTGGGGTGGAGCCCAAGCCGAATGCAAAGTTTGGATCCCCAACCCATGTGCTTGTGCAGTGGGTTGGCCTGAGTGCAGGGGTCTGCGAGTCGCATGGGTGGCCATGAAGGCCGAGTGTTGGAGCGACTGCAGACAGAAACCCTGAGGGTTGGCGATTACCCCCAAGAGAATAAAATTGCCAATCCCAGAGCTAGTGCATCCTGGGGGTGGATGCTGTGTGTGCCTTGTAGCCTAGACTACAGCCGGAGAAGGCCAGGAAGCCTGACAGCTCCTGGTATGTTATAGTAGATGCCGTGAGAAATTCCCCTCCCTCATATGAGCAGTGCCTTCGGCAGCAGATTTGGTGGCTCATCTGCTGGTACCAATAATTGTCTTTTGCACTTGGTTGGTGCCCTGTCTGGACTTATTTGTGTTCTGTTGTATTTTGTTATATTTGATGTATTTGCTTTTGTGGGCCATGGCTGCATTGTTTGTTAGCTTAGAAAATTGTATATATGTATATAGACTGTATGGCAGAAAACCCTGAGGGGGTGGACTGTAGGGTAAAGAAAATATCAGGCTTTTCTGCCCTTCCGCCATCAGGATAGATGATGGATCCTTGTCCTGAATGCATGCCTGATGGCGGGCACCTGGAATAGGGTGTGGGCATAGGTAGATGGGATTCACCTGGGCTAAGACTGTGCTTTTAAGGGCGGCGTCACGGGAGGACGCCAGCAGCTCCAGCCAGCAGCAGCAGAACCTGAAGAAGAAGCCGACGCAGAAGCAGAGAACGCCAGAGAGCCTAGATAGAGTAAAGACTTGCTGGGGGCTGGGAGGCCTGCCAGCCTCCAAGCCCCCCAGCCAGCACCCCTGCCTGCCATATGCCTGGTGAACCCCAATAAAAGACCTGCAAAACCACTGAGGACTCTGACTCCTCCTTTACCCGGTCTGCATGGGATCAGAAAACCTGCACTGTGCCCAGTCTTGCCCTTACAGGGCCCTCACCCAGGTCAACCAGACCTTGCTGTCTGGCAGCCTTCTGGGAGTGTCCTACCATTTGCAAGCACTAGATGTTTCTGGGCCTTCACAGAACAGCAGATAAAAGCTAAGGTATGTAGAAAAATGGATAAACTCCAGAAAGCGGGTTAAGGGGGGGCTAAGGACAGTCACGGAGATTCACAAGGGCTCAGATTAAGCAAGCCACCATGCAATGCACTTCTCAGTCCTAGGGCCCTCCCTGTGCTGCTGTGGACTCACTCACCTGATTCCTCTCTGACTCCCCAGCGTTGTCCAGATCCCGCTGGGTAGCTCTCCGAGTGTTTACGTTTCTGAAAGCTGATGCTTTACTATTCTTCTTTCTGATGGACTCCATTAGAATTTTAAAGAACCTAAAATGAGAACAAAGTCATACAGTTTCATTCAAGGCCCGCATCTCCACTGTTGCAGGTGTAGGAAGTTCTGTTCAAGGATCTCCCACTACCAAAGGTGGTATCTGTAATTGAGACAGAGACCAGGCCTCTCCTATCAGCTCACTTTCCAGGCCCCTCATCATTTCTGAAGAGCCTAATGCAACTCAGGAAAGAATGTGGACCACAGCTCAATGGGCCTGGTATGAATACATTCTCTGCCACCCCAGGGTGCCTGGCTCTGAGCACCAGTCCCTTGGGCTTTAACGCCTTTGTCTGGAACCTGTGGGTGTTGATATGTGTCGTGCAGTTTTATTTCGAGGACTAGAAACAACCCTGTTTGACACCTGTGACAAGGCCTGGCAAAGCAGGTGCTTAGGAAAGGACAGGTACCAGCGCTGCAGGGCTGTCAATTAACAAGGATGGCAGATAGGCAAGGCAGAGGTAACTGACTTTGTGGCAATGAGTTATGTGACCAGGTAAGCCAATCTGAAAGAACCAACCTGAAGTCACACACACAGGCCTTTCCTGGCCCCACCCATTCCTCCTAAGTATCTATTTTTAAGTTCCACCCCAAAACCCCTCCCTGCAGCTTCTCCTCTCATATAGTCTCTCTTTTTTTTAATAATAAATTTTATTTTTATATGCCCCATACAATTGCAACCTCCTTATTTTGACCCCAATCCCTCCCCTCCCGCCCCCTACCCCCCATAGTGTCTCTGGTTCATAGTTTTTTGTTGATTTTGATTTTCACTTTCTTATAGTTATTCATTTTCCTGGTCCCTTATTTAAGTTTTCTAGATTCCTGCTATGAGTGAGACCATCCTTATTTTTCTTTTTCTTTCTGGCTTATTTCACTGAGCATGATCCCTTCCAGCTCCATCCATGTTGCTGCAAATTGCATGTGTTTATCTTTTTTGAATGCTGAGGGTATATATGTACCACATCTTCTTGATCTCATATAGTCTCTTATCTATTTTCTTCATCAGGCCACTAATAGCACACCAGATGAGTGCTTTTAATTAAATAGTTTCAGGTCCCTCACCGGTCTATCCATGCACCCTGTATTGTCCAGGAACCCAAACATGCCAATCACATGCCAGCTTGGGGACAAAGCAAGGGTAGAAAGACAGGGGCTTAGTGTCTGAATTGAAGAAGGAGGCAGGTCAAATGGTTAACATTTTGCTCATTAGAAATAAGACTGCACACTCTCTCATCATTTTCCCCCCACTTTTTTTTTTTGGTGTGTGTGGGACCCTCGCCGGCGGCTGGGGCACGAACCGGCGCTGCAGAGGCTGCGGGCAGCCTAGCAGCCCAGCGCTCTACCGCTGAGCCATCAGGGGAGACCCTCCTCCACTTACTAAAGTTGTATGTGGTTGTGCTGAGGTTTTACCCTTGGCAAAAATAAGATTCCTCACCTACCAATTCAAGAGCTTGGTCACCAGTTACTGGGGAGGGGAACAAGAAGGTCAAACCAGGGGAGATCAGGCTTAATTTTAGAAAGACACAGGCCACCTGACTGACTGAAATGATAGCCTCAGGGTCAAGTCCCTGTTCTGCAAGCAACAGAGAGAAGGGCCTGGCTCTCACATGCACTGTGTGCACGCACATCTTGCTCTGTCCACTATACAGGGCGTAAGAGAGGAAAAGGGTCAGCTGCTGTGACTCTTTCCCTCCTCTGCTGTGGGGCTGCTGCTCTGACTCAGCCGGCCCTCATGGCCTGTCACTTTGTGTCTGTCATCTCTCTGAGAAGCCTCTCCCCAGAATATCAAGCCACTCACAACTGGCCTCAATCCTAACTACTCACCTGCTTCCACCCACCTTTTGCATCCTCTGGGATTTTGCTCAAATCATTTGTTTCACCAGCCTTTCCCCCTACCAGTCCATTATCTACCTGCTTGAGCAACACCTGTGTGCCAAGCCAGATTAGGTGTGGATGTCACTCCCAGAAGAGTCCTTTCCTAATACCCCGGATGGGAATCCCTTGTACCTCACCTCCTCTTTAGATGAACAGGACTGGTGAAGCCGAGAGAAGGTGAGAAAGGAGAGTAAGTCCTGACATGGTATCAGTGTGCCAGACTTCTGGGGGCATAGGTCCCCCTTCTGTGATTCTACCAAGGAGGCACTGACCGCCCACAGTGACACTCTCTGAGGTTTTGCTGTTTATCAGAATGTAGCAACTGCAAGTGAATAGGAGGGCTGGCTGCAGAGAGCCCTCCCACACACATAAATAATTACAGAGAACATGACCCTTGGCTGTTTCCAAAAGTGCCTGGCAACAACTCCACCACCTGCCATCTGCAGTTAGACTCACAACTTGTAATTGCAGACACTGCCCACTTGGTCATTTTATAGTTACAGGCCAGAACTGATACCTCCTGACTCCTAGCAACGTGCTCTTTCTACTCCACCACCCACAACCCACCTCTAGATAATATACACAAATATTCAAAAGGACAGATGCCAGTATAGATGCTTCAGGGACTTTTGGTGCTTATTTGTCTCCATCTAGGGAAGTGCCTCTGTGTACTCTTTTTTCCAATCTATGTCAAGAGTTTCATGATCAGACCTCCCTGGTGGCACAAGGGGTAAAGCACAGCACTGTGGAGCTATCCGCACCAGTTTGATTCCCGAGCGGCCAGGGAGCTACCCACAAGGCACAGCAGATCTCGCCTATCTTGCCCACTGCTCCCCTCAGCAGTGTTATTTCAGTGGATCTGCCTGTTCTGCTCCCCACTCTCTCTGGTGAATCCTCTCACCTCCTGCACCTCTGGCCTGTACCCCAGTTCTTGTATGCATAAATAAATAAACAAACAAACAGTGTTTCATGTTCCCACAGCTGGGAAAGAACCAGGGAAGCGGAAGCGGGGAGGAGAGAAAAGAAAAAAGGGGGTGGGAGACAGAAAAGGGAAGGGAGAAAGGGAAGAGAAAAAGCTTGTGAGGTGGAGGGTTACTCCTTTGAAAGCCCTCATACCTCCCTGTAGACTAGAAGAGGCCTGATTGTGACTATGTGGTTGCCTGGGCCTGATCAAAGTAGTTCAAACCACACCCAATTCACATGCTGTGCTCTTTCATCTCTGGCCTCTTCTACTGAAGTTGCAAAGAGCAGCTCCACCGAGAGTTACTGCACAGGTTTTGGCAATCATAGTTTTTCAAGTGCACCAGCAAATTGCCAGCTAGGAGGTGAAAGAGTACTTCACTGCTGGGAAGAAGCTAGGATGATCCTTCAGCAAGAAGAAATTTTAAAAAGCAATGGATTTTCAATTCCCCAAGATAATGTCAGTAAAAAGAACTGTAAGCAAAGCCTGGTGCACTCCTCACTCTGACCTACCTGCTCGGCAGGCCTAAAGCCCCAGGGAAAAAGAAACGTGGGAGACCATCCAATTCTGCCTGCTTTTGATAAATCTCAAGAGTCACATGATCCTAATTCCGATTTCTCAGAAAAGGGCTGCCTGGCTAGCACAAACATGCAGTGCACTTGGGAGCTATGTTCCTTCCTGTTAATTAATGAGCCTGCAAGCTGGTTTACAGACAGGTCTCCTGTGACACGGCCCTGCATCACGAGAGCACTGGCCCACCTTGTAAAATGAACCGTTTCCATCCAGGCAAAGGGCAATGCAGGTATTCCCCAAGGCCCAGTCAGTGAATCCTGTCCAAAGGGCTGAGTTCACAGTCAAGTTCATCTACCACTACACCACCCACCCTAAGTGCCATTTGTTTAGAGGGGTCAGCCTGAAGTCAGTTACCACCCTCAGGTGAGAGGGAACAATAGGGCCAAATGGCAGAAGACTTGCTCTCTCCCAGTGAATTCCTTGCCCCCTACCCCCAAGACTGGACTATAAATGGGCATCCCTTAGTACCCATGTGGGAAGACTACATGCAGAGGACTTTCTGCCTCTACCGGCATACCTGAGCTGCTCCATATCTGAGTTGCTCCAGGAGGCCCTGGGAGCTGATCTAGATTATAGTAGTGGTCAGAGGCCAAATCCTGCCACAGGTGGGATCTGTGGAGCCTTCCCAGGCTTTTAAAAACATATGAATGACTTGTTCATATTTAAAATTAGGAAACTTATTTATGAAAGCAAAAGTAAGGAACCAAGTAGTCACAGACAGACAAAAAACAAGTGGGGGATAGAGACTTTTTCTTTTTTTTGAACCAGAAGATCTGGCCACCCCACCCCATATTCCCATTCCCTTGAGGTGGGCTCTGAAGTGCCATCCTGCTGGGGACTCCCCTCAGTGCGCTTTACATCTGTCACATGTCGGGCCCACAACCACTCGAGTCTGCACTCCATGATTTAGGGTCAGCTGGTGAGTCAAATGTACTTGGCTGCCTCTTTCCAGCTTGCCCCAGGCCCAATACACTCATCCTACTACTCTTGTGCAATGAGCATTGTGGCCTAGACTTTTCAAATGTCCAATAGTAACTTAACCTTTAGAGAAAAAGGTCATTCTTTCTACCAGAAGGCACCAGAATTTCTCTCTAAGAAGTTGGAAGTAACCCAGTTAGTTGTGGGCCTAGAGCAGCATGCCAACCGTATCCTGTTCATTATTAAGAGGTTATAAATGTACTAGGAACCACGTTATGCTGCCTGAAATACCACATATTGTCATGTATTAACACCACGTGCTGGTGATAGCGCAGCATCTCTGTAATGTGGCTCCATGCTCTCTAGGGGACATACCTTTACATCTTAAAACCTACAAATTCAAGTAGTTAAGACACATCAACCAGAGAAAAGAAGAGTATTCCAGGGGTGGCATGTGGTTAATGCCATCACCTCATCAGATTAAGGGTAAGGTTTCCAGATTAGGTTGTAAGGTCTATTTGTCTTCCTAAATACTTCTCTTGGACTCATTTAGGCAAATGTGTCCAAACTCTGAGAGTTCTGCAGCCAGGAGCACTCAAAGCCAATGACCAAGTCAAATAACAGTCCTGACCTTGTTTCCATGAAATGCAGGACATCCTCGGGTCGCAGGCACTTCTCTTGCTGATAATATGCATGTGGCAGGAACTGAAACCGCAGCTGGTACACTCTGAACTTGTTCTGCTTTTCCCCTATGCAGAAGGACTCCTGGACATCAATTTTCTGCAACACCTTGAACCAGATGAACAGAGAGAACCCAATATGCCAGGGTCCCAGGGGACTGGGCATTGTAAGGGGGCTATGGGAAATAGGAGGGTTTGGGCCATAAGCTAAAGCCCCAAAGAAACTCCAGTGAACTCTGTTGGTGCAAGATCTTTTGGGGGAAAAAATGGGTCCTGCAGTTAGCAGGTCACCCCCAGAAAATGGCCGTAGGCTGAGAAGAGTGGGCTTCAGTGGGGCTGGCAAAATATCACAGGAAGCATTTCCTCTTTAAGGCACATGTGAATATGGCAGCACCAATGATTACTTTAAAAGCTTCTTGACCCATTCCTGCTCAACACCTAGCAGAGAATGCTTCTCTCACTGGTGGAAGTCTGAGCTCAGTCAACAAAATCTGTCCTTCATGGATAGGGGTGCAGGTAAATGCCTCCACCCGGGCAGACACGTCTCAGGAAGACCATTACCTCTCCTAAGCACACCCTGGTGAGCTGCTTCTTCAGGCTTTTCACTCTCTTCAGGGCTTTCTTAGTGTTGAACACAGGCACGCTCATCATGGGCGTCTTGATGTTGGCACTGGCCACCATGAGAATCTCCCTCAACCTGTAACACAGAACAGGGAAGCACCCAATCACCAAAGCTACACAGATTCCCTATCTGTGTGAGACCTTTCTTGTAAAAGATATACGAGTCCTGGGATCTGACAGAGGCCTATGGATCTTGCAGAAAAATATGCTGGGCCAAAGTGTCCCAGCTCTGGCCCCGTATGTGACACCCAGTGATATGTGACACCCAGTGACTCTATATCAGTGTCCTCCATTGGAATATTGACCCTAGGACAGGGCTGTGTCACACACGCAAGCATGCACATGCTAACTCTCTCATTTAATGACTTTTTGGGAAGGGACAGGACAGACCCCACCCTGTGTACCCTTGCGGTCCTGCACCTTGGAATGCCCAGAGTGACGTTCATCTCGCCTCTGCCGGCAAAGTGGAAAGTGTTTAGAGTCATCTGTGTGGAGGGCTCCCCGATGCTCTGGGCAGCCAGCAGGCCCACGGCCTCACCCGGGTCACACAGTGAGCGCTGCCACTTCAGCTGCAGCAGGGTCCTCAACCTGATGAGGCAGGAGATGGCAGGGGTTAGGAGCAGATGTGACGTGTCTGTTAGGAGCTGACACCACCACCCGAAACCAGGGTGCACGAACTGTTCTCTCTCCCTTTTTTGGAGCCTGTTTTTCCTAGCTGAATGGTCCTTCTAATCCTTAAATTCCTTCTAGAAACCCTGGGATGTCCCGAATTACACAGCACCGACCCCAGCTGGATTGCTGAAGCTCTAGGTGTAAACACTTGACTGCTCCATTTCCTGAAACGTCATGTGTGCACTCTGTACCACCAGCCCCCTAAGCAGTGAGAACTCCTGGTCTCATGAGTCACATTTCCCTTTGTCTATTATTTTTCCCCACTCGTGAGTTTGGTGAGGGCTCAAACTTCCCTTTGTACAAACTAGGAAGAGGGTTCATTAAGCTGTTATGGGAAGGGCAAGAGACTGGGGTGTTTATTTTCTTAATTGGTGCAAATCACTGCAGGCCATATCAGAAGTATACATGCTACACAGTTTTGTAATTTACTAACCATTCTTTCTAGAAAAGCTGGCCCTTTTAGAACAGCCACTAGGGAGACTAATACCCCAACATATGGAACAAGGAAGTAGCCCAACAAATTTAGATTAAATGGATGTATGTGCGAATAGCAGTGAAGGTTGCGTGGTATCAGTATTCCTGATAGGAAAGTCTTTGAATACCTGCCGAACTCTGGAACTCTACCAGCTTGCTACTTACTAACAGGTCCCCTGCCAGAGCTGTGGAAACAACTGCTTCTCTGTCTTGGCCCTCAGAACCCACGAGCTGCTCACCAGGGCTATTCCCCCTACTCCCGACACAGTACTGCTGGAGGGAGCCACTGACATGGTCAATGACATGGTCAATGCCGGCATCCTGAGCCACAAAGCAGCAAGACCAGAATCTCACTCTAACCAAAAAATCTGCTGGCAGCTGGGCTAATCCAGCATGATTTAATATATCTGGGAATCTGAGAGCTGGCTGGAGATTACTCTAAGGGGCAAAAAGAGAAAGCTCTGTCCCTTCCATCTAGTTGCTCCACTCCAGGGTCTGTGTTTGCTCACTTGCCTTTACTAATTCCCAACCCCTGCTGCAGCCCCACGCTGACCTTGGCAGCCTCTCCACACACCTTGCTGGGTTCACCAGGTACAGGATGAAAAGCCAGGCAGGGGCAGCTACCTCAGAGGCTTCTAGTTCTGCAGGTCAGGCTTAGTAAGCTGATCAGGAAGGACCCCTAGAACCGCTCCAAGATCAACCCCTCACGCTGGCATTCCTTGAGGGCACTTTTAAGGATTTTACCCACTGTGGCTTGGTGCAGCTTCATGCCTGGCTTCTCACCTGCCTAGAACACCAAAATTTTTCCTGTTTTATCTTCTTGTGTGGAGGTGAGGACTTCACGTGGTCCTTTCCCTGAGGATCTAAAACCCAAAACTTAAAGGACCACCAGAGTAAGCAAATCCAACCCATGAAAAGGTTGAGAAGTCACAGGGCAGTGCATTACCCTGGGGCACAGAGCTGGCAGCTGCTAACAGTGATCAGATTCCCTGACACACCAAATTCAAAAGAGGTCTTATCTGCAAGCCTGTCCCAGCAGAGGACTCTTCTCCGTCTTGCCCAAAGGCGGGTATCGACTCTGTCTACCTGCTCTTGTCTGTCCAGAGCCCTGCTCCTCTGTTTCACTTTCCTCCCCTCTGCTGAGTCTCACATCAGGAGGCTGCCCTCCCCTTCCAGAGTGGGTAGGGATGGATGTGAGGGGGAGATGTGCCCTCTGTATATACCATGTAACAAATGGTATATACCTGGTGTATACCATGTAACAAATGAAAGGCATTACCTGTCCAGAGAAAGCTCTGCTTTTTCATAATTCTTCTCTGCTTGGGATGCCCACTCACAACTGTAGTCATCCATCTTTTTCTCAAATGTTTCCGATACTGATGCAAAGTAGATGTCTGGGCGCCAGATTGACAGGCTAGGGTCAGGACAAGGGGCTGCCTTCTTCTGGTACTTCCTCCGGCTCTGCTCATCTAACTCATACCACATCTTCAACATCTGAAATGAAGGATGGACCTTAGCAATGCTGAACAATGCCAGGAATGGGCTTCTCTTCCTGGGACACACAGCAACGTAAGGAGAATCAAAGGCACTGCCTTTATATAACAGCAGGGAAAGGGGACAGAAATCAGATTGCCCTGAGAAAACCATTTTAGCATTTAAAGCAAGGAGAAACCAATCCATCCAAGGAATGCTCCTTCACCATGACTAGGAGCTCTTCATCTTGGCTCAATCATGCACAGGTATGGAGCGCATGTAAGTTACTGTCTAAACTGGGATTCTTTGACAGTAAAGTGGGGAACTATTAGTAAGAACGCTAAGACAGGAAGCAAAGCTAGGGACCATGCTGGATCGCTGTTTGTGCCTGCCCAGGCTTTCACAAGCTCGATGCCCAAAGTCACCCCATAGGGACTGCGTCAAAGTCCCTCCCCAACGAGTCCCCTTGTCTCCTTCCCAGGATTCCAGTTGTTTCACGAATGGGAAGCCCAGCAACAGAGAGGGAGGTAGGAGGAGAGTGAAGAGTGAAGCTGAGCACTTATCCCCCACCTATTCTAAGGTTCTCCCAGCGTGAGGCCAGGCTTCTCTACTGAGGACTCCTGTCAACGGGTCTCTGCCCACAGCCACCCTCTCCACTCCTGGTGACCGCTCTCCCTGTTCCTTCACATCTGGGATGGCGAGGAAGCCCAGTTATGAATCTCTATTAGTTTTCCCCAAACCCTGCCCATATCTTTGGAATGAGTTCCCTCCTAAAATATTTGAGTGCCTCTTGTTCCCTGACTGACAGTGAATGAAGCCAGATTATAATATTATACCTTCTATTAGGAAAACAATCCCTATTCCTTCCAACCCTGATTGAGGCCTGTATGTGCCCGGCACCGGGGATACAGCCCCCAAGTCACCTGGTGAGTCCCAAGGCTGCGGCCATTCTGGTTTGCATCCTCGAGGTCCAAGGCTTTCACAGCTGCCTGTATTTTCTGGGAATAATTCAAGAAGGCGCCTCTTCTCAGGAGGGTGCTAGAATGCTTGCTTTGCCATTTTTTGATGGCTCTGAAGTGGCGTAGAGCTTTTTGGGGCTCTGCTCTGGATAAAACCTCATGCAGATGCTTCGATTTCATTATCACCTAAATAGCACACATGAGACAAGATGTGAGAGTCACACAACTTCATCGGGTGAAGATGGCTGGGGTAGAGCCCTATAATCTAGAACCCAGCACACAGCAAACGCCCCCAAGTGGCAGCTATTGTTCTAGAAATGTGTGTGCCTTTCTGCCCTCTGATATGATGAAAGCCCACAAAGGGGATAACAAAATGTCAAGTATGTCCAAGCATCGGATCAGTGCTTTAAAAACTCTTCCACCTCCACTTTTGACAGCTTCTCCGACTGGGTGACAAAGTTCAGGGTGCCTGAGTTCTCTCCTTGGGTGGGAGACCCATCACACAGGTCCTGCCCCCACCCCCAGGTGCCAGGGGTCAGGCCCACTACCTCGTAGTTGCTGGCAAGGAAAGGGAACTGCTTGGGCTGCAGGAACTGTGTCTTGGGGATGTCGAGGCCGTCCTCCCCATACAGGAACTGCACCACACTGCCATCACTGTCGCGGACTGTCAGATCATACTGGACCACCAGCCCCTCCAGGTGTTTGATGATGCACCTGTACAGAGACCACCAGCTCAGGGCCCACCACCAGGCTCACCACCTCCCTTGACAGTCTCTGACAGGGACAGGGACAGCAGAGGGTAGGGTGTGAGGTGGGGCTGTGGAATTGGGAAGAGGACTACTGTCTTGCAGCCTAGTGGGATTCCAGGACAGATTGGATCCTATTGCTCCACCTTCACTCCCACCTTCAGGCCCAGGTGCTGGGCTATACAGTCTGTCTTTTTCCTCTTCTGCACCAGAGTTCGCTGGGGACCAGTGCCCTTAGATCACAAGGTAGGCAAAGCAACAGGATTTATCTTGCTCCAAGGACAAGCTCAGTGCTGATTGCCACTGTCTTCTTGGCACCAAGTTCAGGGACTGGCAAGACTGGGGCTAAAAACCCACCTCCCCTTTGCTGGAAAGGCTTAAGTGTCACTCGTGCCCTCTGCTCTCTCCTTACCTCATTGGGCTCTAGCTCTTAGCACCTGCAACAGCCTCTGAAGGTGCATCCCCGGCCTCTCCTGAGCTTCACGCCTTGTATCTAAGGGTCCACTAGACATGTCTATTGGAACATCCCTCTGTTGCTGCCTCAGACCACCCACCCTGTCTCTCATGTCCCTTGCAGCATCTTGCTCTCTTATCAGTTGTGCCACTGTGCACTGTGCACTGGTGTCTGAAAACTCTGTTGCATCGGATGCCTCACTGCCTCTCATACATTACTGCCCACTGCCCCAAGTCTTTGCTGCATTGGCTTTTTCCTAACCACTGCCACCCTCAGAAATCAGTCTTCCAACCTTTAGCTGAACCTTCACCACAGCTGTGCTAGATTCCTTCAAACCAACCTGAAGCCCTGAAGTTGCCCTCTCTGTCATAAACCTCCATCTGCGGTGGATGCCGTAGATGTTTGCCCCAGTGGCTACCCTTCCATTCCAGCCAAGATCCTCAATACTCTCCATCTTCCCACCTGTATTCACTCAGCTTTAGGGACTCCCGTCCCATCCATGGGACCCCTGTCTACAGACTTTTGGTCTCTCATTTTTCCTACATTGCATATTCATTCTTAAATGTTTTAAAATTACGACAGTGGAGTAAACCCTGCTCATGGAAGGAGTTGATCCATGACCCTAAGAGGAGAGCTTGCCCAATCACAGGGTACTCACTCCCGGCTTGGCACTGCCAGGTTAGCACCTCACCAACAGGCCATCCAGGTGTGTGTCCACCCAAGCCCTTACATCCCCTTCTCAACCCAATAACACGGATGCAGCCTTGGGAGTCAAGAAGGAGGGTATTCCGCTTTAGGAAATCTGGAGCTAAGAGAAACAGGAAAAAAAATCTGGAGCTAAGAGAAGCAGGAAGCACGAAAAAAGAGAAGCTGGAGCATACAGGAGACCTTGCAGGGAGAAAGAAAGGAGCTGTGCCGCGCTATCTAGCAGTCTATCTAGTTCCTGGGAACATAATATAAAATCAGGCCCGAGGAGTATGCGGATATATTTTTGTTGTCTCCTCCATTTCCCACTACCATTTCTATAACACAGGGTCTCTAGGCTCAGAAAGATTACCAAGGCAAAACCAAAACCAACCAAACAAACACCAAAAAAAAAACCCCCAAGTCAGAGCCTTGAGACATTAAAACCCAAAGGAAGGAGGATGTGGTAAAGGGGTCTGCTACTACCGACACCCCACTCTGCCAGGTACTGTGGAATCAAACCTGTTTAGTTTTAATTCATTCTCCTACCTGCCCATATAGGCCTGTCAGAGTGGCTTTGTGACCCCTTTCCTCCCAGAAAGGAACAAAAATAAGCAGGTCTGGGCTGGGATTCCCCACTGTGATGCCTGTACCTGAAGGGACAGTAACAGATTCACAGGCAGGGGCCCTGGGCCCAGAACCCTCTCTGCACTGTCCCAGGATGCTGAGTCCTCCCAGGGTGGAGGCCAAGCTCGTCACTACTTTCCTACACCCGTAACTTCCCCAGGAAGTGGCACACCCAGGGAACACAGGGAACCTGCATGTGAACCTCTGAGCTTATGCTCTGCCAAGCCTTTAAAAGGAGAATAATTCTGGCTACTCTCTGTCTCAGTCACCCATGAATATTTTAAAAGTTTATTCATGCCAAGGGACTCTTCAGTGCACTGTCAATGAAAAGTGAGAGAGGTGAATGGTGCTGGGACACTGATGCATCTAGAGGTGGCAGAGCAGGGGCTTTTTACCTTTGGAGGTAGCCAGAGCGGCTGGTTTTCACAGCAGTGTCGACCAGACCCTCTCGTCCTGCCATGCAGTGGAAGAAGAACTCCTGTGGGAGAAATGGGAACCAGGTCCCGGATGTGGCAGTGAGGACAGTGTGATTCCTGAAGGCAGGATCAAGCCAAAGCCTCCAGTGACCTGCCTGCTCTCTCAGGGCCCTTGGGTTTAACAGTTCCAGTGGCCCCTGGTCACTTCTGCCCTTTCTTATTTTCTTATTTTTCTCATCTATCAGCAAACACTTACTGAGCCCCCACTACGTGCCAGGCCCTGTACTAGGCTCTGGCTTTAAAAGATGTGACATACTTGTATCTGTTTGGTCCTCATGGGGCATTGGATCTAGTGGGCAAGCACCAAATGGACATTTATTACTTGACCTTCCCTGCTTGGAGTTGTTGGTGAAGGTCACAGGACTCCTCCCACCGAGTCTAGAAATGAGGAAAAATGCTAAAAGGAAAAACAAAAATACATACGGGAGGTTTGATACCAGTGAGGAATCTGCCAGTGACAAAGCCACCAGCCCTGGGGGTGAATTCGTAAGGTTCAAAGCAGGGTAGTGACTTGCCAGATGCCATCAGTGGGGGTCTCCGACCTTCCAATTCAATCTGCCCCAGCAGGCATGAAATCTAGGGAAAAGAAAACCCAAAAGAAACTCAAGACCCACATGGGTGTTAGAGAACATTTTGTCCTAGCAGAAGAGGGCCTGCTCTGCAAGAAAAGCTGCAAAGAAACTGAGTTCTCAAAGAGGGATTGGCCTCCCAGGCCCTCCTCACCCGGATTTTTAAACATGCCAGGGAAGCTTGCATTTTAAGAAGATAACCAAGTCTTTCTTTTGTTGACTGATAAGAGATTTTTTATATTTGTAGTCAACTGAAAATGATGATATTCATTAAAGAAGTTATTTCAAACTCATCACGTTATACTTGGAAGAGGCCAGCATGTCCTTCTGGGGAAACCAAGGCATGCAGGAAAAAGGAAGTTGTGATAATATAAATATTGTAAATATTCTTGGGAAATAGAGCAGTGTGTCTAGATTCCACTTTAGTCAAAGGGGTTTTGAAACCCATTCCTACTGCTCTATACTCAACAACAAAGAGATGATCTCTAAGACCCTCTCAAGGTCATCAAGATAAAAAAAAAAGGTATAATTTGTGAAACTGCTATGATAGCATTGCAATAATCTGAGGAGATAATGTACCTCACATTAAGGACTAAGAATCCTGCAAGACAATGCTTATATTAAATGAAAAAAGTACATCATGCAAAATTAAAGGATCTCAGCTACAGTCTTTATGTATCACAGTGTTTATAAATAGTATAAACACATTTAATATGATTTTATGATACACATATTTACAAGATATACCCATATTATACATATCGACATATGTTTATATCTGTTTTGGTCTCTAACATTCACATGCCAACAGTAACTAGCACCTGTAACGACTCTATATGCTTTTATATTTTTTTTTTTTTTTTTTTTTAGAGGCATGTTTTATTTATTTATTTATTTTTGTTTGTTTGTTTGTTTTGTCTATACATGCACTGGGTACAGTCAGAAGCGCGGGAGGGTGAGAGAATTCACCAGAGCCAGAGCGGGGAGCAGAGCAGGCAGAAGGACCGAAGTACACTGCTGAGGGGAGCAGCGGGCGGCAGGAGAGGTCTGCGCGCCATGTGGGATCCTCCGCCGGTGGCCGGGAAGCAGCCGGGGATCGAACCGGCGCCGCAGAGGCCGCGGGCAGCTTCGCAACCCAGCGCTCAACCGCTGCGCCACCGGGGAGGCCCTGCTTTTATATTTTTTAATACTTGCCATATTTTATACAGAACATAGGTCCTTTTGAAAATCAGAAACAAATCTAAAAACTGCTTCCTAAGATAACCCCATCTTCTGGCTAACCGGCCAGGCAGCCCGCCTTTGCTCACACCTGCATGGTGTTCACAGTTGAACCTTTGGCTCCAGACTGCACCATCATCTGCAAGTTGTTCTCTGGGAACTGTCTGTGCAAGCCAAAGGGCATGCATGCCTGCAGAGTAAATAAACACATGGTCAAAAGGTAAGTTCACCTGACAGAGCATGTCCTCAGTTCCTACACACCTGGCAATGACGACCAATGACCACATCATGTTCACTAAGAACACACTGCCTGAGCATCATGTGGGAGCCCTGCCTCAGCTCCAGGGCTAATGAAAACAAGTAAAGCCCCCCCGGTGGAGCCAGGTGGAGATGCTGGGAGGGGATTCTGACTCTACTTAAGTCTCTGCCTTAGGATTGCAGAGACCAAGGCCAAACAGGAAAGATGGAGTCTGAGTGGGAATAGGGGAGCTAGAGAGACAGGAAGTAGTTCTGAAAGGCTTCTGAGACAACACCCCCACCCCAGCATTCCCAATCAACCCTAAAAGCTGAGCGCTCTGGTTCTCTGGAAGGTGCTGGGGAGGCTCTGTTGAATAAAACCTCTTTTTTTTTTTTTTTAAATTAAATGACTTTTTTTTTTTTAAAGATTTTTTTATTTGTTTATACAAGCACTGGGTACAGTCAGAAGCACAGGAGGGTGAGAGGATTCACCAGAGACAGAGCGGGGAGCAGAGCAGGCAGACTGATGAAACACACTGCTGAGGGGAGCAGCGGGCGGCAGGAGAGGTCTGCGCGCCATGCGGGACCCGCGCCAGTGGCCGGGGATCGAACCAGCGCTGCAGAGGCTGCGGGCAGCTTCGCAACCCAGCGCTCAACCGCTGCGCCACCAGGGAGGCCCTTGAATAAAACCTCTTAAGGACAGAACTTGTATCAAACTGAGGTCTGTGTTCACACCAATCAAAAGGACAACACTGACAAATATTGACTTTTATTGAACACTGGCCTTGCCTGCTCCTCAGGCTGAGACTCATGGCACAGGAGTCAGGACCAAGGCCAGGCTGGCTACAGGACTCAGAGTCCTGCCTCTGGGGTGGAAAGGTAGAGAGAACCAGTTGTGCTCTTCACTTGTGGAGGGTTTTCACTCTTCTTTCTCAACTGCACAGGAAGGGGCTTTGGCGAACTTGCACAGAGTTCCCACCGTGCAAGAGCACTGTGGACATTTGTTCATCAATCCTCTGAGCAACCCTATGAGGCAGGTAGTCCTCACATCCCTACTCCCAACTGAGGAAACTAAAGCAGGAACTGGTTACATCCCACTCCTGAGGTTACACAGCAAATACATGGCAGAGTCTGGATTTGAACCCAGGTCTTCATCCCCTGCCCTGCTATATAAGCAGGATTCTTCATTCTGCATTTCTACTCAGCAGTGGCCCTAGAGGAAAGATTTTCTTCCTTCAGTCCCCTTTAATGCGGTCACCCAAAATACACTTTAAAAGAAAATTAGTGTTCCTTCTTAGCATTAATTACAGACCCTACACCTGGGTGAAGGAATAAAGTCCTTGAGTTTTCAAGATGATAAATCCTACCCATCCCATCTTGCATCTCACCTAGTCAGCTGTTCCAAAGGGTCTTGGGTGAGAATCAAATGTAATTAAAAAAACACAAAAAACCCCACCAAAAGACAGCATTCAAAAATGGTGGCAATCAGTGCATGCATTACTGGACTAACCTTGTTAATCTCATTGCTGTAATGGTTCACTTCCTCCTTGAACTTCAAATCAATCATGTTAAAGTCCCTCTGGTCTTTGCCCAGATGGGCATCCTGCCATTTTCCTCGGACCTCATCACATGCTGCTGTTTCTGGCAGATTTAATGCAGTCCTGATAGCCTAGAATGAGAAAAGGAACATGTTGGAGGCTGCAGGCAACTGAGGAAGGTATGGGCTGCATTCTGTAGGCGACCCAATCCCTCTGTGGCAGGCTGAAGCCTCCCAGGCCCTCCTCACCCGGGGCCCACAGTGGGTGGACTCTTCAATGATCCTGTGTCTCTTGACATCTGCCTTCGGCTTAACCAAAATGTCTTCCACGCCTGTGAAGTGAAACAGACAAGCTTGGATGGGACCAGGGGTGACGTCTCACCAGACTAGAAACTCGGTGTGGTTAGGGCATGGAGCACTATGCCACATACACAGGGAGCATGTGAACAATGATGTATTGATGTTATTAAGAGGTTGTCCTGATGTCTTAAGCGCTTCCCAGAGGCCAAACATTATAATCCCCATTTTAATAATGATGAAACTAAAGCTCAAACTTGAGCAACTCACCCAAAGTTACACAGATAGAAAGTAAACCTAGACCTAAGCTCCAAACTTAGCTACTTGCTAAATGCCAACGCTCAATAAATACATGTTGGATAAATGGGCTAGAGGTGAAGGTTTGGAGTGAAAATCCAGGTGTAGGGTCTAGAAAAGTCTAAAAGAAGAGAGGGAAGGAGAGACATCATGGTCTTGGCCCCTAGAAGTCACCGAGACTACCCAATACATGTGCGTGGCAGGCACACAGAAACACACTTGAGCCTGGATCACTCCATTGAAGCCTATCCTGGCTCCAAAGGGTTGAGGAATGTCTCACCTTGGGCAATAGCTCTTTCTACTTCAACTTTCAATAAAACTATTTTCTACCTCTATAAGTGGTACTGGACTCAAGTCTTTCAGTCGCGATGTGAGTGGGAAAGAAAACAATAGCTGTTCTGTTCAAAAGCTGGGCTAACACACCTGGAATTCCCAGTGCAATGTGGTGGAAGCTTGAGGGCCTCTACAGAACATACTTCAGTGGGAGAGGAAAGAAACAGTGCTCCTGGGAGAAAGCTATAACCACAAAAGTGGGTCCTTCCATGAGGTCAGTATGGACCCATCATGCTGTCCCCCTTCACTAACTGCTCCCTGGTGGTGAGGGCTGGAATGAAGGCAACACCCCTAGTCTGCCCTTGCCTCAGAGCTCGATGGCCAGCTTGATATGCTCTCTCAGTCTCATGTGATCTGCACTGGAGTTTGTACCCAGGAGGCCAACTTTTCTTTGTGCCATGTGCCAAAGAGAGCTATAAGCATAGCTTGCTTGTCACTATTTGGTCCTTATGATGATCTGGGTATGGGACTTCTATGCATTTTTCAAGATTTTTTTATTCAAGGGGGCTCATCCCAGCAAAAATCATGAGTCTGGAAATGGTCCAAATGTTTAGTAATAGGAAGCAGATAAATAAACTACTATATATCTACACAACTAAAATAATCTACAGGAAGGAATGGAGGGGAATGTGAGTATGAAAAATAGCCTCAGGACGTTTTCTGTCCCATAAAAGGTGAAGTCAAGAAAGAGACAGAGGGGCCTCCCCTGGTGGCGCAGCGGTTGAGCGCTGGGCTGTGGAGCTGCCCACAGGCTCTGCAGCACCAGTTCGATCCCTGGCTGCCGGCGAGGGCCCCACATGGCGCGCAGACCTCTCCTGCCGCGCCCACTGCTCCTCTCAACAGTGTATTTCATCAGCCTGCCTGTTCTGTTCCTCACTCTGGCTCTGGTGAATCCTCTTACCCTCCCGTGTTTCTGACTGTACCCAGTGCTTGTATAAATAAATAAATAAATCTTAAAAAAAAAAAAAAGAGACAGAATGGAAATGCGGACAGAGGTGTCACTGCTGGTTGATGGTGAAGAAATACTGGCTGGGGGGAGGATGTATGGAAAGCCCCAAGGAGTGAGGCTGTTAAATGTCACTGATGGCCCAGTGAAGGTGTCCTCAGATAGGAGCCTGGCAACTCCCCTAGGCCACAGGCCAGCACTCACCCAGGGTGAAGCCTCTGTAGAGCTGCAAGTAGGCGGTGAAGAGGCGGGCCAGGCAGGTGAGGACCTTGCCACTGGTCTCACCCCCATAGATCTCATAGCAGCAGTGCACCAGGCCGTAGGCGGAGCTCCCATAGTGCGCCTTGTCCAGCACTCCACAGAGAAGTTCCCCTGCTCTGATGATCACCTGTGAAGGAGACGGCCATCAATGCTGGGCTGGAGGTGACACCTGCTGTGTGAGCCATCTCCCTCCTCTACACATTTCTTAATCTTACAATACATGTTCCCTCACCATAACCTGCCACTAGTCTTTGATGCAAAGTAGGGTATAAATGGAATCAAGCGTTTTTTTGGCTTGGTTTTTTAAACAAACGAAGTGAGCACATATAGACCCATGAGTTTTTAAAAATTGTTTTCAGGGGCAACACTCTGTATATACATGTGAACATTTCAGTGTGTTCATCCATCCTCTTGCTCCCCCATCAATTACACTATCTTGAGGTAAAAGACCTTGTGAGTGGAAGTGACAACATCTAGAATCAAAGCTTCATCATTGTGCCGTTGGCCTAGGTACCCCCTACTTTATACTCTGGGATTAAGAACAATGTAACCTTTCTGATATCCTTTAAAGCCTGAATTTGTACTTTCACAAAGTTGGGTTCGAGCATTGTGAGAATTTCTTGCTGGGCCCTCCTGGTGGCGCAAGGGATTAAAGTCTCGGCATTATGAAGCTATTGGCAGCCACTGCAGCACGAGTTCGATCCCCAGCCAGGGAGCTAACCCACGTGGCACAGCAGACTTCTCCTGTCTCACCCGCTGCTCCCCTCAGCAGGGTATTTCAGTCAATCTACCTGTTCTGCTACCCACTCTGTCTCTGGTGAATCCTCCCACTCTCACACATCTGGGCTACACCCCAGCTCTTATATGCATAAATAAAATGAATTAAAAAAAAAAAGAATTTCTTGCTATATAATGCAGCATACATTAAGCAGCTTTGGTTCTGAATAGAATGTCTATTAGACTCTAGAAGCTTAGGACTTGTGAGCTGGGGACTTGGGGATGCTCCCCACCAAGAACAGGCAGAGGCCTTAGAAATCTTTGGGGAGTGTGGGGGGTTTGGAGGTGGGTGGTCGGGCACAGTCTTACTCTCTGGCAGTTCACTGTGGCCTGAGTTTGACTGCCCTGGGTCTATGCCCAAGACTGATTCCCAACACACAGAGCTGGAAGGTGTGGAACCTTGTAGCAATTTGCTGATCTTAAGTCACTAAAGGATCTTAAGAGAAAACAGATTCTGCATTTCCAAGCTTTGCAGAGTCAAGTCCAGAGGCCTACTGCTGGAGAACACTTCCTAGGCTGGCTGAGTTTTCCACTAAGGGTCAAATGCTAACAAATTAACTCTGACCCTTTCCAAAACCAAAAGTTGACACCAGTGCGGGGAGGTTTTGAGGCGTGGCAACTGTTTCTGCACATGGACCTCCATTTTTCTCTGATTTAAATCATGGTGTCTAAATCCAGGACTAGAAGACTTCAACCCACACTCTGCAGCCATACCTGAGACTCACACATTGAGTTGGGGTTAAAGTTGGGAATGGGCCGAGGAGACTCCTTCACCCAGGCTTTCCCGCTGATCTTCGCCTTTCCTGCTAAGTTCAGTGGGATCTGATCCTCTGGAATTATGTTGATAAGCAGCGTTGATACTACCTGAAAAGAAAAAGAAGACAAAGTTAATGGTGTGGGGAGGAGAAGTGAGATGTTGCCTTTTAGGACCTCCTCTTTCTGTTCATCCTGAAAAGTCAGATAAGTCCATTCTAGTGATTTATAGGCAGAGCAAGAAGACTAACAGTTGTAGCTGTGGGGGCAGTTGCTCTCAGTTCTTTTCTACTGACATAGAAAGGAAGCTTAGGAGCGGGAAAGTCCATCACTAAGAACTTCACCGGGATTTTCATTTCCCAAAACAGTTCTTTTAAAATGAGTAATTAGGGCCTCCCCGGTGGCGCAGCGGTTGAGCGCTGGGTTGCAAAGCTGCCCGTGGCCTCTGCCCGCGGCCTCTGCAGCGCCGGCGCCGATTCGATCCCCGGCTGCTCCCCGGCCACCGGAGGAGGGTCCCGCATGGCGCGCAGACCTCTCCTGCCGCCCGCTGCTCCCCTCAGCAGTGTACTTCGGTCCTTCTGCCTGCTCTGCTCCCCACTCTGGCTCTGGTGAATTTTCTCACCCTCCCGTGCTTCTGACTGTACCCAGTGCATGTATAAACAAAACAAACAAACAAATAAATAAATAACATGCCTCTATAAAAAAAATAAAATAAAATAAAATAAATAAAATGAGTAATTACCTAGATTTGAATTAAGCGCCTGAACAGACCAAAGGGAGGAGAGACAAAAGTAAATTGCTGTGGGTTATAGTAAAAAAAGGATTTCAGTATGTGGTAAAAAACAAAAATAAAGACAGCAGGGTTGAGAGAGATAAAGGGGCTCTTCACACTGCTCTATGCCAGGAGAAGGCAGCTGACACAACATCAGGCCTTGGACTAAGGTAAAGGCTGAAGAACACTTTCGAGGCATCCTCCCCTGCTTTAGAACACATCAAGATAGGTGACAATGATTAAGTAAGTTAGTAACATCCTCCCCTACAGCAGCTTTGGCTTTCTGGTGGGTGCCAAGGAAGAAAAGGGAGCAAAGACAAGAACTGAGAGCTTTTCCTCTGAAGAGCTTCACAGAGAAGGCCTGAGGCATCCACCTGAGAAGCAGACTATAGAGTGAAGCTTTGCAGACAAGGGATGTCCCAGTGTCTACTCCATCACTGACTGGTCATGTGCTGCGGGCCAAGTGACAATGCACTTAGCCTTAGCATGTTCATTTGTAGAACTAGACAAGATCCTTTCATTCAGCAATTACATGTCGAGTGCTTACTAGGCACCAAGTGCTGGGAAAAGTCATGAACAAAGTAGCCGCTGTCCTCAGTGCCTTCATTCTTGAGGGCATCCATGCTTCGGAGGAAAAAACAATAGGGAAGGAGGACCAGAATAGCAAGTGGGGGGTGAGTATTTGGAATTTTAAATAAGATGTGCAGGGAGGGTCTCTCCAAGAAGGCATTGAGGAAAGAAGCTGTGAGAGATCATGTTATTTCTAGGGGGGAAAGCAAGGTTGTAGGCTTTTAGTTTGAGTGAGAAAAAAAGCCATTTGGCAGGTTTTGATCGCAGTATTGAGATGAAAAAAATGCTATAGAGAAAAAGCTTCCTGAGAGACACTGCCAGAAAGGATTAGTGCTTTAGAAGTAGTTATTAAAGCAACCTGAGTGGGGCATACTGCACGATGGAGACGCTGTCTGAGGTACATCACAGGACACGCTAGTTTTGTGACTGCTCAGCAACTCAGTAGCTCCCATACAATTAGTTTTTATAGATTTAATGCCAGAAATAAATTGATTTGACTGGAATTCATTATGGTTATTGAGAGGCTGGGCAGTCTTGCACCTACCTGAAGGGGACCCATCAGTGATCATTCATTCAAAAAGTAGCTGACTACAGGAGGTCAGAAGAGACAATTTGTTAAGCAGTCACTCCACAGAGAACCAATGTGAAGCAGCTGTATCTAGGGATAATGCTGGGTTGTCTCCAGAGCGATCAAGAGCACACATTCTCAGATGCAGCAAGTAGCAGACAGGTTGGGGTAACAGGCATGAGGGCTGAGGAGGAGCTAGGAAATGTCATCTGGCATCAACAGCTCTTTCTATGCCTGTATAAGAGTCCAAGAAGCATCTTCATATGTGCACAATGGGATAAGAACAGTAATGAGAGCAGCTACCTTTTCAGGCAAGGAGTTGAGGGTCAAGTGGCTACACCAGAATCTTTAAACAAGACAGACAATACCCCTTATTATCTCAGCAGACAACCAGAAAGGTCATGCATAATCCATTCTCTCCACAAGGCCAGCACTGCAAGACAAGGAGGCAGGAGGGTGAGAGTTCTCTGGGATGCCAATCAAAAGATGCACCTCAACCAAAGTGCCAAGTGTACCTCGGGAACTACCAGGCAATGCACAGTCAGGATGGGAAGTCTGTGTGAAAGGTAACAGAAATACATGTTTCCAACCATCCAAACTCAGGGACATATGACCTGCCATCTCATCTACCAAATTAAGGGACAGTATATAAACACCAACACACTTGCATGATTAAAAAAATACTCAACAGACTAGGACTAAAAGGGACCATCATCAACCTAATAAAGAGAAGGCATCCAGGAAAAACCCACAGCTTAGGGGCCTCCTGATGGCACAGGTTAAATTCTCATTGCTATCAATCTATTGCCAGCCACTGTGACACTAGTTTGATCCCCTGCCAGGGAGCTAGCCCACCTGGCGAGGCAGACCTCTCCATCTTGCCCACTGCTCCCCTCACCAGTGTATTTCAGTAGATCCACCTGTTCTGCTCCCTACTGTCTCTGGTGAAGCCTCTCACCTCAGCACCTCTGGCCTATACCCCAGTTCTTGTATGCATTGAAAAAAAAAACAAAACCAAAAACTTAAAAAAAAAAAAAGGAAAAGAAAAGCCCACAGCTTACATACTCCTTCTTCAAAGATTTTCTGTCAGGATGAAAAAAAAAATAAAACAATGATGTCTGCACTGGACACTTCTATTCAACAACATACCAGCTGTTCTAGTTGAGAAATTAGACAATAAGAGAAACACAGGAATCCAGATTGGAGAGAAAGAAGAAAAATTACCTGTTTTCATATGACATGATCTTGCAAAATACTACTGGCACTAGTAAACAAAGTTGCAGGGCAGGGATACAGAATGAACATAAAACTGGCAATACCGCAGTCTTGCCAGGGCATGAGTTCTTCCTGGACATCACTGGTAAAGGCTAATTAACTTCATGAGGTCACTTAGACCCTCGACAAGCCTAAAGGAGTTCAGTTTGACAGTGATCTGCCCAGCAAGGTTTACAATGATGCTGAGCACTCAGCAGACACTGTGCGGAAGATGCTGGGGAAAATAAAAAAGGCCTTGGCTTAAGTAGCAAAGGGCCCCTGGTCCATAGGATGTACTGAAGCAGACAGGATACTAATCCTCTCCTGGCTTCCAAACAGACCTGGGGCCTGGCAGTCCTGGTAAGTGATGGGAGCTCCTGTTGAGACTCCGACTTTCCTTGTTCCTGTCTAGCCTCCCTACAGTAAAGCTGCACTGATTTTGGTGGGGTAGTGCAAATAAACTTCCCAAGTTTCTAAATAGGGCTTTTCTTTACATAATCAGACTGAATCACTAACAGATTTTTGTGCAGTGCAGTTATCCCTTCTTCTTTTCATCTATCTGCGAAGAAATAATAACTTATACTAACCTCTCAAGAAATACTAAAAAATCTTGGGCCTCCCTAGTGGCAAGGGGTTAAGAAAGAACCTACAAAGCTGTCTGCAGCCACTGCAGCACAAGTTCGATCCCTGGCCAGGGAGCTACCCACATGGCACAGCAGAGCTCTCCTGTCTTGCCCACTGCTCCCCTCAGCAGTGTATTTCAGTCTGCCTGCCTGTTCTGTTCCCTACTCTGTCTCTGGTGAATCCTCCCACCCCTGCACTTTTGGCCTGTGCCCCAGTTCTTGTATACATAAATAAATAAATCTTTTTAAAAAAATACTAAAAAATCTCAAGTGCGACAAAGCAAAACCTGCGCCTATTTTATTTCATTTAATTATAATTAAATGACCCAGAAACATTATAAAATAAAAAAAGAAAATTTAATACTATTACAAACTAAATTATTATATCATTTTGATGCCACACTTTTTCTCACATTTCTTAGATGGTCGCTATGATTGCATGTAGAATCATGAGGTCTACTTCTTACATTAGGCCAGAGAAATTTACAGATTATGACATGACCTTTTTTTTTTAATTTTATTTATTTATTTATACAAGCACTGGGTACAGTCAGAAGCGCGGGAGGGTGAGAGAATTCACCAGAGCCAGAGCAAGGAGCAGAGCAGGCAGAAGGACCGAAGTACACTGCTGAGGGGAGCAGCGGGCGGCAGGAGAGGTCTGCACGCCATGCGGGACCCTCCTCCGGTGGCCAGGGAGCAGCCGGGGATCGAACTGGCGCTGCAGAGGCTGCAGGCAGCTTCGCAACCCAGCGTTCAACCGCTGCACCACCAGGGAGGCCCAACGACATGACCTTTTAAAACCACTATTTTTTAAAATTACTCAATAGCTTAACAAATGATTGTTCCCCAATTTGCTTAACCCCAATTTTGAGAAGCTAGGCTTTTCTAATTTTCTTCCAATCCCAACAATGGTATAATGGACTTCTGTCTTCAAGAAGTTTTTTTCTACATTTCAGATTATTTCCTTAGGCTGGATTCTCAGATCAAAGGGATTATGTATTTATGGTTGTAGATAACCATTTTTTTGGTCCGTTATTTAATTGTATGTTGAATATATTGCTTATGATGAGACAAAATTTTAATAACTTCTAGATGCTTAACTACTTAAGAATTATGAACTATTCATTCCCAAGATAATTTAAGATGGTTTAGAAAATAAGACATACAAATATGAATAATAAATAATATAAACAGAAGTAATAAAGTAGATAAATACATATATTCAACTATGACACACAGAAAATCAAAGAAGAAATATTTACCAACTTATTCTTTGAGGCCAGCATTAATTATCCTTATACTAGGCAAAGATACTACAAGAAAAGAAAACTACAGAGAATATGCCTCATGAACACAGGTGCAAAAAATTTATAAAGTTTTAACAAACTGGGCCTCCCTGGTGGTGCAAAGTGTTAAGCACAGAACTGGGAAGCTATCCACAGCCTCTGTAGCATGAGTTCCATCCCCAGCCGGCCAGGGAGCTACCCACATGGTGCAGCTGACTTCTCCTGACTCGCCTGCTGCTCCCCTCAACAGTGTATTTCAGTGGATCTGCCTGTTCTGCTCTTTACTCTGAGTCTGGTGCATCCTCTCATCCCCGCACCTCTGGCCTATACCCCAGTTCTTGTATGCATAACTAAATAAATCTTAAAAAAAATTTTTTAACAAACTGAATTCAACCATATATAGACAGGGTAATACCTTAAGGTCGAGCAAGGTTTATCCCAGGAATGCAAAGTTGATTTAATACCTTAAAAGTCAATCAAGTCCAAGGTCCACAGACCCAAAGAACTGTAGGGCTGGAAGAGAGCTTATAAATCATCAATCTGCTATTGCAGCACTATTTACAATAGCTAAAACCTGGAAACAACCCAAATGCCCAAAAATAGATGACTGGATCAAGAAGATGTGGTATATATATACACAATGGAATATTATTCAGCAATCAAAAAAGATAAACGCAACCATTCGCAGCAATGTGGATGGAGCTAGACGGAATTATGCTCAGTGAAATAAGCCAGAAGGAAAAAGAAAAATATCAGATGTTTTCACTTATAACAGGAATATAGGGGAACCAAATAAGACATCAGTGCAAAAATAATAATAATAATAATAACAGTACAAAATACAACAAAGCAAAAACAGACAATTATAAATCAGAGATATACTGCAGGGGGGGAGGAGGGAAGGGTGAGAGGGAGGAGCACAGGGAACTGTGCTGATGGTGCACGGGTGCCTTGGGGAAGGAGATTCTATGGGGACTCAATCTGAGAGGGTGGGGGGAAGCAAATATTGTCTAAAAAAATGTAAAAAATTATAAATGTTAATATAAAAAATGAAAAAAGTCATCAATCTGAACTCCTTTGTTTTTTCATTGAGTAACTGAGATCCACAGAGTCAAGATCACACAGCTGATTAGTAGTTAAGTCTGGAGACGCAGTGAGCACTAGAAGTATGTGTTTACTGCATTTCATTATGTGATCACTTTGTATTACTCTAGAGAACGTATAGTGTCATGCTTTGGGAGAGAAAGCCCTAGGTTACACTTACACACACGCAGAGAAAAAAGATAAAAAGTATTGAGTTTGATCCCAATGCTTTGGGAGTTAGAAAGTCCTGGGTTTGAATCCCAACACAACCGCCTATATATTTGGGCACACAACTGAATTTTTTTAAGCCTCAGTGTCCTCATCTGTTAAATGGTGATAATAATGGCCTCTGCACTGCAGGCTGGTTATGTGGATTAAATAAGATAATGTATCTAAAGCATTCACCAACCCCTCCCAACAATTACAAAAACTATCAGCTATTACTACCATCTTTGGATTATGAGGACATCATGTTTAAGTTTAAAGCAAAGAACAGAAACCAAGCAGCCTGTTATTAGTGGACAAACTCCCTTGAAACCAATCAGATTTAGGAATCTTACCAAAGAGAAAGTCAGACTGCTATCTGATGTGTCACATTTCTCCGACTCTGGCCTAGCTTCTCTTGGAACACAACCTCTTATTGTGAATGGCCTGTTTCCTTTTTTATATACTCTGGTTGTTTTCTCCCAATTACCTGTTTTCCAGTCCACAGTGGAAAGGGCTTCAGGATGGCAGGTGGGAGGAGCTTCACACGTCCCACTTTGTCTGTGAGTCCTCGGTACACCAGCTCCATGTATTGCTCCCTGGTGAAAAAGCAACCTCGAATGGTCATATTTGCACCTGAAACCATGTGATCTTGGATCAACCCTGCCAATGGTTGGCCATCCTACAAACCAAAACAGACAAAAGAAGAACAAAGATAATTTTAAGTCACATCGTAATTCCTAAATCTGCTTGGAGGTCACCTCCTAGCAATAGTCCTCTCTTAGATCCCCATATTGTCCTGCTCCACAGCCTCATGAGCCCAGTGCTTGGATCTCCCACCTGGAGAGCAAACTGCCTCCCTATGCATCTTCCTGACTTGTTTCTATTTATGCCATCTGCCCATTGCTCTACATCAAAACTGCTTCAAACTCATCCAGTTCCCCAAGCCTCCCTTCCATAATCTCATCTGGTACTAATTACTTTAGCATACTTTTGGCATTTCTGCATAAATTTGGTCTGGCTGCTGTGAGTTGTGTGCTTGTTTTTATATTTTGGTTTTATGCTTTAGTGTTTTTCACACATTTCTGGCCTGTTTCTCCACTAAATCAGTCATCCATTAAAAAAATATTTATTGAGAGCCTACTGTATGGCTAGGCACTGGTTTAAACCTTCAATACACTCTAGTGGACCAAACAGACACAATCCTCTATGATGAGCAAGAGCAGACAGTAAACAAATAATTGGATAAATACATTATCAAAAAGAGTTGAAATGCCATGGAGGAATAACAGGATGGATGATCTTATAGGTCTGAGGTGTATGGATGGTCTGGAATGGTCTCTGTGAGTAGTATTATAGCTGAGCCTGAAGAGTGACTTGGAGTTGGCCAGCAGAGGGACTGAACGAGACATTCTTCAAGAGGGCCTTCTGTGCATGACAACAGAAGGAAAGAACATGCATTATGAATGAGACTTTTAACAACGCAGAACATGGTTGTGGTATCTTCCAGATGTCCAAATAAGGACTTTTATAAAAGCCCCAGTTTTGGTGAGTACATTCATCTCTTTTGATACTTTTCACTGTCTTTCTGATCCCCAGTTTCCTGAACCTAAATGTGTAGAGGCCTGTGTTCATGGCAACATAAGGCAAACTAAAGTAAAAATAGCTGTGCTCCCACAGACATTCTTTAAGAAGTAGTTTTTCTAAATGTTTCAGTTTATGGGAACCTGACAAAAATCTGTGCCTCGGATGTCAAGTTTGTTATTATTTATTTGTTAAAAACTATCCAAAATTATGGCCATATTTCAAAACTAAGGATAAAGGAAGTCATAAATGCACCCGTGGAGAAGAGCCAAGAATTTAACTACTAACTAACCCACTAATTCAAAGGCTAAAAAGAATGCTTGTCAAATAGTCTAAACAATGCAGCAAGAAAACGTAAAGATTACAGATGGGCTGAATAGGTGCTGTAGATGGAAGGTAAGATGGAGCACACATCCCTACTCATAAAGGCTCTGAGTTTTGAACACGAGTAAAAAATTATACTCTGCAAAGACAAGGTCTTATTTTGCTTGGGGAGTTGGGGGGAGAAAGGAGAAACCCAAACTATTATTACACATTTGACTCATCCCACAGTCTTTAGAGGCAGATAGAGATTTTTTCTTTTGTTTTTCTTCCTTAAAGAACATAATTACAAGTTATATGATCTATTCAGTGCCTTCTTTCACTGTCCAGATTTTTCCATGACTATAAAATTACCTTAATGGCTAAATTGCTTTCAATTTAATGATCATGAATTCTAGGGTGGAATGCTGATTAAAGCAATTTTCTAAGGGTCTACTTATAATTCTGAATTTCTTAAATCCTGCTTAGGATCAGAAAGACCATCGTTGAATTAAAAACCCTGTAAATTGTCAGCTATCATATTCCACTTAATATCATAGCAAAATGACATTACAATTAAGAGTATTTTGTGACTTGAATTTTCTAGTTAAGTAGAAGTCAGGAAACTGTCTCAAGCCTTGTTAAAACTTTTCTATAAAGGACTGATCCCACCTAAATATAGCAAACAGAAGAAGAAAATATTAATCCACACAAAAAAACACAAAATGAAAAGTTTAACTGTTTCCTAGGAAAAAAATAACTAAAGTTCCATTCATTTCGATAAGTAAAGTTCCATTACTATTTTAAGTAAGACAAACCACTGCTCTATTAAATAAATACAATCAACACTAAAATGTATTCTAATCAGGTATTTGTTAAGGAAGAGAACCTGGAAATAGAAAAGAAACGGAATACAAAGAAAAATGTAAAGAAAGGGAAATATAGACAAGCACAAAAAAAAAAATTACAAAAAAAAAAAAAGCTTCCTAGTTTCACAAAACCAGTGTTTTACAGTGCTTTATACTACAAAGTATTCAAGACATATTTTTTATAAACATTAGCAAACATAAGGATTCTAATTGTTGGCATTTACACCTCCGACAAAATAAATTAAAAATAGACCCTCAAGCAGTAATTTACTACTTTTACAGCAGTAAATTAAGAAATTAATTTATTGAGCTAAGCTTATTTACCTGCGCTCTGCCTGTTTCCTGACCTAAAACTCACAGGCATGTGAACGTGTGCTGAAGCACATCTGGATTTAAACAGGTCAGCACTTTGTGGGACACCATGTATGCATGCAGCCCCTATAATTTACCTAATCAAAATTAAGTATAAAACATTCCAGTTCACTGATCTGCTCAGAGGCATGTGAACACTGAGCACTCTAACTCCCCATGCTGCTAATGTCCAGAGGCTGGCAAAACAAGGACCACCTGCCACTCCCTGGTAGTGTCTCCTGTGGTGAAATGTGACCCTGTCTCCAGGGAGTCAGAGTTGGTTCAGCCCTGGGAGCCAATTATTTGCATGTGCCCTCACCTAGCCCCAGCTGCTCCTGTCACAGTAACACAGCCTAGGAATCACAGGTGCTGGATGCCAGTCCTCGCCTCATCCCTAACTGGCAAGTCACTTGTGTTTCGTCATCTGCCTCAGAAGGCTGTTGTGAGCACTAAATAAGAGGATGTTTGCAAACTGCTTAGATATGAGCCTGATGTACAGGGAGTACTTGACAGAGGGTGGCTCATATTCCCACTACTACTAAGTTATGACTGTCATTCATGTGAAAGGACAACCAATTAAATAATTGATAAAATTTTTTTCTAACTTCTAAATGACTTAGTAGGCCTTTAATCATTCTTTCTACTTTTAACCTCTTCCTTAATCAACACTTGCTAATATGGGCAGAGAAGGGTACAAAGGTTAAGCTCCAATAATTGAGTCTAATATAAAGCCACAGCGGTGTTTCTGGTGGGCAAAGAGGTTGGGACACAAGGGCCCTAGCTACCTGCCTGATACCCTGAGTGGTGAATGAATATTGGGGGAAGAGAAGCACCTAGGAGGAGAGAGTACTAACTAATGCTGGGCATCTTCAAGCAGCCGCCAGTGCTTCCCAAGTGCAGTCTCCAGCTCTTCTGCACAAGGGTGCAGGGTCCACCAGGTAAAAGGAACAAAAGTCACAAAGGCAAGGGAGCTCCTTGCCCTTCCTCCTAGTCAGGTATGTATCCTGGGACAAGTTACACTATTTCATCACTTGTAATGTGGGTATCAATGGCCCGTACTCCAAAGTGCTTTGCACAGTTTGTGGCATGAAAATAGTGCTTGGCAAATGGTGGCCATAATTCATATTATTACCACTAGTTCTTTTGTAATCCACCACAACCCAAGTGAACGATTATAACTATAAATCAAAGTGAAGCAAACAGCTTATAACGTGAAAGGTATCGGCCCTTGGGTAGTAAGGGCTAAGTGGATACTGGAATATAATCTGTCCCTTTCCCTAGCTCTCCCCCTGCTCTGCTCTCCCATGAACACACACTGACATGAGCCCCTGCATTTACTGGGCCAGTAAATGGGCCAGCTGGCCAGGGAAGGGTAAGGAAGCCACATCCTTCCCGTGTGCTCCTCTGGACAGACAGACCACATAGGTCTGCCTCTCAGGATTAACTTGGGAGAAGGAAGGAATTCAAAGGGGAGACACTTTCATGGGCTAGATGGGGGAGGGGTGTGTGTGTCTCATCTGAGCCCTTTGGGTTAAGTGTCTCTTAAAACCCAAACTTGTTGAAATTTAAAGGACCTAAGTCATCTGAGGACCACTGGAGCCATCACAGTTGGATGCTAATATTTGCCAGAGGCTAGTAAGTTATAGAATCCTAACACATGTCTGGAAGACAAGACATATTAAGAAGTTATTAAACTTGCCTTTTGGGGATTACATTTTTCTTCTGACTTACATTTTATTTATTTATTTTTTAAATGATTTATTTATTTATTTATTTATTTATTCATTCATACAAGCACTGGGTACAGTTAGAAGCGCGGGAGGGTGAGAGAATTCACCAAAGCCAGAGCGGGGAGCAGAGCAGGCAGAAGGACCGAAGTACACTGCTGAGGGGAGCAGCGGGCGGCAGGAGAGGTCTGCACGCCATGCGGGACCCTCCTCCGGTGGCCGGGGAACAGCCAGGGATCGAACCGGCGCTGCAGAGGCTGCGGGCAACTTCAGAAGCCAGCGTTCAACTGCTGCGCCACCGGGGAGGCCCCTGACTTACATTTTAAAAGGCAGCAAAAACAGTAATCTTTTCCTGCCTCTAAGCAAGGAGGGCTGAAAATCCCACCTGCAAGAAGCCAAGACCTGTTGTCCCACATGCCCCTACCCTGGTGAGGGCCAAGATCTGAAGTTCTAAGTTGTGCTGCAACGACCATGGGAATGGTCTCAAGGTCAAACCTACCTTGGGAACAAGGTACTGCTGATCTGTACAGGCCAGAACATAGGCCTCCGCCCGGCCCAGTTCACTCTGGGGGAAATGGGCATTCATCTCATCTCCATCAAAGTCAGCGTTATAGGCCTTGCAGTTGGCATAGTGTAGCCGCAAAACTTTCTCCTCAGGCAGGATGCGGGCATGATGGGCCTGGATGGAGGGCCTGTGCAGGGTGGGCTGTCGGTTCAGTAGGAGGATGTCTCCATTCTTCACATGCCGGCATACCTAGGGACAGAGTGGAGAACAGGGTGTGTGACCAGTGGCAACTTTAGCATCATCATTACTATTCTAAGGGCTCACTTCAGCCTGGCATGAGTGTGGCTTCTGCTAGCTCATGTTTTATTCAACTAAATAAAAAGGGAATTTTTGGTTTGGAACAAAACCCTAGAAAAAGGGCTCCTAGGCCCCTCTGGTACTTTGAGAAATAGTTGCCAGTCCAGCAAACCCTGATCCTGATTCAGAGGTACAAGAAATTGACAGAATTACAGGCCCCTGTTGAGTAATCTATCTTCTTCAGAGATACACAGCCTTTCCATAGTCTTAAATTCCTCTGAGAACTAATCTGAAGAAGGAAATGGAGAGACCTAAGGACAGTATATCTACATATAACCACAAAACCCCTAGGCTTGAAAGAACTTGGCAGACCTGTTGAACCCCATAGTCACACATGACTATGTCATTGTAAACACGAATTCCACATTTTAGAAATACCTTGCCCAACCTCATAGAGCCAGGACTGGGACACATGGTTCTTGGCTCCCAATTTATAGTTCTCTGAAATATTTTATTGTACTTAAAACATTAATAAGAAGTTTAGATTGCTAGAGTATTTGGGGGACACAATTTGAAAATGGCTATCAGGACATTTAAAATACATTTCCTTTTGTGCCTCCCCAGTGGCACAGCGGGTTGAGCACAGTGCTGTGAGGCTGTCTGCAGCCTCCGTGGCACCAGTTCGATTCCCGGCCAGCCAGGGAGATTCCCACATGGCACGGCAGACCTCTCCTGTCTCGCCCACTGCTCCCCTCAGCAGTGTATTTCAGTCATTCTGCCTGTTCTGCTCTCTGCTCTGTTTCTGTCGGATTCTCTCACCCTCCCGCATCTCTGGCCTGCACCCCAGTGCTTGATAAATACAAAAAATCTTTAGGAAAAAAAAAAATAAAACATTTCCTTTTGACCTTTCAGAAGGAAAAAAGTGTTAATATATGACTATAAGACCATGTATATTTATGTAGCAGAGGTAACAGTGGCAGAAACTGGAAATAATCTCACTGCCCCATAGGAGGGGCAAGGGTGAACAAGTCATAGCACCCATACCCTGGAATATTACGCAATGATTAAAAAGGTTGGGTTAAATCTATGTTAGTCCTGAAATGAAGGTATCCTAGTAAAAAAAAGTGTGATCTAATGACAAGATGGGCATTTAAAACCCAACCTGATTCTGTATGTTTATATAATCAAGTGAAAAGCCCACTAGATACCACACCAGGCTGTTGGTATAATCTCATCAAAGGCAGGGGGTTCATGGGAAAGGAGAGTAAGACATCGATTGGTGTCTTTATTTCATATAGCTCATACTGTTCCTGTTACAATGAGCATTTACTATTTCTATGGGATTTTTCAAAGGGATCATCAACTGTTTTTAAAGAAAACAATAAAATCTCTACAAGCAATATGCTCACTGGGGAAAAATAAGAGAAAATACAAACACAGAAGTGAATGAAAATCACAAATAATTTTACTCATTAAGATAACCATTGTTTACACAGCTTTTTTTCCTTACCAATATGCCAATAGTCATATTGTCCTAACAGAACACCTCTTCCCATCAAGGCTGATTTTAATGTAAAGCTTGTTAAGCCTTTCACTGAACTTTACCTAATGTTCTGTTAACTATTGGGGTCCCCAAGTGATAAACAGAAATGCTACTTTGAAAAATAAATGCATGAAGGTAACTGCTACCCCAACCATTCTGCAAGTCCTCCAGAGTAGCCCAGAGAAATTATTGCTCTCCTTTACCCCAAGTCTCCTCTAAGTCAGACCAGGGCACACAAAAAGTTACTCCCAACCTAGCGTCTTCGTATGCTGTACACATTATGAAGCTGCACAGAGAGGGGCTAAATGTTATTAAGAGACACTCCCCCCTCCCTCACCCGCTTCCTGTTCAGCTGGGCCAAAAGTTTCCTCTGGCTCAGGCACAGGAAAAGAGGGAATAAATTCCTTTAATTCTAAAAGGCAATCCTAAAATCACCTAGCAGGGAGACAGTGTTTCTGCTCCCCAAGGAATTCAAGCCTTCTCCCGCCCCCACATCTATGTTTCCAAGGAGAAGTGATCTGAGGATTCCAATGAGTATCTGCCCAGGACATGTCATGGACCATAAACTAACTTTCAAGGTCTTATTTCTTTAGCCTCTCAAGGGAGAAACTGCCCAGACCCATGGCCCAGGCCCAAAACCCCAGGCTAGGCCTCAGATCTGAGTCTCACAAATTTGAGACATCCTCCAGCATAAGCAAACCTCACAGCTGGGAAGGCACGAAGGCCAGTTTAGCAGTCACCAGCCAATTCAAACAGAAGCCCTGGAGCACTGGGCACTCCCAGTGCCAACCCAAACTTGAGACCCTTCCTTTCTCTTGTCTCCAAATAAATACTGCAGTGAAGATTAGTGTGCCCTAGTGTGTGGGTCAGAATTTTCAGTGGCAGACCTGGAGCCAAAGATCTGCTTCTGCCTGCTAGGTCAGGAAATGAGATTCTGCGGTCCTGACCACGTCCTCCTGATTTACATGGTTCAGGGGAAGAGGCAAAAATTTCACACCTCACAGGGGCAACAGGTCCCTTCTGTCATCCTATCCTCCTTTCATGGACCTTATAGTTCATCTATATTGGACTTGGGTCTCTCCTTTCAAGTCACATCACCCAGTCCTTCACAGTACAGGGTTGGGCACAGTAGCTGCAAGAGAGATTCTTCACCCCACAGAACCTACACTATTTATTATCTGGCCCTGTGCTGAAAAAGTTGGGGACCCCTGGGCTAGAGGAATTAGAGCTTGGCTGAGAACTAAGAGACTGACAGGTCTGAAGGACTGTCTGCAGGGCTGAGGAGTGTGAAGGGTGCATTTAGGAGTGAGTAAAGAAAAAGCAAAACAATGTGATCAGGATTTAAACTTACGTTTGAAGACAAGTGACCGGGTCAACCCCATTCAAGCTCACTGTTGCTCAGAACCCATTTCAGTCACTTCCCAATAACTGACCAGCACATGGTAGTGAGGCCAACCTTCCCTAGACTAGAAATGAAGCCACATGAAGGAAGTTCCCTGTGCATCTGCCTCATCCTTACACCCCAATTACATTGCAGTGTCTTTCTGCCTTTTCTGTCAAATGTCCTACTACTGCTACTGCTTCACTGTCTCATCACAGTCTCTGAAATCTGGTTCCTCCCACTTTGTTCAAACTATTCTCCTAGGTCACAGGTGACTTTCGTTTGGACAAATCTTACTGTCTTACCTCAGTTTCCTTATTTTTCTTAAACTTTGTATTTAATCTAACAAATATTAAATATGTACCCAGGAAATATAGGTACAAAGGGGCAGGTCTTCACCTCAAAAAACAACTCAACTACTGGCAGGGGCGATGGATGTGAATGCAGATACCAAATTGGGATTCTGTCAGTTATCAGGTATCACTGACAGATATCCTTTAGGGCAGTTCTCAAACTTTAGCATGCAAAGGAACCCTTAGGAGAGTTTGCTAAAAAACAGATTCCTGAGTCCCATTCCTAGAGATTCTATATTAGTAGGTGGGGGTGAGGTGGAGAGAGAGGGTAAATGTGCATTTTTCACAAGCTCAGGGATGCTGCTATTGCTAATCTGAGGATCACCCTCTGAGTAGCCCTAATCAAGGGCAGCAACTCCTCCTGTGCAGGATCACAACTGAGTTATTAGTGAAAAATTTTCTTGAGCCCCTGATGTGCAGCTGGTGTTGTGCAACATGGAGTGGGATTACCAAATGAAGCTTTAATCATGGTGTCAAGGCTCTAGGAGTTCCAGCTCTAGTTGGGAGGTAAGGTGAGTGCCACAAAATCCCTAACAAACACCCACATGTGGGGGAATGTCATCTCGAGGAGGGAGGTACTGCTCACAGCATTTCCACGTGGGTGCCCCCATACTGATGGTTTGCAGCCAAGAGGGAGCCAGACAGAAGCTGGCTAAGCCCCTGGTTATATGTGCCCACTACTCACAATTTTTGTGCCCTGGGGCTTAGGTGCCCCTGTGGCTGGTGTCAGGAGCTGTTTGGCCACTGCTTCCCGCTGGGTTAGGTCCACAGCGCTCAAGGCCGTGCGACTGCCGTCCTCATTGATAACCATGGAGGCTCCTGGATGTACGTTGGGGCCGTTGATGACTGCCTGCCTCAGTTCCTGAACATTCCAGGGGGTAACTGGCTGAGGGTAGGTCAGTTTTGTGGCAAACACCTAGAAAAGGAATGGAAACAAGGAAATTCAAAGAGAGCAGAAAAAGTTACATGGAGGAAAAATTTGACTCAACAGGTTGTGACCTCCCCCTACGCAGACATGGAGGCTCTACCTTAGCTAAGAAGGTCAAAGCAACATCCTACCTATCTTCTTTACAGAGTCACTTTCCCAGATGTGGCCCCTTAAAGGAACAGATTGGGCTCCTTTCCTAGCAATCTGTCTGAAGAGTGTGCATTTTACATGTTTGAATTTCTTTAGCTCACTCTAAAACTTCATTATTTCGGGCCTCCCCTGGTGGCGCAGGCAGTTGAGAGCAGCACTGTGAAGCTGTCCGCAGCCTCTGCAGCGCTGGTTTGATCCCGGCTGGCCAGCGAGGGTCCCACATGGCGCGGCAGACCTCTCCTGTCGTGCCTACTGCTCCCCTCAGCAGTGTGTTTCATCAGTCTGCCTGTTCTGTTCCCCACTCTGTCTCTGGTGAATCCTCTCACCCTCCCGTGAATCTGGCCTATACCCCGGTTCTTGCATAAATGAACAAATATATCTTTAAAAAATAAAAAATAAAACTTCATTATTTCTTCATCTGCCTACAAGGAACAGAGCATGAGATACTAGTTTGCTAGAGTGGTAAAAAATACCTGCCCTCAAAAACCACCACATGGCCCCCTCCAGCCCAGAAGACGTCACTAATTGATCATGGTCTCTGCCCTGAGCCCAGACTCTCATTATTTGGCTTAAGATGAAAGTAATTTAGTCTCCTGATACATGAGAAAATGAAGTGCTTCATTTAATGATAGACCGGCAACATACTCCAAGAAAAATGAAATTCCTGGTTAAGAGCGTTTCTGAATTAGTATTGTAAACCCTAAGACACTTCAAAATGCACACAACTATGTCAGAAATTTTGAGAAAACTTGCCTAAGTACCTTATTGAACTCTGTTCAAGGTTCTGCTTGAATGGCACCTTGAGAAGCCTCAACTGCCACCTACCCTGCACCCTTTCCCCTGGCTTGCCATACTTTTGCTGATGCATTGACCATGGACTGTCCTGAGATCCAGGCAGACTGGCTCTGAGGCCTGGGGCAGGCTGGAGGTGAGCAGAGGGGCAACTTCAGAGTCTCTCCTCAGGGGACAAGTCAAATGAACCCAGATCCAACAAAGAGAAGCCTGGCAACTTTGAAGGTGGAAAGAGACAGCCCTAAAGGTCTTTTCCAAAGCTAGGGACACCCTAGGAACTGTGAGTTCCTAGAGGCAGCCCTGCCCTCTGTTCAGAGAACAACTGATCCTGGACTCTCCTCCCAAGGCTTCTGACTCAGAATATCACAATGCCCTTCCTTGCCAAACAACTCAGCAGCTTCAGCTGCAAAGACCTGTGGTTCCCAGGAAGTGATGGGCACAGGACTGAATGCTCACTGACTCCTGTACTCTCACACATCATCCACTTGCCCAGGAAGCCTGAGTGTGCCTAAGAGACAAGGCAGCCGGAGAACAGAAGGCAATCGCAACACTTGAGCTCGGCTCATTACTAGGGCTCCCCTGAGAGAGGAGAGGGCAGTGTGTAAGGAAATGAGACTCTCCATGGAGAGAATTAAACCACCTTCACATTACTGACCTCAAGGCCCATTAAGGAGGAAGTCTATTAAAGGGCTACTGCTAATGAGCACCACATTTTGAACTGGTGGGGAAGTGAGAAAATAAGGCTGGCTCCCCAAGGGAACACTAATGGGTGGAGGGGCTGAACCACTTCCCCATGAGGCTGGGAGGATGGATGATAAGCACAAGCCTTCTCTCTGAGGGTTCCTGCTCCTTCTCCCTGGCAAATAAGGGTACACATTCTTGGCTCCCAAAGTCAAGCACATATATGGAATGGAAATCCTCTCTCGTTTTCCCCTCTTCTGTCATGATTTCAATTTGACTTAAAAGCTAAGACAAAGGCCAGGACTGGCGGAAGGAAGATGGGGGCAGGGATGTGGAATATCCAAGAGACCGGTCAAGTGATGAAACCAATATTATCACAGCAGAACGTCCCCTCCAAATGGCTTGTCCAAGAAGAGGGCAACTGTTTCCACTCTACGCAAGCTACCACAATCTGTGCACACTTTTGCCCTATCCCTCCTAAACATTCCTGTCTGCCACCCAAAGTTAGCAAACGAGGCCCCTCTCCACAAACCATGGGAATTCCAATTTCATTGGTGTTGATGTACATGTCCGGGCAAATGACTGAGCGGGCCGCATAGTCAACTCGCTTTCCCATCATGTGCTTTCGGAACAAGCCTTCCTTCTTTTCAAGGATCTATGAGGGAAAAACATTCATGGAAAGCATTAAAAAAAAAATCAAGTATGCTTATTATTTTCTTATTTCAGTATCAATGTTTATTATTTAATCCCTTTAGTTAGAAACAAGGGTCCATCTATGCTCACCTGTCTAATGCCAGGGAACTTTTCCATCATTAATTTGTCCATCTCGCTATCAAACACAATATTGACGTGACTCTGAAGGCGAATCCAAATGTTATACAGTTTGTCGGTGAGTGACTGGCCTGGAAGCATACTCAAAAAGGATCGGTCGATTGCAATCGAAGAGTCTTTTTCCTGGCAAGACACAATCAAGAAAGCAGGAATGATGGAAAAAACTTCAAAGAGGCCAGGTTTGGTTTTATTTTTCTTTTTTAACCTAGCTCTGACAAATGATAAGCTCTGGAGTTTACCTTTATGTCTCCTGAGCCCAAAAGATCAGTGGGAAAAGTGCTAATAGGTCAATCTTACCAGTGTATATCAACAAAACATCAGTTCTATTATTGTATATTTTTCAGTTCATCTCCCCCTAGTAGTAAAATAAACTCAAATCTATAAGCAGGATCTTTCCTTTCTTTTAAAACACTATTAACTCAGAGGTTCTCTGAGTCAAGAACATAGGCATAGCTTAACTGGGTTTTCTGCTTCTGAGTTATATAAGAGTCTGTCACAGTTAGGATGCCATCTGAAGGTTTGACTAGGGAAGGATCCACTTCTAGGCTGACATTGTTGCTGGCAGGATTCAGTTCTTCGAGGGCTGCCAGACTGAGGGCCTCAGTTCCTAGTTGGCTGTTGCCCAGAGGCCACCTTCAATTATTTCTCCAACATGGTAGCTTGTTTCATCAAAGTGTACAAGCAGAAAGGTAATGGCCAAATCTGTAACAACAGATACCTTTCTTAAGGCACCAGCTAAAGCCATTTAATGTCTAATTTTTAAGGCAACCCTAGAAATTCTTCCTACATCAATACTCTTTTTGAAGCTCTATTATCCTACCATGTAACTGATTCACATACAGTTTCAACTTGATGGTTTGGGGAAAACTTCATCCAAAGCACTTATAAAAATGCCAGTGGAAAAATTTCTTAAAAAGGAAAATGTTGCACTATGATTTTCCATGTCACAAATTAAGATTTGGGTCCCCCAACTGAGCATATGTTAAGGTACTAGCTAGTTTCTAAGCCCCACTGGAATATTTAACCAATTAATATTTCTGTCCTTAACCCTACCTCCTCTTCTTTTCCCTCTACCTGTCCAGGATACAGGCCTGGAGATTTTAAGTGGCCTTAGAGCACCACCTATTGACACTCTCTGGTCACCTGTTGGTCCCACTCAGCTATGAAAGAAGAAACCTATCTGAGAAATACAGCGTTCTTCTTTAGTTATGGGGAGGACAGATATATTTCTGCTCTAGCTAAAAGAACCTCACTGCATGATAACAGGGCCCTATCAGCCTAAGTCACTATTATGGCATTACCGGTCTCAGAGCCACACAATAGCTTGTAAAATAAATAAGACAGCCTCATTCATCCTCAGTATCTAGAACAATGCCTGGCCTATGCCAGGTACTCATGATTTAGGGCTGCCAGGGGGATGGAATATAGGAAGTGAGTGAGGAAAGAATAAGAACATGCCCTGTTAATCAGACAGAAAAAGGACACCATGACTTTCTAAGGTAAGGACCTTAGGAATCAGAGACAATATTGTTATTTTTGCACTCAGTTTTTGGATTTTTTGTTTTATTGCTCTTAAAGGGACATCAAAATAAAGTTTTTAGTCTTGGTCATTGTACCTGGTTAGTTATCCTAAGGTCTTTTTTCCAAAACTGGATTAGCATCTTGCAGATGATAGAGTTCTCTTACACTAAGATTTTTAAAAGCACACCTATACTGGCAGATCAGAAAACCTAAGCAAAACCAAACCAAACCCCCCAAGCGGAAAAGCTGGGTGACCCAGAGCAAAGGGTCCAAGAGAATCACCAGTGCCACCTGGTGATGGGCCTGGTTCAAAGCCAAACTGTCCCAGCAGCTGGCAGGGAGCTGGAGAGTGTACTGAAGGCTGAGACAGGCCTTCTTAAATACATTCAAATAGCATTTTATTTTTTTTTTAAGATTTATTTATTTATTTACACAAGCACTGGGGTACAGTCAGAAGTGCGGGAGGGTGAAAGAATTCACCAGAGCCAGAGCGGAGAGCAGAACAGGCAGACTAACGAAGTATACTGCTGAGGGGAGCAGTGGGCGGCAGGAGAGGTCTGCGCGCCATGTGGGACCCTCGCCCGGTGGCTGGGGATCGAACCGGCGCTGCAGAGGCTGTGGGCAGCTTCACAACCCAGGGCTCAACCGCTGCACCACCAGGGAGGCCCTCAAATAACATTTTAGAGTTAGCAAGGACCTCAGTGATATCAGCAAACTTTCTGAGTGTCTGATTCATCTTTACACTCACTGAAAACCTGGCACAATGAAGGGATTCAGGAAATATTTGCTGAAAGGGGAAAACTGAATTCAACTCCACCATTTGATGAAGAGAATGGTGAAGCCCCAACCCTGACAGTCACATTCTAGGAAATTCCTAGAATCTATAATTACCTTCCCGACCCCAACACTGGAGACCTTAATGAGTCAACAGCAAAGCTGGGTGATAGAGATTCCAGTACTGTAACCCAGGAAGGACAATCTTAAGAGTCCAAGGGAAGCAGGGTATTATTTCTAGAGCTGCTAATAAGTACCAGTTAGGGCCGGTGGCCCAGAACAATCTATGTGTAAATTCTTAGCACAAACTATCACATTTTATAATGGAGATGAATTGGTGAAATTAAAGCAGCTCAACCAAGGTAATGGCAGTATGGACATCAGATCTTCCCAGGCTCCTCCCTAGTATTACCTATGTTCCTCCCAACCAACCGAGCCATTCAGAATCCCAGTCAGCATCTCCCAGCCCCCACAGTCATCTGCATTCACCCTGCACAGTTAGAACTAAGCACGTGCACTTAGGAGACCAGTTTCAAGGCAGTCCTGACCTCATCTGTGGCATGGGCTGTCACCTCACATGGCAGCTCCTGTTCTTGGGCCATCAATGCCAAAAGCTTTCGGATCAAAACTATGTCCTTCATGACTGCCTGCAAGTTCACTGTCTGGCCATTGGTAAACATTTGGTCCCCCAGGCGATTGACAGGGCGATACCTGCAGGAAAACACACAGAATCAGGGAATGCTTAGCATGGGGAAAGGGTCATGTTCTTCAGTCTCTCACCTATCCCTAAAACAAGCAACTCACATACCACTAGGCTCAAAAAACAGCCAGTAGCTACCCTACTCAGGACACAGAGGGGCAGACTCCCACAACCAGAAACCTGGCAGCACAACTGCTGCCATACTTCTCAGTGGCCCTGACCCTTCCATTCTCTTCAAGTGATCATTATTCAATTACTCAATAAACCTTTTCCCAGGTGGAATAAAGTCAAATAAAGGGCATTACCTTGAGGGTGGCACCACCAAGAAATCCAGAAAAAACATAGTGGGATTAAATCCAGACTCCATGCCAACTTCTGTCAGTCCCGAGAAAAGATAATTCAGGAAGAATCCTGTGTTTGAAATAAACCAAAAAAATCACTTACATCTACATGTAGGGGCACGAACAGATAGGCACAAAAACTTTAATGAGTAAAATAAAACAATATAACATAATATGTAGAATAACATACAGAATAATATAAAGAATTACTTAAAAAAAATTTAAACAAGCAAAGTAGCCTCTGGGTGTCAAAAGACTGCACATAGGTGACATGACAGTTTCAGGATAAGCGCTAAGGAACAGTAGTGCTGATCCAGGAACTGAAATGGGGAGGGATGGGAAACAAAAAGTTTCACTTACTTCTTATTACCTCCTGGACTATTAAACTCTCACACACACCTTTGGTATTTATTTTTAAAAATATTTAAAATAAGGAAAAGGAAATCAACCTCCCACCCCCCAAAAAAGTTAGCTTTTTTAAAAAACAAAACAAAAAGCCCTCCACAGATGGTACCAAGAAGGGCTTTTCTGTGGAACAAAGCTGTTTTAAGTCTCCAATAGCCTTTTAAAGTCTTTTATTAGCCAACATTTAAAATGAATTACCAATGAACCTTCCAGAAACATGTCAAACTAGAGTGAGGCCCACCTGTAGCTGTCATTTAAAACCAGGTTGTTACAATTGTCAAGTTCATGGCTTCAGATAATGATCTTCCCCACTTTATAATGCGTTAATGACAATGTATCCTGAGGCTATCCCCAACCTTATGGGTTAATTTCAAGAGACCTCTAATAGGACCTCATGGGTGGCCTAGGGGTTAAGTCTCAGGGCTATCACCACTGTGGCCCGAGTTCAATCCCTGGCCAAGGAGCTAATCCACATACAGTGCAGCAGACCTCTCCTGTCAGCTGCTCCCCAGGGTATTAAGTCCACACTGTATTTCAGTAAATCCACCTGTTTTGCTCCCCACTGTTTCTGGTGTATCCTTTATCCACCCCCCACTATGGCCTACACTCCAGTATGCAAAAATAAAAAAGGAGAGCTATAATATGTTCAACTCTGAAAAACTGAAAAGGCAGAGTAAGTAAAGTCAGAAGAAACAGGGCAGCTGGAACAGCACCTTCGTTCTTCCAAAGGGCAACGAGATGTTCCTGGGCACTGCTGGGTGTGAGATATCCTCGTTTTCCCATCTGAGCATCCTCAATCACTGGAGCTGAAGAAGAGAATCACACAATAAAACATTAACAAGGGCCTCCCTGGTGGCGCAGCGGTTGAGCGCTGGGTTGCGAAGCTGCACGCAGCCTCTGCAGCGCCGGTTCGATCCCCGGCTGCTCCCCGACCACCAGAGGAGGGTCCCAAATGGCGCGCAGACCTCTCCTGCCGCCCGCTGCTCCCCTCAGCAGTGTGCTTCGGTCCTTCTGCCTGCTCTGCTCCCCGCTCTGGCTCTGGTGAATTCTCTCACCCTCCTGTGCTTCTGACTGTACCCAGTGCTTGTATAAATAAATAAATAAATAAATCTTTTAAAAATAAATAAATAAATAAAACATTAACAAGACTTTAACTTGACCACAAAAATCAATCTCTAAGCATACTCTCAGCTCTCGGTTCTCTCTTTACCCAATCAAATTTCTAAAGCATTGAAACATTAAAATACTGCATAAAACCTAAAAAATACAGCAGAAGAAAAAAATTACCCACCATTCCATCCCAGTATCATTATTATCACTTTAATATATTCCATTCATTGATTTATACAGTGTTTCAAATACTTAAATCTTCAGCTTGGTTCATTTTGTATTCTACTTTGCTCATTTAGTGTCATTTTGTGAGCATTCCTGCCTGCTGCTACATAGTATATGCCTGACCATCATTTTAATAGTTGCATGATATTCCATGAAGACTACTAAACTATTTACACAACACTATGAGGATGTTTAATTCTTGCGAAGTCAGAGAAGTGCAACTGCTAGGTCAAAAAGTATGCAACATTAAAAATTTTGGTCCCAATAAAAGCGAAACGTTTCCAACAGCTAATGCAATTGAAGGCAGAATAGGGATGCAATGAAAAGCAGTTCTGACCTCCAGTGATAACCACAGCATTAGAAAGCTGTATGAGCCTGCTGGGAAAACAAAATAACCCGTTAACCTGAAGAACAACTTTGTTGGCATCTCTGGAACCACCCTCTGAGCTTTCTCTCCTACTACACAGGTTTGAAAAGCTGAGGAAGAGCAATCAGATGTGAAAGTGCTCCCCAGTTCATCCTAGCAGTTGCCAGGACACAAAGTGCCCCCATTGCCATTTAGTCACTGTGAAGGAGACCAGAATTGGTCAATCTCAGGACTTGAGTCAGAAGACACCTACAGGTTGCCACCTCTTCACATGAGCAACATCCCTCCTAACAAGGCATTTTTGCAGTCTGCAAAACTGAAATCTGCCTGGATGGGGCTTTAGAACATCTCTAATGTGTGTTTGATTCAGCTGTGAGACCTGCCATGTGAAAAAGGAGTTGAGGTCAAATAACCTGAGGAAGATTGAATCACAATGGTTAGAGTGCTGGCTATTAAGAATTCTCCTCTGAAAAAGCTAATGTACATTGTTGGGATCATGGGGCCCACTGGAACATGTGCAGCATTTTACAAGCTTCAGGGGCTCCTTTTGGGATCACCAGTGTGTGTGACCATTGAGGTACAGGCCTCACTGCTTGGATCCCTTTGGTAACTGACCCTGGAGTTATTGACCCGTGTCACCTGTAGCCTCCTCTAAAAGCAGAGGTCACAGTCTGGTTTCCACCTTGAACCTGTACTCGTCATAGGCATGGTCCTTGGCATGAAGCTGAGTGCCCACCAAGGAAATGTTATATACCAAAAACCCAATCCTGGTATCACTGAGACTACTATCAATCTGTTGGTAACACATGTCTGTCTAATGCACAGACTTTTGGTTGGCATCATATTCTAATAGCTGCAGTGAAAAATCACTTCAAAGAATGGATTTCACAAAGGGATTGAAAGGTTATTTAACTGTTAGATAGTAACCCCAAAGAAATAGTTATCTCCTAGAATTCTACCTTTGTTCTAAATATATGAACATTTTCTAAGGCACCATAAGGGCTATGGTAGCAATTCCCAACCCTGAAAATAGTTTTAGGGGTATTTATAGGAAAGAATAACCAAAATGAACAAAATTAAACAAGCTTTCAAAATGTAGTGTTGTATTCTAAATTGAATACTAGAACATAAGAAAGACATTACTGGCGAATCTGGTGAAATTCAAGTAAGGTCTATAGTTCAGTTAATGACAGTGTGCTAATGCTAATTTCCTAGTTTTGACAAATCCATCACATTTGTCAAAATGATCTAAGATATTTTATTAGGCAAACTGAATAAAGAGTACCTAGGGACTCTACTATTAGCTCTGCTTTATCTTTTAACACTTTAAAGTAAAAGGCTTGATAAAAAAAGAAACACATAAGTTTGCTACTACTAAGATAGTATTTGTGTCCCCTCTGATTGCATGTGCTGAAAGCCTAACCACCAAAATGATAGTGCTGGCAGATAAGGCACAGTGCTTAGGGAGGTGATAAGGTCATGAGGGCAAAACTCTCATGATTGGGACTGGTGCCCTTATAAGACAGCCATCAGTGAGAAATCCAGCCCTGAATAGATACCAAACCTACTGGCACCACAATCTTGGACTTCCCAGCCTCCAGAACTGTGAGAAATAAATGTTCACTGTTTATAAGTCGCCGAGTTCATCTTTGTTGTTGTTTTTTTTAAAGATTTACTTATTTATTTATACAAGCACTGGGTACAGTCAGAAGCACGGGAGGGTGAAAGAATTCACCAGAGCCAGAGCAGGGAGCAGAGCAGGCAGAAGGACCGAAGTACACTGCTGAGGGGAGCAGCGGGCAGCAGGAGAGGTCTGCACGCCATGTGGGACCCTCCTCGGGTGGCCGGGGAGCAGCCGGGGAGCAGCCGGGGATCGAACCGGCGCTGCAGAGGCTGCGGGCAGCTTCACAACCCAGCGCTCAACTACTGCGCCACCAGGAAGGCCCCAAGTTCATCTTTGTTATAGCAGCCTGAATGCCAAGCCTGACAGTGTCATCAATGTAAAAAGTAGACTGTACATCTCCAGGATGAGAACATATTTCCCTGCCTATCTCATATACTTGAGCTTAGAATAAGGTTTTGTAACAACAATGAACAATCATCCTCAAAAATCTTCCAGAAAAATAGCCAACTGAGGCAAAGTGGCATCTCAATTAGAACTGCCTCAGAATGTAGCTCAGTCTGTCTGTTCTCTTGCATGAGAGGTCAAGCCTGGACACCTACCAAGATCCCTCCCTCCAGCACTGAGAGATTTGGGCATTGTGCACTCCATTGGCCTGTCACAAAGAAACAGCTAAGAAACACATAGCACAGAAGCCCAGGTTCTCCCAAGGTTTGGGACACATCTGAGAGCTGTGCATGTAAAACATGGCCAAGACCTCCCAGGGTCCAGGCTGCTTACCCACAGGCTTGGTGCCTTTCTGGTCAGCTTTCCTGTGCACCATGGCTGGGTATGTGATTGTCAGTTTGCTGTTGTGCTCCTTTCGGACAACTGATCGCCCAGTTCTAGATATGAAGATGGTTGTGATTAAAGAGAGAGAAAAACCAACAAGACATTTAATAACAACTGTGAGCAACCAGCCAGACTTCTGTCCTGGGCAAGGGGAAAAGCAGCAGCACATACTCACTTGCACTGGGGACATCGCTTGGCAGTCATATGTGCCTTCCAGAAGTAAGTAATGAGCTTGCTCCTACTCTCACAGACATTTTTCACCTGTAAGACAGGCCAGTGAACCTTGCAGTACCATTCAGAAGAGAATCCAGCATGTATTCCTTTGTGGGTTTTTGCCTTTCTTGAAAAACCTCAGGAAGTCACCTCCCTTTCTTAAACAAAATTTCCCACAGAACCCTAATATAGCCAAGCTCTGCCAATTACTGAGTGCCTTCTTCACAAGTTAAGATTCCTCATTCATAATATGGGAATAACCACCTTAAGGAGCTGTTTCTAAAATGGAGATAGTAAATGCAGTGGAGAGTTTGGAACAAAGTATTCAATGAAGGCTAGTTACCTTAGATTAAACCTCTCAATGTAGCTGGTGAACCCTCCCGGCTGCCTCCCTCAGAAACACCAGAAACAGCACATCGGTACTTAAGCTTCCTGAGCCTGGCTGCAAGTAAAACCCATCCGGGAGTTTTTGTAACCATCACTTGGGACCTACCCCAGACCAGTTAAATTACAATCTCTGGTATGAAACTTGGCACTGTTGGTTACCTATACCATTCATTTATCCATCTACTGAGCAAGTACACATGGGCTATTGGGGGCATGAGAAGGCAACAGTGGTTTATAGGGTTGAGAAGAGAAAGAAGAAAAGGACACAGACCCCATTCTCCAAATGAGACTGTATGCCACATCTTGCTGGATGCTGTACTGAAATCACCAGTTTTCATTTAATACTCTCATGGGTCCTAAAGACCAGGAAACAGACTCAGGGTCAAATATGTAACTTGTGAGGTCACAGGCCATGGAAGAGGCAGCACAGGGATGCAAACCTAAGTCTACCTTGGGAAGTCAGAAGAATGCACAAATGACAGTGCAGAGGAAACTGATAACTATGCTAATTCAGAAAGTTCCAGAAAGGAGAGACAGGATAACTCACATGTGCACCATGGGATCCTGGAAGGTTGTTCTTTAAAATTTTGGTTGTGTATTGTTCTAACTCTTCCTGAATTTCGAAGCCAGTGGCATCAGCATTTTCTTCTAAAAACTGAAAAAGAAGAAAACCCTATTGCTGCAGTAAACTGAGTGCATGATTAGCAAGCAGTCCGGTGCCAGCCTCTACAAAGATGGGAGAGTTTAGCTTGAGGGGAGAAAAAGAAATCTCACGGCTGTTGTGTTGATTTTCAAATCATTATTATTAAAAAAAAAATCATGTAAGAGACTATCCTGCTCTGATAATGGTGGGTTAGATTATTCATATCTAAGCTAAAACCAAAAAAGACCCAAAATATGATAAAATATTAAAAATTAAAATTTTTTCTAAACCTCTGAAGATCTCATAGGTCAGTGAGGAATAAGTAGGCCAATCCAAAGGGAAACCAGAACCCAGGAGGTCCGATGCAGGACTGCAGCGGGGCACAGCTACAGGACAACCCTGTCTGTAGTGAGGCCCTGTGGGGAAAGATACTGACAGCCTTTCAGAATGAGGCATGGAGCTGTGCCAAGTGGCAGCCCCAGTCTGGGGGCATTTTCCAATTCAGTAATTCTGAAGTTTTCATTTTGAAAGTCTCTAATGATGACAGGGACAGAGATCAAATCTAGAGGTAGCATGAAGACAGGAATCTCATTCCCTCCAATCCCAACATATAAACACAGGAAGCTGGAGACCTCCAAGAGCTACCTCTTCAGGACTCAGACCAGATCTTGTACAGACCCAATAGCCCTGCAATACTGTTGGCTTTAAGCTTTGAACCAGGTTACTAAGTATGTGGCAGAAACAAGAAGGAACCTCTCTGGAGCAAGGGAGTACCGTATTTTGCTCAATTATTCCTACCAAGAAATTTTTTACATATAATGATAAACTGCCAAAAATAAGCACACAAGGACAGGGGGAAGAGGAGTTTTTGAGGATATGGATATTATCTTTATACTGAAGGTGACTGTACGGGTGATGGTTACTTTCTAACCATTCAAGGTACAATTAATACATTTCTGTGTGTATTTTACAAAAAGATTGCTTAAGGCAGTAGACATCACAAATTTTATGTCAATAAATTTGAAACTTGAGGTAAAAATGAACAAATTCCCAGAAAAATATAATCTATTTTGAGTACATGTTTTAAGGAAATCCTTTCTCTCTCTTTTTTTGGACAAATCTGATCTTGGGTTAACTTTTTAGCTCTGTTCCCTGAACTTAACAAAGTGGAAATATCAACTGTATTAGCAGACAGTAGAGCTGATGTAAAAATGACTTCGACTGGCTATACCACATCTGAAATAGAAAGTCTACAAATGAATTATAAATACCTAATGAGAAGCCACAACTTGAACTTTTCTGGTGATAACTAGGTTTGTCCTTCAAGATTTCTGGAAACTGGGTCCATAAAACTCACAAAAATACTGATTCTTAATTGGGGCATGGGGCCTCGAGGCCAGGGTGACTCCTATATTTACTGAGGTGATCTCTTTTAAACAGTCCAGGTCACCCAAACTGCGAACCACCTCCTCACCCTATTTGTGCTCTGACATCTCAAGCTGGGCTAACCAGCATGTGCACCTTCTCACCTGACTTGTGCACCAACAGTCTCATGCTGAGCCTTTATCCCTAAGTGAACATCCTCCTCACCCTATCTGAGCTCTGAACTGCATGATGGACAGAACCCCCTTCCGTCCCCCCCGACAGAACACTATCCCCTTGAATGCTTTACTCATCTTGTTTGGGCTCTTACAACCCACACTAGGCAACACCTCTGTGTAGACTCCTATGTGCTCTATCTAATGTCTTTAAGACTGAGTTATTCAGGAAAGGGACGGTAAAAGGTTTTCTCTTGTGCCAAGAAAAAAATAAGAATGCCTGGATGCCTCTAGCCCTTCAACATAGTAAAATAGATTCTAATGATGAAAGTAAGTAAAAGGAACAGTGTTAAGGAAGAGAGAGACAAAACTGTTATTATTTACAGATAAGACTGTGCTGGAAATCTAAAACAATCTACAGACAAAAATATTAGAATTAAGAAGACACTTTTGCTAGGTTGCTTCATACAAAATCAATACACAAAGCAGTAATATTTTCATCTACAAACACAAAATAAATGAAAACAAAAAAAAATTATAAAACACCAGAAAATTATGCAATTATTAATCACAAAGAAAAATGTCTCTTTATGGTAGAGAGAGAGATGGTCACACATTATCCAAGTAATAAAATTCAGTAAGATCAAGAGTGGTCCAACCAGACAGCTAATGCTTGGTAAAATGATGCATATCCAATGCCACGTAGCTTGCATTCTTACCAAAATATGAATGCTATGAGGAAAATAATCAGACAAATCCTAAAACACAACTGGTCTTAAGTCATCCCTAACCACCTACCCTGTTTAGAATTCTTTCCAGCTCATAGACTGCTTGTAAGGCCCCAACTTCCAGAACTTTCAGCTGGCAAACTAAGAGATGAATCACAGCCCGGGGGCAAGTCAGCATGTGACAGTTTAAACAGGAGCCCCGGAGCAACAGGTAGAGTTTCTGAAAAGAGGGAATAAAAAGAAATAAGACATTAGAAAGAGCTGTAACAGCCAAGGTAATTTTTAAGGCACTTACAATTTTTGTTTTAATGCAGTAAGCTTATTCCTTTAAGATTCCCACTTCATCCTTTATAACTAGAAAGGCCTTCTGGAACCAAAGAACTAGATAATTATTCCTTTATATTTTCTTTTATGGTTTCATTTTAATCCTTAAAATATGAAATTTATTTTGGGTCCAAGGTGGGGAACAACGTTTACTTAACTATGTTCTAAATATTAAATTTAGTATTTATTTAAGTAAAATATTAAGTCTAAAACATTGTAGTATTTGGCTAAATACTAAACATAAAATTTTATTTTATAACAGAAACAATTTTCTTCCCCTAATATAATTAGCAGACAAAAATCAAGTCAATGTACACTATCATCTCCATAGCTTAAAACAAATCCTGGAGGCTTGTTAACAGATATAAAAAGCTGAAAATGATCAAGTAAGTTTCTAGACTGGAGCTTCTTTTTTTTTTTAAAAAAAACAGTGGGGGCCTCCCCGGTGGCGCAGCAGTTGAGCGCTGGGTTGCAAAGCTGCCCACAGCCTCTGCATTGCCGGTTCGATCCCTGGTCGCCTACGAGGGTCCCACATGGCGCGCAGACCTCTCCTGCAGCCCACTGCTCCCCTCAGCAGTGTACTTCGTCAGTCTGTCTGCTCTGCTCTCCCTTCTGGCTCTGGTGAATTCTCTCACCCTCCCGTGCTTCTGACTGTACCCAGTGATTGTATAAATAAATAAATAAATCATAAAAAAAACACACAAAAAAACAGTGGACCTTCCCTGGTGGCGCAGGCGGTTGAGTGCTGCGCTGTGAAGCTGTCTGTAGCCTCTGCAGCGCTGGTTTGATCCTAGCCGGCCGGTGAGGGCCCCACATGGCGCACCAGGCCTCTCCTGTTGTGCCCGCTGCTCCCCTCAACAGTATATTTTATCAGTCTGCCTGTTCTGTTCCTCTCTCTGTCTCTGGTGAATCCTCTCACCCTCCCGCGCATCTGGCCTGTACCCCAGTTCTTGTGTAAAATGAGTAAATAAATCTTAAAAGTCAATGTACACTATCATCTCTATAGCTTAAAACAAAACCTGGAGGCTTGTTAACAGATATAAAAAGCTAAAAATGGTGAAGTAAGTCTCTAGACTGGAGCTTCCTTTTTTCCTTTTAAAAAAAATTTATTTTTCTTTGTTTCTTTTCTTTTTTTTTTTTTTTAATTGAGGTATGGCACCTCATTTTAACCTCACTGTTGGGCCTTCTGGAACTCTGCTCCTCTTGCCACCATGCTCAAGCATAGAAATCAAGCTGGAAGGGTCAGGGAAATTTGGAGAACTCTAATGGTCCCTCTATTGCCAGGGAGGGTCTACCTGGACTTCTGAAGGACATGAAGTCCCTGAAACGAAGAGCAGGCATGAATCTGAATGCATCTCCCTGCCCACTCCCCGCTTCCAACCTCCCATGAATAGAATCAAGTATGGCTCTTTCTCAAATGGAACCAAACTGACATTTGACTTAGAGCTAAAAGCCAAGATGAATGTATTAGATTTGGCTCCTCAAGGTTTGAAATCTCATGGTAAAGAGTACTTTACCTAAAAGTGTCCAGAGCTAACCTCCTCAGACACCACCTGTCATGACAGGGGTGCACTCAGAAACCCCACCAGCAGCCCTGAGACCCAGGCATCCGGGGAAGAACATACGTCGAAGAGGAGAGGGTTGTACACTGTCAGTGGGAGCTCAATGTGGCCCAGGTGTCCCGAGCAGTTGTTGAAGTCCTGCACGCAGGTGGAGCACACTTCTTTGGAATCTGCAGGGCCTAGAGCCAAATCATAAAGGCCGTTCACTGATGGGTTCCCGAGGCTGTCCAGGTACCGAGGATTCGTAATGGATTTAACACTTAGTTTCCTAAAAAGACAAAAAAAGACCACAGGAAAACTAAGGTTACCCATACATCTCAAATGTTTCCTCTTTGGTGTTGACAAAACCATAGTCAAGTGATGATTTAATGTCTGTTTCTTCAGACACATGGACAGCTCCAAGGAATAAAATCTGTATCTGCCTTGCTGATTACTGCTGCTCAGTACTTATACTTGGCACAGAGTCTGCTCTCAGCTGTTACTCACGAAATATATCTAGGGCCTCCCCTGGTGGCGCAGCAGTTGAGCGTTGGGCTGTGAAGCTGCCCGCAGCCTCTGCAGCACCGGTTCGGTCCTCGGGAGGGCCCCACACCCAGTGAGGGTCCCACATGACGCCCATACCTCCCCTGCTGCACCTGCTGCTCCCCTCAGCAGGGTACTTCAGTCCTTCTGCCTGTTCTGCTCCCCGCTCTGGCTCTCGTGAATTCTCTCACCCTCCCGCGCTTCTGACTGTACCCAGTGATTGTATAAATAAATAGATAAATGTTAAAAAAAAAAGTCTAAATGAATAAGAGCAGTAAAATCTTTTTAAAAATAGATTTAGTGCAAACCTTGCACATTGGAAGACTTCATAAAAAAGGAGTTAAGTACTTACCAATTAAATGCTCTAAAAACAGCATTTAGTCTTGACTTTCAAGATGGGCATCGCTATGCGTAATTTTCTTTTTTCTTTTTTAAAGGATTTATTTATTTATTTATACATATATACATACATACATATATACATACATACAAGCACTGGGTACAGTCAGATGCACAGGAGGGTGAGAGAATTCACCAGAGCAAGAAGGGAGAGCAGAACAGGCAGACTGATGAAGTACACTGCTGAGGGGAGCAGCGGGTGGCAGGAGAGGTCTGCGCGGCAAGTGGGACCCTTGCCCAGCGGCCGGGGAACGAACCGGCGCTGCAGAGGCTGCGGGCAGCTTCGCAACCCAGCGCTCAACCGCTGTGCCAACGGGGAGGCCCACTATGCATAATTTTTAATGGAGGAAAGAGGCTCAGAGCAATTTGGTAGATTCAATTCAAGTAATAGACAGATTGGGAATGGAGTGGGCAAGAAATGGATCACACTAACTCTAAAGCTCATGCTGTTCAATAATGACGATTTCAACCAATAATCCCTGCATGTAAGAATATCAAATTAAGGAAAACTGAATACAAATTTGCAAACTTTTAAGAAATAAAAGCTGCTTTACTGAAGGTATCATCACAGAATTTTATGTTTGGACCAAAATAAGACACTAATTTTCACAAAAACTACATTCTTGTCAAGTTTGCTTTTGAAACGTTGTTTGGATATAGAATATAAAATACAAAGAAACCACTGAAACCTTAGAACCTAAAAGAAAATCACTATACAATGTTCACAGACCTTTTCCTATAGGTACATTAAAAAACCATAACTGGGATCATTTTAAATTTCTAGCATTGCATTTATCCATTTTCAATTAGCATCAATAGTGTTTTTGTCAATAAAAGTTCCTTGGAAACATGAGTCTTTGGCACAGCAAAATCTTTCATTATATGGCATTACATAGCAGCTCATGGAAAACACATGGCTTTGGGGTGAGAAAGGTCTGATCTCTAAATCTGCTCTCAACTAAGAGAAAGTTCAGGAAAATGGGTTTTCCAGAACATTAGAAAGCTCACAGTATGGTCCTATTCAGGAACATGTGAGCACTGACCCCACATGCCTGCACAAATCACCTGAGAACCTAACAGTACAGTCTCTACAGAAAAGGGTATGGACAATCCCTAAAAAAAAAAAAAAAAGGAAATATCACATGATCCAGCAATATCAATGCTAGGTATTTACTCAAAGAATATGAAAACGCTCATACAAAAAGATTTATGCATTTCTACATTCATAGGAGCATTACTTGCAAAAGCCATGTAAACAACATAAATGCCCAATAACAGACAACTGGACAAAGAAATTGTGGAACTTATATTCAAATAGTGGACTATATACTCATTATTAAGAACAATGAAATAGTGACTTCTGGGGCAAAATAGATGGATCGTATAGTGATTATGCCAAATGAAATAAGTCAGATAATAAAAGACAGTTACTGGATGGTTTCAGTCACTCATGGAACTTACAGAACCAAAGAAAACAAACTAACAAAGAAGAGTAAGCACAATTCTTAGACTCTAAGAATTATACTGATGGAATGGGGTGGGGGAGGCTGGGAATAAGATAAGGTAAGTGAAGCATGTGCACAAGGGAGGTGTGAAGTTGTACTCCCAAAATTATAAAGTTATATGCATAATGACAACTAAAAGTAGTATAACCAGTAGCTCCTTGAGGAAAAACAAGATTTGAGGAAAGAAGGAATCAACTAAGAAGCCTGACATGAATTAGATAGATCATGAATCCAAGGGACCTTGCTCACCAATGTGTCACTAATGTCTAGCTTAGTGCCTTGCAAAAACTGTATGATCAATAAATATTTGTGGTTTGATAAAATGATTAAGGGAGGAAGAGTACTTGTCACCGAAATAGAACCTGAAGACAGTAAGGTCAGGGAAGAGAGTAAAGTTTTGAAGGTATGGTCAAGACTGTCAGAAGCTACGGTGATCAAAATGACTTAAGATTTAATAATTAGGCGGGAAATATAGGGGGTCCTGGCAAAAGAAAGAAGTTATCCTCTGAGTTGAGTCTTGAAGGGTAACCACTTTCAGGACAAGAGAAGACTATGAGCTTCAATAACCGCGTCAGAGACACTGTAGAAGCTCCACAAACTGAGGTTAACTAACGAGGAGACGGGCGACCCAAAACGCGGCAATCGGGGAACCCCATCCTTCTCAGCGCACACTCTCGCCCAGCCCCGCCGGCCCTCGCCAGGCAGCGCACGCCAGCCCAAGACGTTCCCGGAACTACGAGTCCCAGCAGGCCACACGCCCGAAAACCATGGATTCAGAAGACAAACCGGGCGTAAGACCTTTCGGGAACAGTAGTTTACGGGGCGGACCTCACAAGCCACGCTCACATTGCTTCCCACCAACTCCTTACCTGAGCTCTTCGGCCGAATACATCCCGAAGGAAATGCCCTTCAGCCGCCGCCAGGGCATGGTCTTTGAGCCCAACATCTTCTAGGTCAGTTTTGAGTTCTGACATGCAGAGAAAAATTCTAATCGCCCCAGGTAAAAGCTTAACTCAGCCTCAGGTTCGCCGCCACCATGTGACACCTAAGTGCGCTTGCGCGCGAGGGCCATTCCGGGACCGCGGACGAGCTCACTTTCGCTCTGGGGGGGGGAAGAGAAGAGTCTCGCGGCCGGAACCCGCCCTCTCGTTCTAAAAACAATTATATATTTATAAAACATTAATATTATTATTTCATAAAAGTTCTTCGAGGCAGATAAGGGTGCTTAATCTTGAATTTTCATAGCGAAGTTGTTCATAGCATGCGTTGGTAACCTCATCTATGATTGCTTTTGTTTTATTCCGTCGCAGCCAATAGTCGAGCTTTTCCCCGCCCACTTTTTTATTCTCCCCGCCCCCGTAACCCCGCGGGACCCGGGCGTGATTTCCCAACATGCTGTGCGTAGCGGCCCGAGATGGCGGCCTTGGGGTCTGTCCGCTGGCTTAGGGTCCGCTGCAGACTTTGCCTGCCTCGGTCAGGTCGGCAGGCAGGTTTGTGTGCGTGGGCCCCCTGTTACAGGTAAGAGAATGCTTGGGGATTCTATTAGGAAGACTCGGAGGTCAATTTAATCTTTCGTATATTTTTCTCCGAGAGATGGAACTGGGGGGGGGGGTGGAGTGGAATACGCATGCGCGCTGTCTCGGCCACATGCTATAGGGACCCAACACGCGGAGGCCAAGTCTTTGAAAAGGCTTTCAAAACCCACCCATTATGAAAAGTTTTACTGCTTGTCTAACCTACGCAGGAGTTAGGAGTGTAATTGAAGGCGCAACTAGAGAAAAAGAATCAGTTACCCCTGGTCGTATTTAACCAGCTGGGAAGAACGAGGAGAACTCAAGATTTCCGTAAATTAAGGCAATTTGATATTTGGCCAAATACATGATAGAGGTGTTAAGAAAAAGAGCAGAGTGCTAAAGATCAGGAAAAACCCTTTGGATTGCTGTGGTTTTTACAGCTTGGAACGTGTAAATTTATGTAATTCTTTTTCATTTAGTACAAATAGCAGGATTGTGGAAATATTTAAGGCAGTAATTTGTAGTGATAAATTAAGAAAAATCTAATTTTATGTTTCACCATTTCTTTAGTTGGGTGATAATAGATTTCCTCTTCTGTGTAATTGTTACAGGGCAGCCCTGGTACAAAACGGGTTGCCTGACTTTGGGTCCTCACCCGCGCGCTTAAAAGGACTTATCAATGCTCACACACGAAAGGTTAATAAAAGGTTTATTTACAAGGGAAGGGCAAATGAGGATATGTACCATGAGGTGCTCATTAAATTGTTTCTCTGAATTTCAAAGTGTTTTACATTTCTAAAATTGAAAGCCCCTGTATTTCAAACAGCTGCTCAGATTTTTTTCAAGTGTTAAAAAAAGTTTCCCAGTTTTCCCCTGATTTAAAATCATTGTATCCATTTTGTAATGGTATTGAATATGCTATTGAGGCCATGTCTTCTCTGTGTATTGACATGAGTTGTCTAGTCAGTTTGATCTATAATTTGGGCTGAAAATGCACATAGTGGGAGGTAACATGGGACGTTCACTAATGAATATTAACTGTAGGACTCTTTTTTGTTTGTTGTTGCAGATTTTATTCTGGAGGTGTAGCTGTTCCAAAGGTTGAAGGAACTGATGTAACAGGTATTTAAAGAGCTATTGAAATAATCCATTTTTTACATCAACACATGGTACTTCTTTTAATAGTAGTATCAGAAGCTGATTTGCTTTGTTTTTTTTTTTTTCCTTCATTTAAGGCATTGAGGAAGTCATCATTCCAAAAAAGAAAACTTGGTAAGTATTCAACCAGTGTTCATTCATCAAATGGTTGAATGCTTATTATGAGTGAAACATTGGTAGGTGAGGAACAATAAAAAAGCATACTTAAGGAAGAACAACTGAGGAGAGAAAAGCTTGAGAATTCATTTAATTTTTTTAAATATTTATTTATTTATACAAGCACTGGGTGTGGTCAGAAGCGCCGGAGGGTGAGAGAATTCACCAAAGCCAGAGCGGGGAACAGAACAGGCAGGCTGACGAAATACACTGCTGAGGGGAGCAGCGGGCACTGCAGGAGAGGTCTGCGCGCCATGTGGGACCCTCGCAGCAGCTGGGGATCGAACTGGCTTTGCAGAGGCTGTGGGTAGCTTCACAGCCCAGCGTTCAACCGCTGCGCCACCTGGGGAGGCTCAAAAGGTTGAGAATTTAAAACAGTGTAGAAAGAGGAATATGGAGTGTGGTAAGTGAGTGGGAAGGAGATTTACTCAAAAGTTAAAAAACCTTCTGAACTAAGTTTGGTATTTATGGCAAAACGGTTATTATGAAAGTCTTCAAAAGAAGTGGGGTTTACTTTGGTTTTTTTTTTTTTAAGGAAGTTCTTTCATGGTTGAGAGACCAATCTAAAGTATTATCTTTATGGTTTTTAATAAAGTAAACAAAATGCTGTGGATTATGGAATTCAGCCTTTTTAATTCACTGGGTAGATAGCTAAATGAACTGCCTTATTTATTCAACTTATATTAAGAACTAAAACCTTTGCAGAAGTTTTGTAGTAGTGAAACGGATGTGTTTAAAGGCCCATCAAAAAGTCAAGTCATTCCTGTGTGCAATATAAAGGCCGAGGTTCATTTTTAAAAAGAAAAAAACAAGATTAAATCACAAGTAATATATGGTTATTGCCAAAGATTGTGGGGGGGCGGGGTGAAATAAACACATTAGCATGCAAAAAAGGGAAGAAAATTACCAGCAACCACACTATTCAGAAATAAGTTGCTTAATCTGTATCAAAGCACAGAATGGTTAATTTCCTACTCAAAGAATTGAATGAGTCTTTGAACAGTGACTGTCAGTAGTTAGAACTCAAGAGACTATAGCAGTTATTTTAATGTTCTGGGGTATAACATTTCTTTTTATATCAATTTTATGCATATAGTTTTGTAAATATACTGTCTCATGCTCTGCTTTTACTTTTTAATGACTACATTGTATTTTATTATGTGGATATATTCAGGTTCACTTCTGTCATCCCTGGCCTAACTAAGAATCAGAATCAAGATGAGAATAGGTATATACATATCCATGCACAAGGCATTTTCCTGAATAGCATTGAAGTTTTAAGTACTTTGCCAGTCATTGTGCCTCTATCCCTGAAATAGGTACAACAGGGAATACAAAAAAGAGCATTTGGAGGATGTGGGTAGATGACATAAGATCTAGTTGAGTTGTTTGCTTTTTTTAAATACATTAGATGTTATAGTTCTAAGTGTACATAATTCCATACACATGTCTAGAGGCAACATAGGATGTGATATGATCAAGAGAGGTTGAATTGCCCTAGTCAAGGTGAGTTTTATTGAAAATGTAGAGATTAACTTATACTTTAAAAGGGCTAAGATTATTTTACTGGCATCAGAATCACCTGAAATTTTTGTTTAAAATGCCACTCTTGAGGGCCTCCCCGGTGGCGCAGCGGTTGAGCGCTGGGTTGCGAAGCTGCCCGCGGCCTCTGCGGTGCCGGTTCGATCCCCAGCTGCTCCCCGGCCACTGGAGGAGGGTCCCACATAGCGCGCAGACCTCTCCTGCCGCCCGCTGCTCCCCTCAGCAGTGTACTTCGGTCCTTCTGCCTGCTCTGCGCCCCGCTCTGGTGAATTCTCTCACCCTCCCACGCTTCTGACTGTACCCAGTGCATGCATAAACAAAACAAACAAATAAATAAATAAAACATGCCTCTATTAAAAAAAAACCTATTAAAAAAAATAAAAATAAAATGCCACTCTTGAAGGTAGTTCTTGCAAACCCTTACATGATACCCACAGACAGAGGGAGCGGTAAGGTCATAAAAGACATGGTGATATATCTAGTGGTAGGAGGCCAGGTACAGTCAGACTTGTGAAAAATGATCTGTAAGAATAAAGAAAATGAGGTAGTTGACATAGAGCGTTAGTTAGCAAATTAACATCTATTTTTTAACAGCCTGTGAGCCAATAATGAATTTTATATTTTTTTATAGTTCAAAAACAGTTGAAAGACTATTTCATGACACTTGAAAATTATACGAAATTCATGTTTCAGTATCAGTTAAAATTTTTTTTGAAACACAATTTCACTCATTTGTTAGTATTGTCTGTAACTACTTTTTTATGTTACACTCAAAACTAAGTAGTTGCAAGTAGTTCCTAAAGCTGAAGATATTTACTCTCTTTACAGAAAAGCTGTGTAACCCCTGATATAGAGCCTCTGATTTCCAGGCTTAGGGATTTATGCTTTAGACCTAGAAGAAACTATAAGAACCACAAGTTCCTGTTGCCTTATTTTAGATATGAAGCATCTTCTGAGGTTGTGATTTCCCAGTTCCTCAGGTGCCACAGAAGACTTTAAGAAATTATATAGTCATTGTGAGTTTTCATAATATTAATGTGGCATTATAAAAACTGTTCCAAAGAGGTTGACCTTGTGTAAATATTTTAGGGAGGGACTGAAGCTCAGTTACCATTATGCATACGTAACCGGGGTCATAAAGAAATGTATATTAAAACTTGGCCAGGTTTGCAAAGAAGAGGATGTGAACAGATGGGTGTTCAAATATATTGGTTGATAGGGCAGTCAGTTGGAACAATAATTTAGAGGGAATTTTGGAAAATCGAATTTAAAATGGGCATACTTTACCAGCTAGCCATTCTGGAGGCACACTTGCTTATATTCAAAGAGGCATGATAGTTACATAACGTTTAAAGAAATTAGATCTGTATGTAAGTAATGAGGTAGAATAATAATACTTACATAAACACAGAATAACAGTGTATGTTTTTAGTGATGGTTTATAAGAATACCACAAATGTTTTGGAAATAACCCAAACTCAATAGGGTGGATAAGTGGGGTCACAAGATGACTGCAGGCTTGGGCCTCCCTGGTGGCACAAGTTAAGCACAGTACTGTGAAGCTATCCACAGCCTCTGCAGCACAAGTTTGATCCCCGGTTGGCCAGGGAGCAACCCACATGGCACAGCAGACCTCTCCTGACTTACCCGCTGTTCCCCTCAGCAGTGTATTTCAGTCAGTCTGTCTGTTCTGTTCCACACTCTGCCTGTGGTGAATCCTCCCAACCCCCCTCCTCAGCACCTCTGGTCTTTAACCCAGTTCTTGTATGCATAAACAAATCTTAAAAAAAAAAAAAAAGATGACTGCAGGCAGACACTTTAGCATAACTTGTAATATTTGTTTTTAAGAAAATATATTAACATTTTTTAAATAACTTTAAAAAGTCTGAATACCATAATTTTTTCACTGAAATTTCTTAGAAGGTGTGTCAATTTGATAAAAGATTTAAATAGATAAGATTATATAAACGTGACTTTAAAAAACAAAGTTAATAGAAGTGATTCCATTTTAATATAAAATTTTCTGTATTTCTCTCAGGAAAGACTGAATGCTGTGTTCAAAACTTTACCTCAAAAAAACACCTTGTTTTACTAAATTTGCCTATTTCCCTCTTAGAAATGAAACATGAAATCTAATGCAGAAGTAAAAATACATTTGAAATCAAATTGTCTTGTTTGTCAGTTATTCCACTGAAACCTCCTTTTCAGTATGTCAGTGGACCCACAGGCCCAGTGGACAGCTGGTCTGAAACTCTTATACTAGTCTGTATTTGGGAGGTTCTAAACCAGATTGGTATTTCAGAATCATCTGGGAATATGCTAAGAATGCATGTGACAATTCATAGAACTTGGAGGTTTTCAATAGGTCCAGAGTACAACTTGTGATTTATTCGCATAAATATTTGAATTAAGAGCCACCAATTTAGATAATAAAATCAAAAGTATTCCAGAAAGCTTCAGAAAGAATGAATAGGGAAATGGCTAAGAGGATATAATATGTAAGACAGACGAGGGTAGAAATCACTAGCCCAGGGTGGGGTATTGACCAGAGAGTGTAGATAAAACATTATAGGAATGTATGTTAAGCACCTTTAGGCAAAAGAACTAGACAGTTTTCCCATTTTCTAACTTGTTGTTCTAGTGATCTTGAGAGAACCAACTTCATTTAGGACCAGAACTTTTTAATTCACCAGTCCATTCTGAGAGTACAATCACTTACTGGCTTTGTGTGAAAAGCCCTAATGAGGGTTAACTTGTGATTCTCATTCTTAGGGATAAAGTGGCTGTTCTTCAGGCACTTGCATCCACGGTAAACAGGGTAAGTAAGAATATACGGTTTGTGTCTAACTTAACTAATAGTACATTTAATGTTCATACCTCTTCATTATCCAGAATTAAACTGTTGTGAACCTAGAAAGTTTAAAGTGAATGGGGCCTCCCCGGTGGCGCAGCAGTTGAGCACTGGGTTGCGAAGCTGCCCGCGGCCTCTGCGGTGCCAGTTCGATCCCCGGCTGCTCCCCAGCCGCTGGAGGAGGGTCCCACATGGCGTGCAGACCTCTCCTGCCGCCCGCTGCTCCCCTCAGCAGTGTACTTCGGTCCTTCTGCCTGCTCTGCTCCCCGCTCTGCTCTGGTGAATTCTCTCACCCTCCTGCGCTTCTGACTGTACCCAGTGCATGTATAAACAAACAAACAAATAAACATGCCTCTATATTAAAAAAAAATAATAATAATTTAAAGTGAATGACCTGGGGCTGATTAGGATATTAAAGCCTTGACATAGTTCCATGTATTTTGTCTCCAAATTCAGTATTTTTATATTATATACCAGTGGTCTTTTAAGTTTAAATTTCCAGCAAGAGAATTGTCTGCCAGGAAAAGTCATTAGGGACTGGAGTTTTTCTTGGAATCTAGTTACAAAGACAACTCTATATTAGATATACCGAGTTCAGACTCCCGAAAGGAAAGCAGGTATTTAGCATGAACCACATTCTTAGGTTTCATCACACTGAATCCATTCTTACTGGCATTGGGAATGGTGGGAACTGTCCCCAAATACAACTCCCTAGATGCCAGCCTTGGAAAAGTAGGCCTTTCTATGAATAGTAATTTCAGGCCTGTTAGCTGTTTTCTTTATGATATCAAGATTGTGAACACATTGCCAACATCATTTCATATATTTTGCATTATAATTACAACAGACTTTATTTCTTCCACCTCTTACAGAGCCATATCACTTTTATGCTTACAATGCAAAAGTAACTTCTCTAATAATAGAGATAAAAACAAGTCTCTATTAAGCCTCCTAAGAACCTACATGATCTCATACACGTTATATGGTATTTCTTTCACACTTCCCTCATGTCTGCCTACTAGCCCTAAGTGAATTTCCTGCTCTCTTGCTCACTCTACTCTAGCTACTCTCCGCCTCCTGGCTAATTTTGTTTCTCAGCAGGCACATTTTTGCCTTTTGGCTTTAATGTTTGCTGTTCCTTCTCTGTGGAATATTTTTCCCTGTGATAGTCTCTGTCTTTCCTTTATTGCCTTTACAGTGAGACCTTCCCTGATACTTTTTTTTTTCTTTTTAAGATTTATTTATTTATGCATACAAGAATGGGGGGGGGCAGGCCAGAGGTGCAGGGGGTAAGAGGATTCACCAAAGACAGAGCGGGGAACAGAACAGGCAGATTGACTGAAATACACTGCTGAGGGGAGCAGTGGGCGAGCCAAGAGAGGTCTGCCACTCCATGTGGGTTGCTGCTCCCTGGCTGGGGGTCAAACTCATGCTGCAGAGACTGCAATTAGCTTCATAGGTTGCGTCCCAACCCCCTGTGCCACCAGGGAGGCCCTTCCCTGATACTTTCTGAAACTTTTTTCTCCTTTTCTCTACTGTTACGTTTTACATAGTAATCTTTTAATTTACTGGGCTTTGTTTTTGTTTTGTGTTTTTCTGGAGTGTTTCTTTTTCCCATTAGATTTAAGCTCTATCTGGAGGTGGGGATTTTGTCATATCCCTAATAACTAGAAAAGTGATTGATTAAGTCATAAGAGGAACTCACTAAATATTGACCAAATGAATATGAACTAAAGCATTGGCAGTTGGGATAAGGGACAGTAGAGGAGGGGTATCAAGAAGCTAGAGTTGGGCCTCCCCTGGTGGCGCAGCAGTTGAGCGCTGGGCTGTGAGGCTGCCTGCAGCCTCTGCAGCACCAGTTTGATCCCCGGCCACCAGGCGAGGGTTCCACATGGCACGCAGACCTCTCCTGTCACCCACTGCTCCCCGCTCTGGCCCTGGTAAATTCTCTCACCCTCCCGTGCTTCTGACTGTACCCAGTGCTTGTATAAATAAATCTTTAAAAAAAAAAAAAAAGCACTAGGGTTGCCCAAACCTGATGACATGTTCCTTGAGTAGAAATAATGGGAAAGGATCTTTGGATTGGAGTGCAGAGTGGTCAGTACCATTTACAGAGAAAAGATAGAAGAGAGAGTAGCCATGTCGGGAAGTTTGTGCATGCATTTGGTTTTGAGGCATCTGAGTAAGGACATGAGGAAGAATAAGTTTGATGAGTTAAAAGACATCCAGCATGTTACCAAAACTGGAGGCCCCATATAGGTATATGAGGGTAGCAGAGCCAGAGCCAGGCAACAGGAGAAGTTGAGGTGAGCTTAAACTACTACCTCTGGTTTTGTTTTTTTTTTTTCAGACTCACATACCAATAGGGAATGATATAACCATGTGACCTCAGATGAGGTGTGGAAGGGATTATGAGTTTTAAAAGTGGCAGCAGGAGGTTAGGATCCAAAAAACATACTGCCTCCAGGCCCTAGGTATGAGCAGCTTTCCCTTGAGAACTGTGGGGATGCTCCCAGAAGTGTCCAGATCAGTAAGACAAGGAAAGCATCAAGGGACAGTCAGAAGAAACTCAGGATACAGGGTGAGTTTTTCTTATGGAACAAAGTCCCAGAAAGCCTAAGAAAGGGAGCTCTGGGGGAAAGGAGGGGAATAAAAGTAATTTGGGCACAGTTGTAAGTGAGCCTCTGTTGAGTGGCTTTTGCTCTAGAACAATTTAAAGGATTGTTTTACTTTGGGCAACAAGACACAGGAGAATTTGCTGCTGTGCTGTCCACCTTTTGAGAGGGTCCAGTGAGGGTATCCGCTATTTGAGGGTGGAACTCTTGGATGGTTAGTGACTATGCTTTGAAGGAAATCCTGGTCCAGGAAGCTGGTGTGCAGACTAATTAATTCAAAGGGCTTTTACCCTGAGTTTAAATATCAGTATCCTCTGGGCCTCCCCTGGTGGTGCAGTGGTTGAGCGCTGGGCTGCATAGCTGCCAACAGCCTCCACAGCGCCAGTTCAATCCCTGGCCACCGGCAAGGGTCCCACATGACGTGTAGGCCTCTCCTGCTGCGCCCGCTGCTCCCCACTCTGGCTATGGTGAATTCTTTCACCCTCCTGTGCTTCTGACTGTACCCAGTGCTTGTGTAAATGAATAAATATATTTTAAAAAGAAAAAAGAAAAAATAAATAAATATCAGTATCCTCTCATGATAGACTCAAATCTTAAGGATTGGGATTTCCACCGCTGTGTTTAAGTTGTACATAATTATTGCCAAGTGTTGCAAAGCTAAGAATCCGTATAGGTGTTAGTTTTTTTTACACATATGCACACACAAATATACATATGCACTAATATAACATGCATTTTTCTGCACGTGTTAATAATTAAAACTCATAATTTTTGGTCCTCACCAAAATTTGCGAGGTTCTCATTAAAAATCTAACCAAAGAAACTTTTGTGTCTTCCCTACAGGATGCTACAGCTCTCCCTTATGCATTTCAAGATGATCCTTATCTCATACCAACATCCTCTGTGGAGTCTGTGAGTATTTTTGAGTAACTTTTTTAGTTTTATGTTTTATATTGCTGGTTTGAGTATAAGAGTGCATGTATAACTTAGCTGTAAACAAAACCTTTGAAAAGTTAACTTTTTAGAGATTGGCTATGGAAAGGGTTTTTGGTTTTGAATATCTAGGGCTCTTTGATATTATAACAACCACTCGGCTCATATGCATTAGGTTTTCTATACCTCAGACCATAGATAAGAAATGAACTGAAATTATTTTACACACAGGAGCAGGGGTGGATATTATGTAATTTAACTTCTAATCAGTTTTCTGTGAATTGTGAGATTTTTTTTTTTAAGCCGTGGGGGTGGGGGTTGATATTTTGCCTCTAAGTTCCATGTAAACACTGGTACCTAATCTTTTTCTTCATACAGCGTTCATTTTTATTGGCAAAGAAGTCTGGGGAGAATGCAGCAAAGTTTATTATTAATTCACATCCCAAATACTTTCAGAAGGACATAGCTGAACCTCATATACCGGTAAGGAGAGGTACCTGCTTTTCATTTTCAGATAATACAGTAAAATGTATGTAAAACCAGATATATTCATGGCTAATATTTGAGTAGCCACTTGAGTGCTTCAGTATTTGAATGAAAAGTCCTTTTACGTGTATAGTCGCCTTTGCTCACGATACTAAGCCTTTTTAATTCTTTCTGTATAGTTTACTTACCATCTTTTTTCCCCATTTGTTTTTCTGTGACACCAGAATCCAGTCTTTTCCTCTTTGACTTCCTTTTCAGTTTCATTCTGTCTACTCAAGCATTGATTCCTTTCTTAGGTTTCCATGCTCACTTACTTTCTCTTTTTCCTGTCTGAAGGCTTCCTGATTTAATCACTCTTTCACTCCATTTGGCATTCTTGAGTATCTGGCCTGGGTCCCCCTACTTTGAACTCTGAAATCTATCTCCAGCTTCCTCTTTGTTCTATAATCTTGAAGTGTGGGTATAAGTTGGACATTGTACTTAGTACTTTCATACAGTGGTGAGTGAAACAGATGTGTTTGCCCTTCTGAGTTTATTAGTAGAAATAGTAACCCCAGATTACTGTGTCTAAAGAAGTATTCCTCCTCATATTCCCTGCTCCCCAAAACACACATCCAGGCACATCCCTTCTGCTGCTTAAGCAGTGATTCCTGCTAGTGATAATTAAGGAAGCCTGAGTTTGCATAGGTTAATATATTGAAATCCTGAACTAAGACAGTGGCAACAATGTTAATGATTTGTCCCCTACCCTCCCACCTCCCTTTCAAAGTGCTTATTAGCTCACTTTTCCTTGAAACCTCCCGTGTGGGCCCTGCCTCACTGGCAGACTGCACCTATTATTGCTAAGATCTCATGTCATTTATCATTCACGTTGTATTACTTGCTTTGTCCATTAGTCTTGAGGTACAGTCACTTTTTTTTATCCCCATTGCCAAACTTAGTACCTGGTGTAAAGTAGAAGACTTTCATATATATACGATATATATGCGTGTATATTTAGAGTATGTGTTAAATGTTTAGAGTAAAAAAGCATCAAGGATGAAAATTTCTACTTTAGAAAGTGGGTGGACTCTAGCACTTTTAACCAAGATTAGGAGAAAAAAAGGAAGTAAGGTGGTTTTAGTGGGGGAAAATGTTTAGCTTTAAGTTGGGAAATTTATTTGGAAATGGGATTCTTCAGATATATATTAAATATTTGTTTGGATGCTTTTATTTTTTAAAGATTTATATATGCATACAAGAGCTGGGGTGTAGGCCAGAGGTGGGGGCGGGGGTAAGAGGATTCACCAGAGACAGAGTGGGGAGCGGAACAGGCGGATCTACTGAAATACATGCTGAAGGAAGCAATGGGTGAGACAAAAGAGGTCTGCTGCACCATGTGGGTAGCTCCCTGGCCAGGAATGGAACTCGTGCTACAGTGGCTGCCAATACCTTCATGGTGATGAGATTTAACCCCTTGCACCACCAGGGAGGCCCCTGTTTGGATGCTTTTAAATTCTCCTTTCTAAGATAGGAGATAACTTCAATAAACCTGAAAAGAAAGCATCCTCCCCCTCACCCCCAGTAATATCCTCTACAAAGGCTTATTAGCACATTAAAATGATATTTAGCACATGAAACATGAATTAGAACAGTGAAGTCTGGTTTTGGTGTGTTGGTGCTAAAAATTTTTTTCCTACTCAGTTATCCTTTCACCTTTACCTATTTGTACTAATGCTAGCCATCTTATTTCCCTAGTGTTTAATGCCTGAGTATTTTGAACCTCAGATTGAAGATACAAATGAAGTTGCGCTGAAAGAACGAATCAAGCTCAAAAAAGTCAAAGCTTCTGTGGACATGTTCGATCAGCTCTTGCAAGCAGGTGACTAGGTTCATTTAAAGCCCCTCTAGGAACCTGAGCTTGCAAGTGGCCACAGTTACACGATCCAGTTGGTTGTGAGTAAAAGTTACTCTGCCTCATAACCGTGTTTATATAAAGTTTATATAAAGGCCTGGATCCAAATGGAATAGTTCTTGCATTTGTAAAAATGGATCTGGGAAGCTAAATGGCAAAAAGCTTTAATCTCAGTTTGGAGATTAAAGTTAAGACCATGGGGATATGACTACATAAAATAAGTGAGAACAGAATCAGATTTCATGTTGGATTTTAAATCTTTTATTGCAAACCACTTGCTAGTAAGGATTATGTCCTTGTCTGAATCACTCCAGGTGATGTGGTATGAATGTTCTGTTTATTGATAAAATAGTGTGGTGGTACTGAATAAATAGCCCAAAAGCCACAGCTCACACAAAATGTGAAGAGTTTTAGTTAATAGGTTTTAGTTCTTCAGTATCTTTGTATTTTTCTTTGTGTAGTTCTTCAATATCAAAATATTTCCCCTTTTTTCCCCTCCTACCCACAGGCACCACTGTATCTCTGGAAACAACAAATTGTCTTTTGGATTTGTTGTGTTACTATGGTGACCAAGAACCCTCAGCTGATTATCATTTCCAGCAACGTGAACAATCAGAGGATTTGGTAATGGCTTTTGGCAGTGATTTTAAGTTTCTCTTGGTAGAAATACCTTCTCAGAGTTAAGGCAGGTTCTTGTGCCATGTGTTAGGTAGGTAAAGATTTATTCTGAGATGTGGTATGGTACAGTAGCCCTGATAACGAGTGGTATGGAACTAGAGGAATTTGGGCGAGGATTTTAATCCTGGTTTCCTTTATTTTAATCTTGCTTATACCACATGTAGGCAAAGCTTAGACCAGACAAGTTTGGGCAGGCAGGTTTGTTGCTATTTACAGTGACAGTATGATGTGGAGTAGACATCAGCCCCCTCAAATACTTACACTTCATGCAGCCAGAGAGGAGTGAGTGCACTGTCCTGGGGGGGCTAGTATAGTGTGGTGTTAAAGGCTGGCCTGGGAGTACTGGTGGTAGCCTGTCTCTAAACTTTTTTAAGATTTATTTTTTATTTATACAAGAGCTGGGGTACAGGCCAGAGGTGCAGGAGGGTGAGAGGATTCACCAGAGACAGAGTGGGGAGCAGAACAGGCAGATGGACCCAAAGCACTGCTGAGGGGAGCAGTGGGCGAGGCAGGAGAGATCTGCCGCGCCATGTGGGTTGCTGTTCCCTGGCTGGAGATTAAACTCATGCTGCAGAGGCTGCAGACAGCTTCACAGAGCTGCGCTCAACCTGCTGCGGCACTGGGAGGGGGGGACCCTAAACCTAAGTTTTATTTTTAGAAATAGATCCCTAGGAAACCTTTGGATCTGGTGAACAAAGATGTATATATAATGTTTTTCATAATATTCATACTTACAAATGCGAAAATCTTGAAAGCAAACTAGATTCTAGTAGTCAGTAAGTTGTAGTAAATGTGTTGTGTGGTTGTTGAGGGTACTAGTGTAGGTTTGCATGGTTATGGACAGATGCATTTACTGATAAATGGAGAAAGCAGGCTAGACAATACCATGTTGTTCCAGTCTACTAAAAATTTTTCAGATGCATAAGGAAGAAAATCAAAGTTTCTTGCTGATAGGATTATGGGTGTTTTTCTTTCGGTATAGCTTTTCTCATCTTTTGCCACTAAATATGATTACTTAGTACAAAGTAACTAAATCTTAAACTGTATAGGCAATGGGCTATTGTCCTGCCCTATATTTTCAGAGTATCTTCTAGATTCTGGGGCCTGATTTACTCAGTTACCCTCCAGCCGCAGTTAACAGAGCTAGTCCTGATCTGGGCAACATCAGTCTCATCCCAGAGCTTGGTTTATAAATAAAGGACAAGATTTAGTCTTTTTAAAAAAATTCGTAGTTTGTATTGGTATAATGTTAGCCATAAGCTATATTCCATACCAAGATATGTTGTTTTTTCTTGCTTTTACCTTAATGAACACTGTGTTTCTATGGGTCAAGGCAGGTAACAGCTTCTGAGGGAACAGGTTATATTATTTGGATTTCCTTTTACTCTTGCTGGACCAGGCTATCCAGAGCACTGCTTTCATCTCCACCATGCTGCCAATTGTTGATTTAAGGGCCAATTTGACTTACATCTGTAAATATGCTCACTTAATTTTTTAGGAAGTAACATTTACTGAGTTACTTCTTTGCTTTTTGTTTAAACTGTATTTTTTTTTTTCCTGGAGTTTACTTTGCCTTTTTGATTTTGAGTTATCTGATTAGGAAAATGCAGTCCATTATCATATTTTTGTTTCTGATGATGATGGCTCATTTCAGGAAGAGGCCACGGAGGAAAACCATGAGAAACCGAAGAAGAAGACTTCTCATCAGTTACATGGTGTTATTTGGCGGTATGTTGGAACCATGTATTATAATTTCTTATGATGCATGGAATGTTCCTGCCACCTCTGGAAAAAAATGTGATCCTGTGATATTCTAAAATAGTTTTTGTAGTGTGCTGTATAAATGTCACAATTGGCACTCGTTTGTTTAGGCTTTCTGCATATGATCTTTACCTCCAACCAGCAGCAAAAATTGACACTTTATTTTTTTTCCCATTTAATAAGTCTGCGAAACCTTCACGTGCCATAGTTTCTTTAGTAGTTTAGTCAGTAGTCCTACCTTATAGTTATCAAATTCTAAAGTACTCAATATCTTTGATTACACAAGAATTCATAGTTACTAGAATGTAGTTCTAAATTGAAAGTACTGACCAGGAAGCATAAGTATTCAGCTCTTCTGAACAAAAGAATAACATTTAATGTTTGAGAATTTAAATAAACTGAGTAGTAGTGTCTTAAGAAAACAAAATGTATTTTAAAATCTGTTTTGATAAAATAAATTGACTAGAATCAAAAATTAAATTTTAGTAAATTTTTAATAATTTCATGTACCATTTAAGTGCATAGTCTTTGGAGTACCATCCTGGCTCAGCTACTGATTCTGTCTGATTTCCAAGACATGTTGGTAAGAGGGAAAATTAAGGTGCTTACAAGTTAGTATAACATGGTACCTTTATTTATGCATGCATGCATGCAAGAACTGGGGTATAGGCCAGAGATGCAGGGGTTCAGAGGATTCACCAGAGACAGCGGGGATAGAAGAGGTGGATTGACTGAAATACACTGCTGAGGGGAGCAGTGGTTGAGACAGGAGAGGTCTGCTGTGCCATGTGGGTTAGCTCCCTGGCCGGGGATCGAACTCATGCTGCAGTGGCTGCGGATAGCTTCATGGTGGTGAGACTTAACCCCTTGCGCCTCCAGGGAGGCTCCGGTACCTTTGTTTTTGATAAAGGCAAAAGAAATGTGTTATAATGTGACATATACATAATGCTAGAACATGGCAGCTTTCAGGAGAAACTACTTGATCTGGTTGCCTCTTGGAAATTGTATATGATTGAATGGAGTGAGGAGACATTACTGTGTGTCCTGTGTGTGTATGGTTCAGTACCTTGAATATAAATTTTTCATAAAACTTGCTGTTCGGTCTTCCACCTTTTAATTGCAAATCCTTGGATAACTGAGTCTTTTGAGCCTTCATTGTTCCTGTTTTTGAAATGACAGCCGTATTTCCCTTATTTGGTGGCAATAAACTTTTGAATTTACATGCCTAAAGTGCTTAGCACCATGTCTGGAGCATTGTAAACTCAATAAATTGTGGTAGCGATTATTGTTTTTTTTTTTGTATTCCCTAGTTCACATTTACTCTCTTGTGTCTTCTAGAGCAAAAAACAATGCTGAGAGAATCTTTGCTCTAATGCCAGAGAAAAATGCACATTCCTACTGCACAATGATCCGAGGAATGGTGAAGGTAACACTTGTTTTATTTCTCTAATTTTATCTTTAGTTTCTACTAAATTGGGGGTTCTCAACCTTAGAATGATTGACAAGGTAGTTATCAATGGGATAAGATAATTTTTTGTTGAGGGGGCTCCCCATTGCATTGTAGGATGGTTAGCTCCCTGGCCTCTACCTGCTGTGTGCCTTTAGTACATCCTCACTACCACCCCCTAGATGTGACCAAAAAAAGTCTCCAGGATGTTATCTGGAAAGCACAGGGGTAGAGAATCACTGCACTAAGAGTATAAACTTCATGACGCCAGGACTTCGTTTTGTTCACACTGTATTCTCAGGAACATCCCTAGAACTGTAGGTATGCAGATTTTTCTTAAATGAACAAATTTGATGATGCTGACTTTAACTTAACTTTTCTAGCACCGAGCTCCTGTGCAGGCGTTAAAGTTATATGCTGAATTATTAAACAACAGACTACATGGTAAGTGTATTTGGAGAACTCCACTTACCTCCTTTGCTTTTTTTCACTCAAGAATTTGTGAAATCCTTGAATCTTGCCTCAGTCACTGGCTCACTTTTAATCTTGTGGTATTGGCGATTGAAGCAGGAATAGAAATCCAGAGAAAAGGGTGGTTTTCTGGTTTTGGCCATTAGCAATGAGCAAGGAGCCACATGTACATGATCAGTTTGCCTTAAATTGAACTATGTTGGAGTTAATCTTCAACCCCAAATTTTGTTGAAGTAGTTTTTTTTTTTCTTTTGTAGCTGATGTATACACTTTCAATGCATTGATAGAAGCAACAGCAATGATAACGAACGAGAAATTTGAGGAAAAGTGGAATAACATACTAGTAAGGATATTTTTACCTTCATTTTTCTCTGTGGGCCCAAAAGTGTTTTGCTGCAAATATGTGGGGTGGAGATAGTGTTCAGTGAGCATTTTATGTGACTGAGCATTTTATGTCACTGTGCTGTCTACTTAGATGGGGTTACCTGCTCACTGCTCTTTCAGCAATTCTGTGATTGAAGTAGCTGTGTCTTAACATGTGAGGAGAAAAAGCTACTTAATCCCAGAGCATTCAGCTAGAATTCAGGAAGATCTAAGTTGCTTTGTTCACTTATTTCACATATTTTACTATATAAAAGTGTTCTGAAAATTTTTTATCAGGTACAATTAAAAAAAATTGGAATCACTGGATTGAAGTAATCTGGGGATAGGAACACGTTTTTAAACCATGCTGCTCATTTAAACAAAAAACACATCATCCATTCTAGTCTGTTCTTTTGCTTAAGATTCAGAAGTCTCACCAGCCAGAGGGATTAAAGACGGTTAGATACCTTCATCATGTGAAATGGGGTGACTAGGGGGTCTTCTAAAAGGCAGCAGTACTAACTTGCTAACATAATTAGTAACTTAAGAATGTATTTATTAACTTGCTATAGACATAGGCAGAGAAACGTTCTTTTCTTAAAATGTAATATTTAACAAATTATCTACCCAGCATTAAAAAAAAAAAATAACTACCTCTTATTAATTTAGGAGCTGCTGAAACAAATGGTTGCTCAGAAGGTAAAACCAAATCTGCAGACTTTCAATACCATTCTGAAATGTCTCCGTAGATTTTATGCATTTGGAAAATTGCCAGCTTTACAGACATTGCGTGAAATGAAAGCTATTGGAATAGGTATGGATGTGTTCTAAAGAATGAGTCTGCCGACCAGAGGTTTCAGGTCCAGAGAAGCAAAAAAGAGACCATAAACTCTTTATTATTTTCATAATGTGTTGGAAATTTCCTTCCCATCATTTGGCATACTTAGTTATATGTATTGACTAGAGTGGGAACCCCTTTATCTTCATGTTCTTTATAGTCAATTACAATGATTCTTTTAGTATTTTAAGTGCTTTCTCTTAATTCTGAGAATTGTTCACTTAGTATATTAGCTAAGTTTTAAACCCCATGATATTTTTTAGTGTAACTAGGTATTTGAGCCCAAATTTGTGCTATTATTTTATATAGTTTTCATTGTTTTATAAGGTTATTTTTGGAATACAATTCAGTATGCTTTAGTCTTCTTAAGTGAAGAATATACATAACATTTTAGTAATAGGTCTGGACTTTTGATTTGATTTTTGACACCTTTTCACCTTTACATTAATCAAACGAGCTGGGGCGTGTCTTCGAAAGAAAAAGTACATCATCTTTCATACCAGCATCACTGTTCTTAATTCAGTGTGCCTCAGTAATCTGGATAGCCGTGTTTGACTTTTCTTTTTTTCTTTTTCCTGTCTGCTTGGTTATTTGAGAACCCTCGCTTGCAACATATCACTATGTTATTCAGCTGTTTTACCAACATGGTATGTATGAGTTTATGTTCATATGTGTAGAAAGTTAACCCTGTTCCCTTAAGTTTATGTACTTGTTGTAGCTTATCTTCTCTGCTTATGAGTTAAGAATAGAGTATTCACAGGGCCTCCCCAGTGGCACAGCGGGTTGAGCATAGCGCTGTGAAGTTGTCCTCAACCTCTGCAGTGCAGGTTTGATTCCTGCCTAGCCAGGGGCATTCCCACATGGCACGGCAGACCTCTCCTGTTGGGTCTGCTGCTCCGCTCAGCAGTGCTTTTGGTCCGTCTTCCTGTTCTGTACCCCAGCTTTTGTATAAATAAAAATAAATCTTTAAAAAAAAAAAAAGAGGGCCTCTCTGGTGGCGCAGGTGGTTAAGCACCGCACTATAAAGCAATCCGCAGCCTCTGTAGCGTGAGTTCGATCCCTGGCCAGCCAGGAAAAAACCTACATGGCGAGGCAAACCTCTCCCATCTCGCCCGCTCCTCCCCTCAGCAGTGTGTTTCGGTCGATCTGCCTGTTCTGCTCCCCAGTCTGTCACTGGTGGATCCTCTCACCCCCCACATCTCTGGCCTGTACCCCAGCTCTTGTATGCATAAATAAAAAAATAATAATAGAGCATTCACAAATTCACGTTAGCCTACAGCCTAAGCAAGAAGTTATGCTTGAAGTAATAATAACCTTTGTGATGTAAAACGAGCTGGAGTGAAGTCGTTCAGTGTACTAGCAATATTGGTACACAATTAGAAATGATCAGCAGGCACTTGAATTTGGAGTTTCTTTTGCTCTCCAGACCTGTGCTAATAGCAACTAGCTGTTATAGCTATTAAAATTTAAAATTCCTTCATCATATAGTGCCCATTAGCCCCATCTAAATGTTGGTTACCATAGTCAGTGATACAAAGAACATTCCCATCTTTACAGAAAGCTGTTGGACATGCTGTTCCATAGTAACCTTAATTTTATTTTGAAGCCTGGTGGGAGAACTTCAAGATCCCATTTGACATCTACTTTTAGGTCCTCCAGTCCCATGGGAGTTCTTTTGCTCTAAAACAGGAAACACTTGAGGTGAAATTTATCCTTACCATTTAGCAACAGCATCAAAAGGGACTGGATACATTAAAGATCTTACCTGAGTGATACTGTCAGGGTATGATGATTAAGTGAGTTATATATAATGTTACCCTGTGCTTGGAAGACACATATATATGCACTTATAATCTGTTGATGATTATTGTCCATTTTCCCCAACCTGAAAAAGAACCCCTTTGTTCAGAAAAGGCAATTTTAGTTCTTCTCTTTTGTAATACTTTATATATAAAAACAATAGAGAAGAGCTTGATTATTTTGGATGGATAGTTGTACAAAATCATACACTCACTTCTAGAAAAGCTTTTTATATTTTAGGGTGGGAATATGCTTCATCTTGGAAACAGGTAGACAGTTTCTACAATGAGTGTATCTTCTAGAACTTAACCTTCGTGGGATTGTACTGAAAGTAGTGTTTCTGACTCCAACGATTGCATTCCTCTCTACCTTCACGTACCATTGATGATTCAGTTGCTAACCAAAGTCAGCGGTACCTCTGCTAAGTAACATTGTGACCATGGAGTGAGGTAGGGGGGCAAGTGTTAGGTTAGTTTGTCTTATGTATTTAAATTGTTTACATTAAAAACTTCTAGAAATTTACCCAAGGGAGAAAGCCTAAAATACTGAAGAAAACATACAAAAGAGGTTCTTATGTAACTCATAAAATGGTTACAAATGTGAGCAAATGGAAACATGCCTAGGAAATTATAGAAATGCACTTGCTATCATAACTGTTTTGTATGTAATTTGTGTTTAGATAAGGTAAGAAAGGAATGTAGATAAAGTGCTATATTTGGGGGTTTGTAGGTATATTTTCTGATCTATTGATAGAAAGTTCATGTGATTTTTAAAAGACTGCCCATAGCCATTGATTCTACAGTTTTCTTTTTCTTGATCATCTCATCTATGCTAGAAATATAAAGATATATCTATAAAAAGAATATAAAGAATTACTAGCAAAAATACTATTTTTCTAAGTGTACAAGTGTGGGGGTGTGTGTGAGAGAGACAGAGACAATCCTGTGAAGATAACTAAGAAGGAAAAGACTATTCACAGCTCATGGAAAAAAACCTGTAACTATCCCAGATTTTATAGGTAGTTGCACTCTGTAGGATACATACTTGAGCAAGTATGTACCTTCCCCGCTTTGACCCAAGCCTATGCAAGAGTTGGAGTAACATGCTGTGCCCTTGGTGGTGGTAACCAGAAGTGTGCTTTCGTGTTTTGCAGAAAACCCTTCAAAGGGCTCATCTTCAATAATCCATGATATCATGAATGAAATAATGGGAAAGAAATTTTCCCCAAAAGACCCGGATGATGGTAAGTACAGAAATTATTTGTGTAAGGCAGAGAGCCTGTTTTCCTGAGTGCCATTACTAGACCCCTGTGGCAGGGTCCAGGTGTGATCTAGTTTAGTGATTATTCTGAGAAAACCAAAGCTCATAAGGCACATTGCTATTCTGTCAACTTTGTATTCCTTTAGGTTTATCTTACATAGTAGCAATTTTGTTGCCTTTTTTTTTATTATTACTGACTGGAAAATACATCTTATCCATGGTAACCAATGCTGTCATGAACTTAATTTTCAGATATGTTTTTCCAGTCAGCCATGAGAGTTGTAAGTACTGTTTCTTTTGTTTTCTTTTTATCCATTCCCTCAATTTATGTTTGATGGGGGAGATGAAGGGACTCGCCTTCACTTATTAACTGCTTTGTGTCTTTGGTTCTAGGTTTTTTCTTTCTCTAAAATCTATACTAAGCTATAATAACATCCCTAACCTGTGTTTATCGTATACATTATTTTTTTTCGTACCTGTGTTCAGATACGGTTTCAGAGTATTTCATATTTGCCTATCAATAGCTTTTAAATTGATAATTTTGGTTTTTCATTTTATCATCTTCATAATAAGAAATTTAAAAGCAGTTTCAGGATAAGCATATTCATTCCTCTAAGGTAACTTTACAATCTACTGTGTATCCCTTCTAGACACATTTCATGGTGTTTTGTTTGTTGACAGAAACATAGTATTTCATAGGTGGGAAGGATGACAATTTACTTAACTCTTCTTCTGTATATGAATTTTGGAGTTACTTCATGGATTTTTTTTTTTTTTTTTTTTTTTTTTGTTACACTAGAGTGAGCTCTTTTCTGTATTTGACCAAGTGTTTTTGTAGGATTGATTTCTAAAGGTATGTAATTACTAGAACAAAATAATTCTGATTTAAATTTAATAGAACTTGAGGGTTTGTTTTGGGGTTTTTCTTCAGTTTCTCATTTACTACAATAGTGTATCAGCATAAGTATTTCCACAAACAGTTGTACTTTTTATCTCTGTAATGAGCCACTGGTTGATAATGATCTGAGTGATGCTTATCATTTGCAAATTTTCAGTGCTCATCTCTCAGAGATCTAGAACTTGGTTACCAAGTACATAGCCTTTTAAATACTGGAGACAATCGGAAGTTCATTGGACCTGATCATCGGCGTAATTTCTATTAGTAAGTATGTTGGAAAGGTATCCTTCTGCATATTAGTGGAGCACCTTTAGCAGCCATTAGTAGATACTGAAGTGTGAGGCTGTTGGTCTATCTTGTCTCTGATTTCAGACAGCACACAGCAGATTCAACATGTTAGTTGAGCGCTTTGAAATTCAACCAGTCTGGTAAAAGTGATGTATCAGATTGTGATGTCTAACGTGTATCTTCTAAGTTTAATTTCCTCACACAAAACTTTATTTTTAAAGTTTTGTTTTTTGTTTGTTTTTTTTTTTTTTAATACAAGAGCTGGGGTACAGGCCAGAGGCACGGGAGGGTAAGAGGATTCACCAGAGACAGAGCAGGGAGCAGAACAGGCAGAAGGACTGAGGTACACTGCTGAGGGGAACAGCGGGCATGACAGGAGAGGTTTGTGGCACATGTGGGATTCTCGCCGGCCGGCTGGGATTGAACCGCGCTGCCGAGGCTGCGGACACCTTCACAGCACGGCGCTCAACCCGCTGTGCCACCAGGGAGGCCCTCCTCACAAAACTTTAAACCCACACATTTTTCCTTTGCACCCCGTTTTGTACTTTTGAATTTATGAGTTCCTAAAGGTAATGTCACAACCTCTTGTTTTTAAAGATGAAGATACTGTAGCCTCCGTGAATTGGTTTGCTTTTAGGCAAAACCATTGTTTTGAAAATAACTTAAGAAGGCAGCCGCCTTTTTAAGGTGTGTAATGGTTGTTCTTTGTGTCCAAATCTTTGTTTCACACTGAATGCTTTTAAAATCTCATCATGAGGTGAAAATATACTGAGGAGGCAGTCATGAATGACCAGTTGAGGATAAGGGTTTCATTGGAAAGTCCAGAAAGCACAGTTAGCACCTCTAGATATTAACATTGGCCCATGTAACTTGAAATTGTTGGCAACTTGCAACCTGTTTTTGTTTATTGTTAACACACAATCATACATTTTTAAAATTTCCCTGTTAGACAGGGATTTTAGATAAAACATACTCTTTCTCTCCATTGCAGTTCCAAGTTCTTCAATTTGCTTTGTGCAATGGAACAAATTGATGTCACCTTGAAGTGGTATAAGGACCTGATACCTTCAGTAAGATGATTCATTGCTTGTTATTTATCATTGTACATGTTTGTGGTCATCTTTGCTGATGAATAAAGATGTATTTCTTTTAATCAGGTCTTTTTTCCCCACTCCCAAACATTGATAGATCTTCTCCAAGCATTAGATGTGGCCAACCGGCTAGAAGTGATTCCTCAGGTTTGGAAAGGTCAGTTTCAGTTTATCTGTCCAGGTAATATGGTGCTTCATTTTGTCTAGGAAACATGTTAACGTTGTGTATGATGAAAACTTTCCTTTTTCACCAAATTGAATACCCCAATTTAGGCCATTTGCTCATGTTACATAATGTATGAATTAAATTATATTGAAGATGATCTAAATTATTACCTATGTTACAGATATAAGCTGAGGTTTGTGGATATGGGCATGACATAACAAGGATCAGTGCCAACTATATAACATACCCTAAATCTAAATTTAGTTCTCCAGTCCAAGGTTTTTCATTCTTCTGTTGTTGCTTCACAGTGGTTTGGTTGCACACCAGTGAGTAGAACTTATGTTTCTAACAGTCGTGACTATGTGTTGGTGTGTCTTCTGTATATAAGTTGGCTATAGTTGGTGACTGATCATAAAGTCAGATTCTGCCTGCCTCAAGGTTCCAGGTCTGAAATACTTACAGATCAGACCATTAACAGTGCCCAAACTGTAGTCTTAGCCTATGGATGTGGTGCCCGCTCAACTGTAGTGTGTATGCTGTATTTAACACCTGACCAAGAGCAGGTTACTGGCAGTAACTTATCTGCTATTCTGTCCATTTTTATCATGACTCATTCTCCTTTTTTAATCTTGAAATAGATGTCAGCAGCTTCTTTTCATCCACCAAGAATTAGGGATGACAACTGACATTGGATGAAAGTCAGCCAGAGTGGTGTTGGCTTTACATGACTGTGATCACTTCTCACTACATTCTTTTTTTGTTTCAAGATAGTAAAGAATATGGTCACACTTACCGCAATGACCTGAAAGAAGAGATTCTGGTGCTCATGGCAAGGGATCAGCACCCACCAGAGGTAGGTCTACATTGACATTCATTTTGTTACTGTTATTAAAGTTCATTTTGTTACTGTTATTAAAATTATACATCTAGACATAACCCAGTACTTGCAGGATGTTTCTAAAATCATGTTTTAGAAAGCAAAGCAAGCAGCATGAAAATAGCTGTGTCTTGACAGTAGCAGCTTGCAGTTATTTTTTTCTTTGCTATCTAAAAGGAAAACCCATAGTGGATTTAAAAGAAGTGACTAATTATATTGTTTGCCCAGGGCAGTGTGTTTTTCCAGGTTTTTTTTCCTTTCACCTCTACTATTTGTGCTGTGATGTTTTGTTCTAATGAAAAATTCACTGCTCAACAGTTTAAATGGGCCAGTGGAGTCTCCTGAACTTCAATTATCGTAAAACCAATCCAGCAGCTCTGCTGACTCCTAGAATATCTCTCAGCTTCAGGTAGCATTTGCTGACTGTGCTGCAGATATCAAATCTACTTATGAAAGCCAAGATGCCAGACAGACCACTCCAGAATGGCCAGCCACCTCTCTGAACTGTATAGTTATCCTCCTTTTAAGGGCTGGGAGAACCCAGGAAGCCTGGTGAGTACCCTACCACAAGTGTAAATAAGAAGTATTTATACCTGGGTCTCAGAAAACACTTAATCTGATTAGTACAGGTTTTCTAATTTGCATGGTCTTCATTTTTACACAAATGAGTATCAAATGAGTTTTCTATGCAAGCTTTCAAATTTAGTAAGTCCAATGCAACATCATTGATAGGTTCTTGGAAACTGTGACATTTACATCAAAGAACTTACTAAGTTACTTGAGTAATGACTTGGGCCAAGAATTTTTTTTGCCCAGCAACATTGTAACAGAACTTTATTTTAGGACCTACTATATCAATGGAAAAGCAGACTTCTGGAAGAAAACCAATACACGATGTATTTAACAAACAGTATGGTTAAGTGGGCAAACAGACCTTTCTGTTTTCTGTATCTGGGCAAATAAGTCACTTATCTAACCCACTTAAATACAACAAAGTGACCAAAGAAACTTTTGAAATGTTTTAGATATTTAGTTATTGAATTATTTTACTTGTGGATGCTCTCCCTACATCCCAGCTTAAAATGTGTACTGGGACTTCAGGAAACTGGCATTTACCAGTATTTACTAAACATGGCCTTGAGTAGAATCAACTTTGATTTCAGTCAGCACTTTATTCACATACTGTTTGTGAATGGAGACTTTATGCATATTCATTTTTCTAAAAGCAGAGATATCAACTAAAGAATTATTTCATAGGTGTAGTGGTGACAATTAACTGTTTCTTCTGTTTTGTTTTGGATATAAATGTGTTTTACCTCTAAGAGCAGTGTGTGGAATATTTGTGCATAACTTATTCAGCACAGTAAAGGAACCTTATTTGAACATAGGATTATCAGTATAAAATGTAGCTTTTCACCATCTCTACAAAAAGTGAAGGCTTTGCTGCCTCAAATGGTCTTAGGAGTGTGAATCACACACATGAACTGCCATACTGCTAGTGACATAACATTTGATGCTCAAATGCATTAACTCAGGCTGGCGCACACTTGTTATGAATCAGGCTGTGATGATTGGCGCAGGGGTACGGACCTCAGCTGAATCATGGGAGCTGAATGTTTGTGTTTCTCCTTTATCCTGCATGTGGCAGGTTGATGGTGAGCACTTACATGAGACTGATGCCACAATCTGAGCCTGCTCTTCATACCGGAATTTTAGGACACAGGGATCGCATACTGGATTGTAACAGAGGAAAGGGAACATAATCTGTTGCATCCATCTCTTCACACTGCCGATAGGACATAGTCCCTACTTGGGAGGACTGAAAAAAATCGTCAATGAAAGGAACATACCCCAGCCAATCTCAAAACTAGGAACAAATTAAATTTGCCTGTGAAACTTGTGATATACGTGTATGAAGTTAGGGAGAGGGGATTGAAAGTACTGCAGGTGACTGATTAAAAATGGCGCTGGGAACCAATAAAGCTCACTGCTATGTGTCTTTAGGAATTTCCACTGCCGTTAGCAAGGACTCTTAGTCTCTCAATCTAGGCAAACAGCTGTGGTCACCCGATTGACTTATGTTTTATTGGTATTCATAATCTTTCTCCTACCTTGTCTTGTACAGGAAAATGTTGGGACTTTTCAGGAAGCATAATAAGATCCCTAGGTAAGTTGAAGCCTGTTAGGTGGTCTTAACTCTTCCTTCTTTTGTTTGGAATTTTTTCATCTATTTCACCCACAGCAGTTGGGTGCGTCTCTGATAGACAAGCAAATGGCAGTTGCTGCTACCGCCTGAAGCGTCCCAAGGCAAGCAATGCTTTTTCTGTTTTGCAACTGCAGTACATGTTAGATACATTGAATAGATCCTCAGTGGATGCATATTGAACCACTGTTCATTATCTCTTTGACCCTTTAAAATTAGACTTCCTATAACTTTACCTCCAAAGCTACTGTGGAGCACTTAAGACTGACCTTTATAAAATATTCTGCTTGTTACTCTTCTGAGGTGGGTTGAAGAGTTTAGGACTTACTATATCAATAGACATTTTACCATTCTTTTAACAGGAATGAGTTGCTGAAAGAGTTTATGGACAGTGCAAAAGCATCCAACAACCCTGCCCAGGCAATTGAGGTAGTGAAGCTGGCAGGTGCCTTCAGCTTACCAATTTGTGAGAGCCTGACAAAGAGAGTGATGGCAGACTTTGCATTGAGCCAGGAACAACAGTAAGTGGTTTCTGTCTGATGGAAAGATCAAAATGGAACTGATTATTTGTCCATACGCCCATTCAAATGTTTATAGATCTCCTATCCCTGGAATTTTCTCTTCCTTGGCAAAAAGTGAGGATGTATAAATTAAATGGTTATTTCTTTTGTCATTTAAGTCAGGGAGACCGATAGATTTGACTATTGGAAACTTTATTTGTTATTATTGTAGTTTAGTGCACCTGCAGTTTTCCACACCCAGACTGAATTGCATTGTAACCCTCTGGCTTTATTTTCCTTATAGGGAAGCCCTGGGAAATCTAACTGCATTGACCAGTGACAGCGATAGTGACAGTGACACCGACACCAGTGAAAGCAAATAAAGAGGGCAAATCAGGAGCAGTTGCCAGCCTAGCATAGTTACTGTAATCACACTTGTGAACTGAGATGGTAATATTTTACTATGACATAAAAACATGTCTTTGTTCATACCTGATACTCAGATTTTCTGAGTTCTCCACATCCTGTAAGTTCTCCATAGATGAACAAATGCAGCATACAGATTTGATTAAATCTGAAGTACAGTTGACACAACACTAAGTAAATTGGATCAGATTCCTAATTGGATACTTACCAAGACATCCTTCAAGGGTCACCATTAAACAGAAACAGCACCTACGTTTTCAGTTCTTTAGACACATACTGAATGTATAGGTCTGACTTCAGCATGAGCTCCGCATACCTACATTGGCTTCACACACTTTTGGGTATGGTTTCCCCTCGCCTGTTGTGGACTTAGCCTTTGTGGCCTATACTGTGATGTTGGTATTGCTCAGTCTTATGACGATTAAAGGAAGTTTATACAATTGTATCTCAATTTGTATTGGGTTAATAGTATGCCAATTTCAGGGAAATTTAGATGTGAAAAATTGTGCATCTTAGGGCCTCCCCGGTGGCGCAGTGGTTGAGCGCTGGGTTGCGAAGCTGCCCCCAGCCTCTGCAGCGCCGGTTCGATCCCCGGCTGCTCCCCGGCCACTGGAGGAGGATCCCACATGGCGCGCAGACCTCTCCTGCCGCCCGCTGCTCCCCTCAGCAGTGTACTTCGTCAGTCTGCCTGGTCTGCTCCCCGCTCTGGCTCTGGTGAATTCTCTCACCCTCCCGTGCTTCTGACTGTACCCAGTGCTTGTATAAATAAATAAATAAATCTTAAAAAAAAAATTAAAAAAATTGTGCATCTTAAAAGTAAACAATGGCAGGATAAAGATTGAATACTGTAATTAATATACATGTAAATACTGTAATTAATGTAGCCATTATTTTTATATAGATTGCCTTTGCCACACTTCCCCCTAGACTTGGGGCTTGCAAGAATGTTCCATTTCTCCCTTTCTGTGTATGTGCCGGCACCTTTTTTAATTGGGTTATACTTAAAAAAGCTCTTGTGATTACAAAAGGATTGAAATGTGTTCTCGCAATGACTGTGTTATTACTAAAAATCAACTTGATCAAGAATGTCTTTGGCATTTCTAGCTTACAATGACGAATTTTAGGCGGTATTAGAAGCAAACAGGAATTTGTGAGGTTTGCAGGAGCAGTCTCACAAAGGCCATCACAGGCTTCTTTGCTCCTATTTATCAGATTTCCTAAGGCTACCCCATGAGCTGTTCTCCACAGATGATCAGATTCATCCTTACTCTGTATGGTTTGACATAAGGATACTACACTAATGCATGTTATGTACATTTATGACCCTTTCTAGCCAGGACCCATCCATTCATATTCAGAATCCTGAGTATTGTTCATATTTTCTCCTAGAATGTTAGAAATTAAGACATCTAATGGAGGGACACAGGATGAAAACAGCCATTAGCTACTTAAGTATTTATGTACATTGTTCCATTAGCCCCTTGACATACCAAAGCAAATGAATGAAAACACAGGGCTGATTAGCCTTTAATCTTGGTTCACAGTTTCCAGTTAGACACCAGAAGCCTATGTTGAGCCCTTCAAACACCTGCTTCCTGGGCCATATGCAATACTCAAAAATGTAGGTACACCTCTCCCCACATCAAGTCCTAAGTGAATTTTCACATGTTTTGCAGCTATGGAGTTAATGAGGAGATAGTCCACCAGTAAGGACTTGTTTTATATCCCAACATCTCCATCCTTGAAAATGTTCCGTGTGTATTTTAAGAATATTTAGGTGTGTTTTTTTTTGAGGTAGAATATGACTTAAAAAGTCAATCAGGTCTAACGTGTCATTTAAGACCATTGTTTCGTTTTGTATAATCTAGCTGCTGATTAAAGCGGGGCGCTAAAATCCACTGTTAACTGTGTTGCTGTCAGTTTCTTTTTGGTCTGAACAAGGAATAAGAAAATCTGAGTAGGGCCTCCCTGGTGGGGCAGGGGTTAAAGACAGCGCTATCAAGCTATTGCCAGCCCCGGCCAGGTTGCTGACCCACATGGCGCAGCAGACCTCTCCTGTCTTGCCTGCTGCCCCCATCAGCAGTGTATTTCAGTAGATCCACCTGATCTGCTCCCCACTCTGTCTCTGGTAAATCCTCTCACCAACCCCCCACCTCTGGCTTATACCCCAGTTCTTGTATAAATAAATCTTTAAATAAAAAAAAAATCAGTAGACTGATTGCTAGTAGTGAATAGTCCCCAAATCACAGTCCAGATCAGACACTTTCATTGGTAAATTCCACCGAACAGCAAACCTTCAAAGATCTAAATGCCCTTTTTTTTTAAAAGATTTATTTTATTTATTTATTTATACAAGCACTGGGTACAGTCAGAAGCACGGGAGAGAGAGAGAATTCACCAGAGCCAGAGCAGGCAGAAGGACCGAAGTACACTGCTGAGGGGAGCAGCGAGCGGCAGAGGTCTGCGCGCCATGTAGGGCCCTCCTCCTGTGGCCGGGTAGCAGCCGGGGATTGAATCAGCGCTGCAGAGGCTGCGGGGAGCTTCGCAACCCAGCGCTCAACAGCTGCGCCACCGGGGAGGCCCCTAAATGCCCTCTTAAACTTCCAAATATTGAAGAGGAAGGAACATTTCCCAACTTACCTATTAAACCCACTACCCTGACACCAAAAATCAGACAAGGACATCACAATGAAAACTACAGGTCAATATCTCTGATGAACATACATGCAAAAATCCACCAAGTACTAAGTGCTAACTAAATTCAACAATGCATTAAAATGATCAAACACTATGATTTAGGTGGCATTTATCCCAGGGATGAGTGAGTGGTCTTCATAGCCAATCAATTTTGTATACCACATTAACAATATGACAGAAATTATGGTCTTTTCAATAGATGCCAGAAGCATTAGACAAGTCTCAAAATCCAGTTATGACAAAAACAATAAAATGGATATAGGAGTAGTATATGGTTCATATATGACAAACCTACAGCTAACCTCATACTCTAAAAATCTAAGAGTTTCCTCTAACTCCTAGTTGCCTTTCAAAATGAACCAATAGCCAGGCCAAAAGAGTAAATGGGAGTGAAGGCTCATGAAATGGTAAGAGTACAGTGAGGGAGTCTTCATATACTGTTGACTCAGAGTTAACTACCAATACGTAGAAATTAAAAATTGACAGATATTTGGCTCAACAGACCTCTAACAAAAGGTGAATATGGAGTGTCATGTCTTTAAAATTAGTCTGAAATCGGGCCTCCCCGGTGGCGCAGCGGTTGAGCGCTGGGTTGCGAAGCTGCCCGTGACCTCTGCGGCGCCGGTTCGATCCCCGGCTGCTCCCCGGCCACCACAGGAGGGTCCCACATGGCGCGCAGACCTCTCCTGCCGCCCCGCTGCTCCCCTCAGCAGTGTACTTCGGTCCTTCTGCCTGCTCTGCTCCCTGCTCTGGCTCTGGTGAATTCTCTCGCCCTCTCGCGCTTCTGACTGTACCCAGTGCATGTATAAAACAAACAAACAAACAAGTAAAATAAAATAAAATAAAAGCATGCCTCTATAAAAAAAAAAAAAAAAAAAAAAATTAGTCTGAAATCAATTTTTGTGAATGACTAGAATATTTCAATAAAATGAATCAAAATCTATACTAAAGCTTTATACCGTGCTAGATGTATGGATACACATATAGGATTAGCAGATTATGGTGTAAATGATGTTACTCCTGATCATGGTCAAAAATTTGGAAAACATCAAAACGGGATATGCTGTGGCAATGGGTATGAGCGAAATGGGTATTTTATTTTACTGATAATAAAGCAGCAGCCTAGGACAATGAGTTAACAAAAGTGTAAAGCCTGGGGCATGGAAGGAGTCTCCAGCTTTGCTCAGAAGCCTTAACCTATAGCTGTTTATCAACCTTCATAGTTGTGGACTTTTGTTGAGGATTCAGAAAGACCACTAGCAATTAAGTCCCAGGATAGGCTACAGAGTGTAGCAAGATTTTACTCTTAAAGAATATTCAAGAGGAATAAAGGTCATAATAGAAGTTATTCCCAGGAAAAGCTATTCTACCTTCACTGCCTCTCGCCTCCATTCCTTGAGAAACCTTTCCTTTCCCTGAAGACCCCCATGGCAGTGTCCCTACTGCTTGCTACAACAAGCCAGTGAAACCATGTCCCTCCCCAAACAGAAAATGACAGTGACTAAGTAACCCTCCTCAATCCCAGTCTCCTCTGCCTTCTCACATTCCCCAGCCTACCTCAGGGTCCCTTAATGCATCAAAGAAAGGAACCACAGCAGCTTAGCTTGGGTCAGAATGGGACCACTGGTCTGAGGATTGGTATTTTGTTCTTTTTATTTTCCTTCTATGTTAAATTGTGTGTTCTGCACTGAGTTCAAACAAGTTGGTTGAACAACTCATTTGGGACTTGGAGACTGTATTTATCCAGAACCTGTTAAAGAGAGCACAGGGTTTAAGTTAATGCTAAAGAATATATAGCATGACTTAGAACTGTCTAAAGTTACCATTTAGCTTGTTACATTTTTAAAACTTTAAACATTGAAACAAAGATTGGAGATGGAACATTAGATGGGAGGCATGTGTTTAAGACTGTTGTAGAACCCTATCTTAACCACACTCAGGAAGGAAACAGTAAGTTCACCTAATGTAAGGTTTAAATTAAAATATACAGAAGTAAAGCTGCCCTGTCTGAACCACCCAAGCCTGTATCTGCCTTCTCCAATCTCTCCTCTTTGGATTCCACCTTCTTAAAATAGAACTGTGCACTACAACTGTAAAGCCTCAGCTTTCACTTGAATGGTTGCTGAGTGACATCTCAGGAAGACTGTCTTAATAGGCACGCGGAAAGAGAAATACCTGGCCAAGCAGAGTCCCCTTTCCAACACCATCCTGTTTCACAATATGCAGTGGATGTTCGGAGGTTTGCTAAAGGAAATACTAAGATATGAAAGCCATTGGTCTTCATTTTTAGATTTACAAAGTTAAAATAAGCCACTCAGTGTTCTCTCTTGTCAGCTCTTATAATTGTGTGTGAAGTTACTCTTGGGTTCCAAGGGAAATTTAATTTCCTTATAAACTAATACTCTACACACTACATGAATTAAAATAGAAACTGTAAGCACATGACAGGTAGTTTTGCAAGTTAATGTATTCTGTAATTTCACTTCATTTCAAAGGATGAATTTAAGACTGCCTTATCTTCTAGTAAAAACTTAACAGCCCACAGGTGCCCCAAAGCATATGAGCCAATCAGAGAAAGTGGACATGTTGAATTGAAAATCCACTAAAGAACGTAAGAAATGTTAACCCAGATACCAAAATGAACCAGTGGAACCCCAAATCAAACAGACTTGAATGTAACAATCCAAATTCATATACCTGCAGAAATAGAAACTAAGCCCCTCCTCCCCTTTTTCATGATTTGCGGTATGTTGCTCTGCAAGAATCTCCTTGTGAAGACATAAATCCTAACAAAAAAATTGAAATTAGAGTTGGAACATTAGATGGGAGGCAACTGTGGTACCTTGGAGTCAATTATAAATCAAGAAACAGGAGTTTGTTAATGTTTACCCAATATGGCAATTATCCTTATTTTCAGAGAAGTGAACTAAAGTTCTCTGGATTTTATGGCAAAGCAGTTCAAAGATGTAACAAAATTATTCAATCCCTTTAAGGCTACAGGCTCACTAACCCCACTTAAGGAAGAGGACCATAGTCCAGGTATCATAAAGAAGCAAATGTGAGCTGCAACACATCTTGAGAGCTGATGAATTGTGGGTAGAGAAAGCAGTATTTTTTTTTTAATGCCACAGAACAGAAAACAAATGTGTATCACGAGTAGAAAGAAGCAGTGGTTGTATTAATTTTCATGTATATATACAAATGGGCGTGTGTCTGTGTGTGTACTGGGCCCCAACATGAAATGTAATTCCTTTCAGCGAAAACCTTGGGATTTACAACTCTTCTAGTGCTTTTCAACCACTTAGACATATGCCCGATTACAAATATATCACTTTTTTGAATTTGATCAGAAGGAAGTAGGTCCCTAGAATCTTCAAAGCCAAGTACAGGCCTTGGTCTTCTGGGACCCAATTCATAGACAGAAATTCTGAGTGCCCGGAACTTCCACTTCAGCTGTTGCTACTTCTCAAGGAAATTTCCTGCACACACAACAAATTTAAAATGGTAGTTTTTGAAAAGGGATAAACTCTGACAGTTCCATCTTTTTGTTTTATTCAGTTTGCTCCAAGGGCAAAATCAATAGTAATAGGGATCACAAACATTATTTTGTTTGGCTCACAAGCCTGATCAGTAAAACCTGAAAAACAGAAAATGTTACACAAGTTGCAAAGAATGTACTCCTGGTGTTCACTGACATGATAGCAAGTGGAAATAATATAAATGCAACAGGTGTTAACATTTAAAACAGTGCTTGTAACCTCATTTTTAGATCACCATGGGACCCTGTTGCAAACTCTCCATACATCACTTCAGATTTCCTTTGACATGAAATATGACTTACAAAACTCTTCCTAGACCTTACTCTTGCTGCACTTGAGTGGTTCCTATTCCTACGGCGCTGGCATATGCTGTCAGGATTTCCACTATCTGTTTAGTTTCTAGGGTCATTCGGGCTTCCTTCAGCCAGTCCTGTGCAACTCGTCTGGACTCCCCCTTCAGCTGATTGACAAACTTTGCTGCCAGCTCCAGATCACCATGCTCAATGCAATAGGAAGCATATGACAGTAATTTAAATGTGTTTATATCCTCAGGCCTGAGCTCCGCTGGTGGCTTGAGTTGCTTAGGTGGGAACAGGAGTAGGGACTGCAAATAGGAAAGGAAGTACTGGTATAAGCTATTCCTGGTTTCATCAATCATTGCTACCCTTCGGGCCAGTTTTTGAACAGCATAGAAACGAACTCTAAGGGTCTCTTCACTGTATACCCCACGGGTCAGGGATTCTGGAGGGAGAGCTGCAGTTAAAGCTTGGGCAAATTCACTATCAGAGCAGCTGACTCGGATGGCCTCAACTGCACTACCCAGCGGAACAGTGGGCAGATCTGCAGATGCCGTTTTCATGCTGTACTTTAATGCTTCCACTGAAAGCCACAGTTGATGGGCCTTTCTGGCCTCCTCTTCAGCAACTGCATGACCTATAAATAAAAAATAAACATTTTTTTTCTCTAACTACATGTCCTCATGTATCCATCAAACTACTGCATCATCAACAAGTCAGTCCACACCACATGGAAGAAAGGGTCAGAGAGTGCCTCTTCCAAACCCACTTACTTCTGGGCTATTCTTTCCTATCTGGCCGC